TTGTCGCTCGTTTGATGAGCTGGTACTGTTGCCGAGGGAATCAAACGATCCTCCGAAGATGATGTGACCGTTATCCGCCTTCAAGATCGACTTGACTGGCCCATTCAGACCATTGAACGATAGATCCTTCCAGCCGTCGCCAGGTGCCCAAGCAACAGCGTTTGTTGTGTTTTCATATGTAAAGTTTCCTCCAACGTAAACTTGATTGGTGCTCTGATCACAAATCACGGCCTGTACCGAGCCCGAAAGGCCTGGCAGCGCAGTGATCTTGCTGGTATTGGGATTGAAAAGCGCAGCACCGGGCGACTCAACTCCGCCCAAGCTGGTGAAGTTACCACCGACGAAAATACCCGCGAAAGTTCCATCTTTTTGCGTAAAGGGGCACATAGCCAAGATATGCGCGTCGGATGATTCGAGGTTTGTGAGGATGCCGTTCGGTAACGGAGTCAGAAGCGATTGCGAGCCATTTTGGGGGATTGATTCGGACTGTTCCTTGTACTGGTAGAGCGAGACGCCGTCGAAGTCACCGGTGATTGACACCCGTCCCAGCGAGGTTAGGTCAAGTTCTGGAACAGATACCGACTCGAATGACAGCGCGAAGAGGGTTGGTAAGCCCGCAAGAAGCCAGCCAGTCGCCGGCCCAAACAATGAAGAGAACCTCATTGTGGGAGCGACGACGGGCAAAAGTGTAGTCTAGTTGAAATGGTTGAAGCGAGTGTGGGAAGGGCAGGGATTAAGAATCCAGGGCCGTCAGGCCGCAACGCGTGGAAAGAAAGGAATGTAAAGAATGTGGCATAGAAAAGATCCAAAGGAATGTAAAGGAATGTATTGAGACCGAAGTCTCTCTGCCCGAGGGAATCAACGAATGACTAGAGGTGAAGAGAAGAAGAGACCCAGGGGGGGCGTGTTTTTGTGAAATGAAACACTTCAATTACCCAAACTTACACAAACTTACCAATTTTACGGGATTCCCGGCTGAACCCACGCTAGTGTACGCGCTCTAGCCAATCATGGTTGCCTGTCTACCGTGGGTGGAGACCTCTGAACCGTGGGCGTTGCTCTATCAGTCCACCGTTATCAACCCTGGAATTGTTGTGTTCAAGTATAAAACTGTTGATATGAGTTGGAGGGAAACAGAAACTGAGAAACAAACTTGCATTTAACACCGCCAATTGCTATTTCACCCAATCCCAATCCTACCAGGACAGGGGACACGGAGTAGAATGAGGATCTACAATACAGTACTAATTTGCCGGTAATGACGTGGTATCAACACTGCCATTCTCCCCTGTGAAGTCATGCTATCCCAGCCTTGATCATCTATGCTATGTTATCATACATGTAGCATGTTATTGACATCTCCTGTACGTCCCCTGTACATCTACAGTATCAGATCTATTAAACCATCGCCATCTCAAACGTTGCGCTAACACATCATGTGGATCTGTCTCAGACTTGACCCAACTTGATCCAGCCCCAGGTTCGTTTCGCTTAATATAGAACTGAGTCCCACGATCTCGTTCAGTTTGCGCAATACACACGCACTCTTCTGGGGCGTGGTTCTTGATTGGGTCTGTTCAAAACCCACATGCAGGCTAGATTGTGGCTTATCCTTGGACATATAACTTACCATCTCACCGTACAGTTCCAATTCCCGAGTTATATATGCTCATGATTGGCTGGATTTATGTTATATGCATATGCACAAGCATCTAGGTAGCAACAGTTTTTCTTTGTTCATTCTGATCCCCGAGGTCCAACGTAAGAACCAGAGGATTCCTTGTTTTGTCGAGAAAGCTGTGTCAGCAGCCAACACCGAAATGCATGATTTGAGCGTTGGCAAGGTACTTGATCGGCCAGATTATAGTAGTTCGTTTGTGAACAGCTATCACTGCGCCTTTAACCATTGTCGGGATATAAGGTAAGGAATTGTCGTTTGGAATCTCGATTGCCTACTGTTTGTATATTTGTGCTAAGTCAACATGATGATCACACCCAACCCCAAAGATGTCGGTATCCAAATGAGATCTCTTACTAAAACAGATGGTAATTTTAAGATGAATAACAGATTAGTATTCACTTTTCCCTCACAACAATGAGATAAAACAGAGCTTCAAGGCGGACATACATTTTGTTGCCTCAGGCTGCAACACTAAACCCTTTCTGGCCTGAAGTGGCCGCCTCCCTACGGCGCGCCGCAACGCGAACTCCAGAAACTGAAATCTTAAAGCTTTCAACCCAGCTCTCTCTCATCCTCCACTACCCATTCTCATCGCATTTCCTGACTATTTTACCCGTCATACCTGTATTTTATTAATTCGACTGACGCGACTTCACGAAATCCGCAACCTCCATCATGTAAGATCCTTGCGCAGGAGTCTTGCTTCTTGGCCGACACTGACCATTCCACAGGGAGAGCTTCGATAACATCTACCTTGACCTTTCCAAGCTGCCTGGAAAATGCAAGCTTGCCGACAGTGGTCTGGGTTGGCGTCCTTCCGGCGGGGGTGATACTTTCACTCTCGACAGCAACAACATTGGCGCAGCTCACTGGAGTCGCGCGGCGAAAGGTTTCGAGCTGAAGATCCTATCGCGATCATCAGGAGTCATCCAGCTAGATGGTTTTGACCAAGAGGTATGTCCCACTGACCATTCGGGGTCCATTAACTAGGTGACTGACTGCCCGAAAGGACTTTGACCGTGTAGGCAAGGCCTTCAAGGTCTGGTATGGTATCAACGTGGAGAATCGCGAGCACGCAATCCGAGGATGGAACTGGGGTAAAGCGGAGTTCACAAAAGCAGAACTTGCCTTTAACGTGCAAAACCGACCCGCCTTCGAAGTCCCCTACTCCGAAATCTCAAACACCAACTTGGCCGGAAGAAATGAGGTCGCCATTGAATTCGCGCTTGGCGCGGGTGAAGGAGCTGATGCTGCCGAGAAGCCTGGAAGCACAAAGAACCGGGGCCGCAAGGCCGCTGCGGGTCCTGATGAGTTGGTTGAGATGCGGTTCTACATTCCCGGAACGGCTGTGAAGAAAGAAAAGACCGAGGGCGCCGAGGGCGAAGAAGAAGAGAACGACGAAGATGTTGAGGAGCAGAACGCTGCCAACCTCTTCTACGAGACTCTTATGGACAAGGCTGAGATTGGTGACGTCGCGGGAGATACCTTTGCTACCTTCCTGGATGTTCTGCACCTCACCCCCAGAGGTCGTTTCGATATCGACATGTACGAATCGTCCTTCCGGCTACGCGGCAAGACATACGACTACAAGATTCAATACTCGGCCATTAAGAAGTTCTTCCTCCTCCCCAAGAACGATGATACCCACACACTCATTGTGCTCGGCCTTGATCCTCCTCTGCGCCAGGGTCAGACTCGTTATCCATTCCTGGTCATGCAGCTGAAACTGGATGAGGAGATCAGCCTTGAACTTAATATGACAGAGTTAGTATCCTGCTCAGTTTTTGTTACATACGCTAACAGTCTACAGGGACCTGATGCAGAACCAGTACAAGGACAAGTTGCAGGCCCACTACGAAGAGCCCATTCACCAGGTCGTGACCAAGATCTTCCGCGGCCTGTCCGGAAAGAAGGTCATCATGCCCTCCAAGGACTTCGTCAGCCACCACGGTCACCATGGTGTCAAGTGCTCAATCAAGGCCAACGAAGGTCTTCTGTACTTCTTGGACAAGAGCCTCATGTTCGTCCCCAAGCCCGCGACTTATATTCAAATGGAGAACATCGCCATTGTCACGATGTCTCGTGTCGGAGGAGCTGTCTCCGCCAGCCGCACCTTTGATATCACAGTCAGCCTGAAGGGTGGCTTGGGCGAGCATCAGTTTAGCAACATCAACCGGTACGTACTGCAAATCATTCTCACGGGCAATGTACTAACTTCCCCAGTGAGGAGCAAAAATCACTTGAGGACTTCTTTAAGGCCAAGAACATTCGCATTAAGAACGAAATGGCCGAGGAGGTACGTTTTGTCCCTTCCCGTCTTATGGCCCGTGCTAATTATACATCTAGGCTTCTGGACTTATTGCTGCGGCTCTTGAAAACGATGAAATGATGGGCTCCAGTGATGATGAGGCCCGTCCTGACCGTGGATCGGCAGACGAAGACGAGGAGTCAGTCGACGAGGACTTTGATGCTTCTTCTGACTCTGATGTTGCTGAGGAGTTTGACTCGGACCACGAGAGCAGCGGTGGCAGTGATGCCGAAATGGGAGATGCATCGGATGGTGAAGACCAGCGACCAGCGAAGAAGAGCAAGACTGAGAAGTAGGTATAGGTGTATAGCATCAAAATATCCAATTTGTTATTTTTTTTCTTAAAATCCGAAGTATAAGATTAGGTGGATCTCACGTGAATAGTGGAGCCATCTCAACCCCTGATCTCAGGAGAAACTGCTATCTGGCAACTCAGTCACATGGATGCTATATGTACTCTACGCGACTAGGAAATCAATTGGACATGCAACTACACGTACTGTGCCTATTTCTGCTTCCTGCATGCTGTAGTCGACATGTCGAGGAATTGACGGTGTAGCGTGTCCTAGATGTCAACAACAACCCAATAGACAATAAATAAAGCAAGGCAATTAAAATAATCCATTTGAGACCAGTCTACTCTAAGTAACTTACTGTACATGTATAACGGGGGGGGAGACGCGGATCCAAACCAACTGCAGAATAGCTGGGCCCGACCTCTCATCTCCCCCCTTTCTTTCCCTGGTCACTCTTCCTCCATCCTGCTCTTCTCATTCTCTTTTGTCCTTCGCTTGAATTCTTGAGCTTCTTTGGTCCTTCGCTTAACTGATTTGTTTCCCCCCTTTTTTGATTTCAGGTACGATCCCCCTGGAATCCTCCCATTCTCCCCGATTTTTTTTCTCCTATCGCGACATTTCGACCCCACTGGACGATTGGACGATTCAAGACTGACATCAATCAGGGGATTTTAATACGCAGTTTCCGGTTTCCTTAATACCCCAGATTCTCGCAATGTGTAAGATGTCCTACCGCTGGAGCCGTGATCGGGAGAAACAATCCATCCCGAACGGGCTCCCTCCAGACAATATGCTGATAGGTTCTCAAGCTTCGCCGGTTGCGAACGGTTCCCCCGTCGCGTCTCCGGTCGCGTCTCGGGACTCGCCCACCCCCAGCAACAGCATGGATTCGCCTTTCGTCGAGCGCAGCAACCCAATGGGCTCCGGCAATGCCCAGACCGTCACCTCCCGCGACCCCAAGGCCGTGGCCCAGGCTGCTACCGACATGAAGAACGTTGTTCGACGCAAGCTTACTGGCTACGTCGGTTTTGCCAACCTGCCCAACCAGTGGCACCGCAAGAGTGTTCGTAAGGGCTTCAACTTCAACGTGATGGTTGTTGGTAAGTGGGGGAATCATACGATCGATCAACCGAACCATCCCATGCTCACAAACAACCAGGTGAATCCGGTCTCGGAAAGTCCACCCTCGTGAACACCCTGTTCAACACCTCACTCTACCCCCCTAAGGAGCGCACTGGCCCCAACGCCGATATCATCCCCAAGACCGTGTCGATCCAGTCGACCAGCGCCGACATTGAGGAGAACGGTGTCCGCCTCCGCCTGAGCGTGATCGATACCCCCGGCTTCGGTGACTTTGTCAACAACGATGACTCGTGGCGCCCAATTGTCGAGAACATCGAGCAGCGCTACGATACCTATCTCGAGGCTGAGAACAAGGTCAACCGCAGCAACATTGTCGACAACCGCATCCACGCCTGTGTCTACTTCATTCAGCCTACGGGCCACTCCCTGAAGCCCCTGGACATTGAGGTTATGCGCCGTCTCCACACCAAGGTTAACCTCATTCCCGTCATTGCCAAGGCTGATACCTTGACCGACGAGGAGGTTGCCGCTTTCAAGCAGCGTGTATGTTGTGGATACCAAGTCGATTGAAAATTGCCGAGGCTAATTCTTCTAGATCCTTGCCGATATCGAACAACACTCCATCCAGATTTTCGAGGGTCCCCGCTACGAGCTCGACGATGAGGAGACCATTGCCGAGAACCAGGAGATCATGTCCAAGGTTCCCTTCGCCGTTGTCGGTGCCAACTCTGAGGTTACTACTGCTGATGGTCGCCGCGTCCGTGGCCGTAGCTACCCCTGGGGTATCATCGAAGTCGACAATGAGGAGCACTGCGACTTTGTCAAGCTGCGTCAGATGCTGATCCGCACCCACATGGAGGAGCTCAAGGAGCACACCAACAACTTCCTGTACGAGAACTACCGTTCCGACAAGCTCACCCAGATGGGTGTTGCTCAGGACCCCAGCGTTTTCAAGGAGGTCAACCCTGCCGTGAAGCAGGAGGAGGAGCGCGCCCTTCACGAGCAGAAGCTGGCCAAGATGGAAGCCGAAATGAAGATGGTCTTCCAGCAGAAGGTTGCCGAAAAAGAGAGCAAGCTCAAACAGAGCGAAGACGAACTCTACGCCCGACATCGCGAGATGAAGGATCAGTTAGATCGCCAGCGCGGAGAACTCGAGGAGAAAAAGAATCGCCTCGAAAGCGGACGGCCCATCGAAGAGAAGGGAGGCAAACGCAAGGGCTTCTCTCTTCGCTAATGTCCATGCCTATTACTCCCACGCTGCCTGTGTCTCTGTTTCTGCCTGGCCTATATTCCACACACACTGAGACCCCCACTCATTCCCTTTTATTTTTCCTTACTTGTCCATCACACTCCCTTATCCACTAACGCAACTGCTTTCTCACTGGATGGCCCCACGCACCGAAAAGAATGGTTTTTTTCTGATTGATTGATAATACGACCCTGCGAGGGTCGGCCTGGGACCTTTTCACTTCTTGTGATGTACTTTTTGCTACGCCATATCTTGTCTTGCCGCTTTTCCGTGTGCCCTATTACCCGCTCATTTCGTTACTTTTCCTTACATCTTGGGACATTTGGTTGTTCGCCGCTTGTCCGTGTGTTAGTCAATTCAGCGCCTCAGCTTAATCTTTGAACCACTATAGATGTAGACAGCGTAATAGTTGATACAACATCGCATATGCCTCCAGTGTTGGCTGGCTATTGACTCAACACCCCAAAATACCTAATTAAGCAAACACTACAGCTACTCAATATCAGCATACAAAACCAAGAAGTTAATCAAACCAATCTATATTCACCTCTAGCTAAGAAATCTAAACCAATACTAACAGATCTAAATCAAAGCTTAGAAGCCTCAACCCTCTTCCCACTCTCATCAAACTCAATCTTCTTTCCAGAAATCAAACTCTCTTGCAACGCACACCCAATGCGCACAGCAGCAACAGCCCCCTCAAGCGACATAGGCGCAGGCAGGTTATCAAGACAAGCAGCAGTAAACTCATTCGCCTCAGTGACAAACGCCTCGCGGAATCGGCCATAGTAATCAGGCGGGATCTCGCGGCGCACTCCGGTCGACTCGAATAGGTTCACCAGGTTGGATTGCGGCTGTGTGTTCACGGCGATTTGTCCGTTTGTGCCGAATACTTCTGTGCAGTCCATCTGTCCGGCTGCCATCATACGTGAGCAGTATAGTTGGGCGATTTTGCCGCCCTTTTCTCGAGGTTAGCATCGAATAGATAACGGTATAGATGTAGATATAGAGAATGAGAGGTGAGGAGAGGGGAGGATGGGATGGGAGGAGAGGATGGACTGGACATACATAAAACTCAATAATGCCAACCGCATTATCACGGTCATTATGCTTCCGCAAATCAGGCTGCACAGCCGTGATTCCAACAGCCGTAACAGACTTGACACGACTGTCCTCGCCAAAGAACCAAAGCGCAAGGTCGATATCGTGAATCGAGCAGTCGACAAAGATACCCCCGGAGAACTCGGCATACGCCACGAAGAAGCCGCTGGGATCGAGCTTGTCGCAGGTCTGCGAGCGGAAGACGGAAGGTGTGCCGATGTCGCCATTGGCCATGCGCCTGTAGGCGTCGCGGTAGGAGGCGTCGAAGCGGCGGGAGAAGCCGCAGATTACTTTTTGGGTTGGGTGGTTCTTTTGGGATTTGCGGTAGGCGTCGACTACGGATTGGGACTGATTGTGACATTTTGTTAGCTTCTTCTGTTTACTGTAGATATGTAAGATAGTATATGATATATACTCACCACCTCGGGACTGGTACTCAACGGCTTCTCGCAGAGAACATGCTTTCCAGCCTCAATGGCCTTGATAGCCTGCTCGGCATGCACGGTCGTGGCGGATGCAACAACAACGGCTTGGAGGGTCTTCTCTTTAGCCAGCATGTCGTCGAAGGAGAGGTATGTGCGTACGCCGAACTCCTTCTTTGCGGCGTCTAGCTCGGCCTGCACGGGCGAGCAGACGGCGATGAGTTCGGCGCGGGGTGTGAGGGTTGCGAAGTGGCGGGCATGGCGCATGCCCATGCGGCCAATGCCTGCGACTGCTACTTGGAGCTTTTCGGACATTTTGTGTGAGGATGTGGATGGAGATGTAGATAGAGGGTAGCGGATAACGGAAGTAGAGAGCAATTGAGACTTGGAGACTTGGGGATTTGGTCAATGGCTGTCTTTATAGCTGGACCCCTCAATTATTTTCTAAGCTCGAGCTGCACCAGACCTGCAGCTGTCGATCGCACCGGAATTGGTAGTTCTTCGGCGACGCTTACTTCGGTCTTTGGGTCTCCACATTTCCCCGCATTTCCGGCGTTTGACTGTTTTTGGCATGTTCAATTGCCAGCTTCTTATGGAGCAAACATACGGTATGTGGCTTATTGCTTGGTTTGCCCTATAGGCGAGGGTTGCCTGAGCAGGTAATTATCATCTTTCTGCATATGCCAAGGAAATTCATGGAATTCGAATTCCATTGTATCGGTCTGTTCCTCAGTATTTGATCTGATTTGGTCTGCTCTACAATCCGAGCCCTAAATGCAACCATTTGTGCCCACTTGTATATACTACACTTGTTCCTACGACATTCCCAGAGCATCATATCGATACCCCCAGCTCCACGCGAGAACAATGGGATCGTCCGGATTTTTTTGGTCAGGGGCAAATACAGTATGGATGCCGGTGTCATATTCAAACGATATGCAAGGATTCAATAAGTATACAATTCTCATTATGCAATCAATGCTGTTGTGGAGTTATAGTTGCCGACGTCTCGAGGGTCTTGTTCAAGAGATCAACATGACGCCGATTTGACATGATTCGTGGCTATGCACCTACGCATCAAATTCACTGTCGCATTCAACTGTCAATTTAACAGATTTTGAATGAATATGTTATGAAGTGAAGTCAACATGGAAGAGTAGAAGGCGGAGTAACCCCGGCTTTCCCCGCACTTGACGGTCCGGGGTTGGTGGCGCCGAGAATTGCCTTGAACTGTCCACATCTCTCAACCTGCTTTCTCTCCCACTTCACAAATCATACGATGCGTAAGGCAGTTCCCTGGTAAGGACCCTTGAAGCTCCACAACTTCAATCACTAACAAGTGCTCGAACAGCCAGGAATGCCGTCGTAAGCCCCCTGCTCCCTGACGTGCATCTATATTGACTAATCACTCCTTCGCAGACCGACATGTCAAGTGTAAGTCTCCGATTACTCTCCCCATGCACGTATGATGTATGCCAGGTTCAATCCCGAGACTCTTATTGACCGCTCGGTACGTTACAGGTGACGGCACAAAGCCGGTATGTCGGCGTTGTGAGCGTTCGGGCTCGTCGTGCGTCTGGCAGTCTATGCCGTCCGGCTTCCGTCATGGGTCTAGCGCCCGATATGATGCCGACTTTGCCGATGATCAGGTCTGGGTGCCTATTGCTCAAGGTGAGTTTGTGATATTGTCTTCTGTTATGAACATGGTCTCCTATGATACACTGCGTCATGGCGTACTGTCTATGTAGTTCCATTGCTGATGAGGCACAGTCGATGACAAGTATGTCGACGAAACAGCCGAAATTGCACGAGGTTATCTCGACTTAGGTGAGGTGTCGCCGTGGACAGTAAAACGACACCGAAGTCAGTCTTCTGCAACTGAGCTGCCAGTTGCGACGGAGCCTTTTGTCACAGAGCCTCCTATTCTAAGTGATGCAGTTGAGTCGCATTCATCCGATCACTTCATTCCTCAACAGCAGGATGAAATTCTTACGACTTATTCGCCATACAACCTGCAACATTCGCCGGCAAATAATTCTTCTATCTCATCCACATCCCCTCACTTGTCTCACAGCAGCCATCGCAGTCATGCATCAATCGGCTCAATGAATATGATTCCCGCAGAGATACCAGAGATACCGCAGCTGTATTTCGACGAGCATGAGGCATGCCTGATGCGGTACTTCGTGGTTCAACTCGGGCATTGGGTGAGCAAACATGCTTAAAACATAGTCTAATTGTCGACTGACTGATTACATAGTTTGACATATGCGATGGACAAAGACATTTTGCATGTACTGTTCCAATGCGAGCACGCACTTGTCCACCGTTGCTCAACGCAATCTGTACAGTCTCAGCAAGACATCTAAGCCGAATCAAGAAGTACTATGTCGGCAATCAAATTGTATACGGAGGCAAACCCCTTCCCAACCTGACTCCGGCCACAGCCATTGAGTACCACAACCGATGCATTTCACATTTCGTCTCTCTATCCGACCACTCACGGGAAGCTCAAGATGAGAACCTTCTTGCAGCAGCAGTGATCTTACGATTCTACGAAGAAGTTGACAGTCAGCCACCAAATATCCCCCATGACCCCGAAACAAAGCTAACAAATGCAGTCTCCTCAATGGGCGAAGACTACGAGTCAGCTCTCCGCGGAATCCAAATCTTCCTCGACGCCCAAGCAATCCCAGCAGTATCAGGAACCGGCCTCCGCCACGCAGCCTACTGGATCGCCCTCCGACAAGAAATAATAACAGCCTTCTCAAAACAACGCGCCTTCCGCCTCCCACTAGGACCCTGCGAACCATACCGCAGCTTCGAACCAGCAGACGACTACGTCTGGGCCGACAGACTAGTAATCCACTGCGCAGACGTCCTCCAATTCTGCTTCGGCTCCGAAGAAGAAGAACCCAACTCCCCAAACACCACCTCCCACTACCACGACCGCCGCCTCTCAACAACAGAAACAGAAACCCGCCTCGCTCACTACGACGCCCTAGTCGCATTCTCAACCTTCTGGAACACTCTCGGCCCAGAATCCTTCAAACCAATCTACACACGCGCCCCAGACCCAGCAAACGGCAAAATCTTCCCCGAACTCTGGTACCTAAACAACTGCCACGTAGCCGGGCTGCAACACCTAGAACTAGCACGCATCCTGCTAGCAGTGTACAATCCACGGCTACCACGGCTCGGACCAGGCCAGCGAACAGCAATGAGGTCGGTTGACGAGGAAATTCGCGCGATTGTACTTCGGCTTTGTGGGATTGCGTTGTCGAATTTGCATAGTCCGCCTGGGCTTGTTACTGCTAGTGTTGCTATTGGCATGTGTGGGGACCGGTTTTCGGCAAGGGAGGAGCAGGTTGCGTTGCTTGGTGTTCTTGTTATGCTTGAGGATCAGTATGGGTATCCTACTTTTAGTATGCGGGAGCAATTGAAGTTGGCTTGGGGGTGGAAGGGGGAGGGAGATTCGGGGATGGTTGTTGATCTATGAATGAGTGAATGGAGTAAATTGAAAGTTAGATGGATAGGACTATGTCATATCATAGAGGCGTGCATGGGGGATGCTGATGGGTGAATAGCTATGACAGCTTGGAGTTTAGGACTTGCGAGTGGGTAAGTCGCGGCGACGCTAGCAACGGGAGGGGTTGCCATTTCGAGACCATGCTTCCCCACGAAAATGGGCTTTGGGCTTCCTAGTACTCTGTTAACTGAAAGCTATTGTGTTCAGCTTGACTGGTTATGTTCTAGTATGAAGATATAATAGTGAGAGTCGAACTTTCCAACTCACTATATTTATGGATATCTACGAAACTAAACGAGATTACAATTTACTTAAAAATCATGTTCAATAGGCACTCAGAAGAGCTACCGTTTCATTGACCCGAGTATGATGTGAGCATTTTGATATGGTACACATGTGAGATCCACCCTGCTCCTAAAGCGACTGGCCCCCAGAAAGAAAACACGCCTGCATCAAAGGAAATAAGATAAAAAGCACAGCAGTCCTAGTTTACCAGGCCTCGGTATCAAAGTTCTCCTCGCTAAAGTACGAGGCAACGACCGTACGGTCTGAAAACTTCCGTCCGGCCAGAGCCTTGAGGGCGTTGGTAGCCGACTCGGCTTTGTCGAACTTGATGTAGATCTTTCCGGCGCCGTGTCCGCGGCGGGGGACCTTGAGGGCGAGGATCTGTCCGAACTTGGTGCATTCTTCGCCTACGTCTTCGCGGATTTCTTCGTAGTCCTCGTCGTTGAGCAGCTCGTCGAGTGTGACCATGTTGAGGAGTTGCAGGACGCGGGTGGTCTCGAGGTCTTGGGATGTGGTCTTGGCGAACATCTGCATGGCGTTGACGCCCATGTCCAGGCCGGCGGCTTGGGTGGTTCCGATACTGGCGCGGACGACCTTAAGGTGGCGGTCACCCAGTTCCATGCCGTTTAACCCTTCCACGGCAATGGGGGTAGTAGCTGGATCGGCATATTCACAGAAGGCAATGCCCTAAAAAGGTTAGTACTGACATGTAGGGCTGGGAAGAGCTCAGAACTTACCCGAGACTCCTCGGTGGAGGCATCCTTGACCAGGACGAATGACTTGAGTTCGCCAAATGACTTGAGCAGCATTGTGACGGGCTCCTCGGGGATGTAGGCCGGGATATTAGAAACGCAAATTTTGTTGGGTGAATCAGGCACTTCGTTCAACAGCACACCCTCCTGGTAGGACTGTTCTGCGCCGGCAGGAACAATGTAATCCTTTGGTCGCTTCACATCAAGTCCCTTTTCGCCGCTGTCCGCCATGGTAATTCCATCGAAAGCCAATGCAACCGTGGCATCATTGGGGTCCTTGAACTCCAAGAGAGCAAATGACTTGTCCTCGGAAACCTGGGCTGAGATACAAGGATCGACGTTTGAGATCACATTGAGACCATTCAACTGAAGATTGAAGAAGGAAATGATGCTCTCGCCCGAGGCATTGGGTGGGAGGTTGTACACGAAAAGACGCTTAGACTGGCGGGAGTTGGAAGGCTTAAGGGCAGCGTTTTCGCTTTCGCCAGTGGGAGGGTTCAGGAAGTCCTTCATGCGGCTGGGGTCCATGGGCTGCTGGCGAGGAGCTCCGGGAAGAGGGAACATTCCTACAACTGTTAGTCAAACTTATGGAACGGAAGCGTATAGAGACATACCTGAGATCTTTGCTTGCTCGGCCGTGACATTTTCGTATCCAGGAGGCTTGATATCCCATTGAGTCAAACGACGTTGCCGGACTAGCACAGAAGGCACATCTGTCAAGTCGGGAGTAGGCTCCTTACGCCGCGGGGGTGTGGCGCTTCTCTTTCGCTCTCTTCTTTCGCGGTCTCCGCGATCTCCTCGATCTCCACGGTCACCGCCTCGTCCACCGCCTCGTCGGTCGTCAAACAAGTCCCGACGGGGTCTGTCGTCAAAGTCCCGGCGACGGCGATCACCCCGGTCACCTCCACGATCGCCCCGTTCAGCTCGCTCAGTACGGTCACCACGGTCCCATTCTCTGTCATCACGTCGGCCAGAGTAGCGGTCTTCGCGCTCGCGAGCACGGTAGTCGCGGCTGGTTGAGTAGGAGTTAGGCTCGCGCTCGCGACGAGAATCGCCACGGGAGCCGTGGTGAGGCGATCGTGACCGTCTTCTTTCGCCGCGATCAGCACGGTCACCTCGTTCGGCGCGGTCACCTCTGTCTCGGTCTCGTCGCTCGTCGCGCTAGAATTGGGTTAATCGCCGTGGTTGCGACCAAAGACAGGTTAGCACTTACATAATAATCGCGCGAGCGTCCAGAGTCTGTAGGAAGTATGTTAGAAAGTATTCAATTGTGGGTATATGGATGTGTCTTACCTCTGGAAGAATAGGTATCGCCGTTCATGTTGAGCTGTGTTGCGGAAATGGAGCTCTGTCGACTGCGAAGGGGAAAACTCACTGTCCCGGAGCTGCAGGCGGTCGGGTCGTCACCGCCCGCTGGGAAGACATCCTCAACAGGCAGAAACGAGCTCATCGTGTTTGACGAATCTAGAAAGACAAAGAGTTTCTTTGAGATCGGAAAGATGCATCCGACAAGTCTGACTGAGTGGCGCAAGCTGCCTCTGGGTTTGAGTGAGCTCTGCATCAACACAACTCTACGATGCGGCCAATCATTTAGGTTTGTTGACAATCGTTTATATTCGAGACCCAACTGACCCTTTTAGATGGCAGCACCTCCCCGACAACGAAGAATGGCGATGTGTCCTCTATGGGCGCTTTCTTTCACTAAAACAGGATTCTGAGTACCTGTACTATCGCTCAACTCCTCCTCCCCATCTTCACATCCATGCCGCCTTGCAACATTCCTCCCACAACGATGTCGAAGACCCGCTTGTCCGCATTATCAACCATTATTTCAACCTAACGCCCAGTTTGACCGATCTCTACTCCCAATGGTCATTGAGCGACCCAAATTTCAAGAAGAAGGCCTCGCAGTTCACCGGAATTCGAATCTTGCGCCAAGATGCCTGGGAGGCATTGGTCTCATTCATCTGCAGCAGCAACAATAACATCGCTCGCATATCCCAAATGGTGGAAAAGCTATGCGCGATATATGGACAAAGCGTGGCGGAAATTGACGGCCGCACTTACTTCGACTTCCCAAAGCCCGAACGCTTGACCGGCCCAAATACGGAAAGCGAGCTCCGAAAGCTAGGATTTGGCTATCGGGCTAAATACATCTATGAAACTGCTCAGACGATAGCTGAGATGCGGGAGAAGGGTTGGCTGGATGGTCTTAGCAACCCTGAGTGCCCGGCATTCGGCGTGGAGCCAAAACCCAGCAGCGAAATGAAACCAGAGGGGCGAGATGGATACCGTGAAGCCCATGAGAAGCTCCTAGAGCTCAAGGGAGTGGGACCTAAAGTGGCAGACTGTGTAAGCCTGATGGGCCTTGGATGGGGAGAGTCTGTGCCGGTTGATACTCATGGTAAGTGATCTCAATCCTCCGTATGGCTTCTTTCTGACTTGCGATAGTGTGGCAAATCGCACAGCGAGACTACCGGTTCGGCAAAAGCTCCAGCAAGACCTTGAACAAGACTACTTACGATGCTGTTGCAAATCACTTCCGCAAGCTCTGGGGTAAGGAGGCTGGATGGGCCCATAGTGTGCTCTTCACGGCGGACTTGAGGACATTTGCAGATAAACTTGCCGCTACAAAGAAGGTCGATGTGAAGGTGGAAGAGACAAAGTCCGAGGTCATGATTGAGACGGACGTCTCCACTGCCATCGCTTTGAAAATGCCAAAAGAAGACGTGGACGTTAAGGTCAAGGTCGAGGATATAGATGAAGCTGTCAAGACACCCAAGGGCAAAAAGCGCAAGGAGTCAGACGGCATAATCCATGCTGCTCATACGACAGAGACTCGAAGGATATCCAAACGGTTACGGCGCTGAGCTTGCCAGTGACAAAACCTGCTTGGTCCAGTTTTGCCACATGGATATATTTGTACACTATGAAGCGTTGAACTTATATACCATGCCTGAAATTTCAAGACATGACTGTACAATAGAACGATGATTCAAAATGGATAAAGGTTTCTTCATTCGCTAGTTAAATGCTATATTGATCAAAGCCTATAACCGTAGTTAGTACAACGGTCAAGCAACTCAATGACAAAAGTTTTGTGGAAAGAGATTGATCAGAAGTCCAGTTAGATCATCGAGAAGGCGTCCGAAAACACCAACTCTGACATAAGAGGTACCAGAAAATAAAGTATAAACAAATGCGTTGTATCATCATAAAAATTGGGTTGGCTGACGGGAGAAAAGTGGAAACTGACCTGATATTGGCGATGATGGACGGAACAGGGGGTTAGTCGACGTGAAAATTGTGAGATACAACTCAAGTTGACATGGAAAACATCAATTCCAGTCAACTCGAACGCAAAAACAAAATTGCTGGGAGTTGAAGTTGCAAGAAAAGCAGGAGAGCGAAGAGATGAAGTTTTCCCGCAGAAGGAAATAAGCGAGGCACGTGACCCCACACAGGCCGTCTTCCCGCCCACACCTCCTCCTCGGATTTCGATCTCTTCATCCACGCCGACAACCGACCAGATTTCCTCCGCCGGACACATCACCAACCAAAATGGGTCGTCTTCACAGCAAGGGCAAGGGCATTGCCTCCTCCGCCATCCCCTACTCCCGCACTCCCCCCGCGTGGCTCAAGACCACCCCCGACCAGGTCGTGGACCACATCTGCAAGCTGGCCAAGAAGGGTGCCACCCCCTCCCAGATCGGTGTTGTCCTCCGTGACTCCCACGGTATTGCCCAGGTCAAGTTTGTGACTGGTATGAAATTCTGGAAAATATCGAGTGAAGGAAGGCGTTTGCTAACATTTCGCGATAGGTAACAAGATCCTCCGTATCTTGAAGTCCAGCGGTACGATTCCCTCCGCCCGCATAATCACTTCCGTCGGGTGAAGAGAGCGAATATTTGTGTGAAGAAAACTTTTCTGGGTGATTCCAAGAAATGCTACTTTCGAAGCGCAATGCTCGACTCTCTCCCCGACACTGGTCGCAGAAATGCACCAGCAATTAAGCCTCTGCTTGGTTCAGAACATCTTGACTGACAGAGAGATTGGAATACAGGCCTCGCTCCCGAACTCCCCGAGGACCTCTACTTCCTGATCAAGAAGGTAAAAATCTTTTTCTCCACCCATCTTTTTTGTCAATTTCACGCAGAGCATGCTAACCGCTCACTCTTCAGGCCGTCGCTGTCCGCAAGCACCTCGAGCGCAACCGCAAGGACAAGGACTCCAAGTTCCGCCTCATTCTGATCGAGTCCCGTATCCACCGTCTGTCCCGTTACTACAAGACCGTCGGTGTCCTGCCCCCCACCTGGCGCTACGAGAGCGCCACCGCTTCCACCCTCGTCGCATAAGCGAATTTTGGGAGGATGTGTGGTTGACGGAGGGAACCCATCGGATCGTCGTGATCGTCGTATCTGGGGGTTTATCTTCTACTAGATACAAAAAAAGGATACGATTATTATTTGATACCCTGTTCATGAATGCTCTAGATTTTTGAGTAGTTGTAGATTTTTCCGTATGATCATAAACATTTGATATCTATTTGCATTTAGAATCAATATTCATTTGCATCCCTTGGCAATACTACGGGCAGTCTGCGTTCTCTTGGCATCACTTGGATGACTTTGGTTCTTTTTAGGGCTTGGTGGACTTGGATGTTTCAACACTCACCATCTAGCCAAACTGGTCGACCTTCAGTGAACATATGGCGGTGTATATAAGGAGTATTATCATTAAGTAAAGAATATATTTGTATTCTTGTTGCTACTCGAACATATTACTGTGAAGCCCATCCCATGTCTTTGTATATTTCTATTTAATACTCGAATTTAATCATTTGACGAACACATTAGGACCCAACGTATCTGGGCTTGCAAATCGTGACCTAACATCTCTCGAATGTTTAACTCTCATCTATGGAGTGGAGATTGCATCAGCATGAGCCGTTGACATATTAACCTTAAAGGGTAATTCAAATCCTCCTTCTCATGTCTGGGATTTAATGCCAACACAGACTTGAACCAGCAAGCCTTGTCGTTCCCTGCTACAGGTATCTGGATAAAGAGACTCACTCTGTGTTCTACCAGGAACCTTGTCACATAACCCACCACGCCTCAAAATTTTGACGTGCTGCAATCATGGGATATGAGAGCAGACTGGAGCGGGAGGGCTCGTACACTGAGCTCCAGAAGTATCGATGGTCGAAGTCGGATGCGGAGCTGGAATCCCCCCTACTCCCGCTTCTCCGAACAGAGCTAGAACTCCGGGGGGTAGTTCAAAGAGAGCTGTCTTTGCAAAACTGGAAGCCTTCACATGAAGAGACCAACAAGGAAGACAAAGGAAATCAAGCACGAGAGGAAACCGTCCAGATTCAGCTCCAAGTTCTGAACAAGAGATATTGGCTCCTTGAACGCGAATGGTGGAAGCATCGATATGATATCTCCGGTCCAGTACGCAGAGCATTCGAGTTTTGGCGATCCCACTCTCAATGGTACCTGCATCGTAACATTATCGAGTGCTGTGCTGCAAGAGGAGGGTGCTGTGGGTTTCAGCTGCGGATGTTGTGTCAATCGCAAGATCCCCGAGGGACGCAAGCTTGGGGTTGGGCACTGTACTGATGAATGTGAATGTTGCAAAGCTCGCGTAGCATCTATTACAGACCTTACCGAAGCTCAGAAGGAGGTTGTTTATTCGGATTTTGATCTCAATCTGTCTACTTCCTACTATGATGCGCTCTGTCGAGCTTCGATTTGGGGGCTGCCTCCCGTTCGGATGTGTGGCGACGGGAGAAGCCCGTCTGAGTTGATCTGGCAAGCAATATACCACCTGACATTCAGTCTGAAGGACGGAAGGAATCTCATCGGCTACAAGGCAGTTCTCACGAACAAGACTCGGTGTGAGGTCATTGTTATATGTTTCATTCCCATCTTTTTGATGTTGTTGGTGTGCTTAATCGCCATGATATGAGATATACCTGATTTATCTTGATGCAATATACTATTGAGTGCGTTTCTAAACGTCTTTCCAAACGTCTTCTTAGGCGCCTTGTTAGAAATGTCTTTTGCTCTAGGTGCTGACTGAATCACAGATCCTGTGCCCTTTTGGTTGTATATTTTTAGAATTTTTACTTACCACCGGCCCCCAACAATCAACAAGCATGACCATTCTTCCCATTCACTCCGTTCTAACTTCCCTCGCAACGGCATTACAAAGCTCGACCTTGACCCCTGCAGACAAGAGGATATGAATCCATAGGCGTTGAGTATCACTCAGCCGATCATTCTCCGACTTGACCTCAGCAAACATCACCGTCCGGGTCTCATAATTCCAAAGGAACAAGTCTGGGATGCCTCCGCCGCGCTGTTGATACTCCTGTGCCATGACCTTGCAAATGGTAGCAAGAGCTTCGCCGCGGAAACATTGCACGATCTCAACCAAGTCCTCCAGATCAAAGGACCAGTCAAGACCAACAGCACAGGGCTGCGCTTCGCCTTCCCGAGAATGGATCTCACGGATAATACGCTCTGCGTTACCATTCGTAATCTCAACCAGCCGATGATTGATTTCAGATGCACGAGACGGATAGAAAACATCCGTGTGTAGATCCAGCGGACATGTCTGAAATGCCGTCTGGAAGACGTTGGGCACGTAGGTAAACAGAATATCGTAGAAGAGGTAACCAAACTGCAGGTCTTAGTGTTAGCTGACTCCTCTCCCAGGTTTTTCATTATACTCACCAAGGTCCGAACAATACCCCCCTCAGAGTGATACCCCTTCCAGCCATGATCGCGGTACCAGCTCAAACACATACTCTCAACTCTACACTCACCCCCTTCCCTCTCATCAACCCAAACAGTCGCCTTCCCTTTCCGAGGCACATCCTCCGTATCAATCCGGATACCCTCAACAATCCGCTCAGCCGGTCTCCCAAGCATGACATGACCAAAATCATGCTGCTCACGCTTAACCACCCGAAGAGCCTTCTCAAGCTTCGTAATCCGCTTCTGCAAATCATAATGAAAGATCAGATGACACAACGGGTCTTCCAACCCGTTCTCGCACGTCTTCAACGCAATCCTCTTCCAATGCTTCCGCTGATTCTCCTCACTGCGACCCCCAGCCGGCGTCAGAGCCGCCATGTAATGTTCTTCCAGCAATGCTTTACGCTGATACCATGCGCCGCGCCGCGCAGCATGGAAGAGTCGTTGAGCGAGAAGTTCTTCGAGAACCTCGTGCTCGCGTTTATGCTCCTTGAACCGGCCGAGCGGGTGCAGGCTTTTGTGGATGATTCTGGTAAATACCCATGCTGGCGAGAACCGGCGAAGATAAGCGCCTTCGCCGCTTTCGTAGATGCTGTCTTCTTTTTGTTGTTCTTGGTTGACTAGTTCCTTCCATCGCGGGTGGAACTTATTTGCTAGGTCGATGATTTGTTGTAGGGATTCAGTTGTAGGTGGACCGTTGAATTCGAGTATGTTATCTATGGCAAACTGGGTTTGTATGGCGGCCTCGAATTCTAATAGTGCCTCTCTGGATGAGAATATCGAGTTTGAGCGGCAGACGATGTACTCGGGGAAGTTTCTCTTGGACATTTTGGCCAGGATTATTGTTGTGAGGGATTTTTCGGTCCACTCGGTTGATCGGTAGAAGACTAGGTGCACTCGTTCGAAGAGAGAACGGGGGATAGACGAGAGCCGGATACATCCACCTGTGTAGTCCAGTATCTTCTGGGTGAAGTGGCCATCTCTGTTGTTCGTGTCTTTGAGTCCTCTCTGTGCCTGGCTCGTTTCGCGAAGACCTGCCAGCAGCTCTCTCTTACTCTTACCTTGCACCTTGGCTTCCTTTGCAAAGACTTTCAGCTCCTCGAGTAACAGAAGTGATGACGCCTCTTCCAGCGTTGTTATCTCTTCTATGCCCTCGGCGAATCTAAAATTTTCTCCGAGATTCGAGTCAGGCAAACTTCGCTCGCTCTGCAGGTCTTCGGCGACTGAGAACAAATCCGAGATATCGGAGTAATAGTTCAGTCTGTCGATACGATGCCATGCAGAGGTCTTGCGCAGGAATAGCCGCACATAGCTGGATAGTTATCAGTATTAAGGAATAGACCGTTAGATTTACAAGAACACATACAGATATTGGGATTCATAGGATAGCTCCCGCCATTGCCTGAAGATTTCCATTTCGGTCTCGTCGAACAGATGCGATTCCTCATCCAACACAGTCTCGAGTGCTAAATTGAACGCATCAACATAGATAGAGCTTTTGCCTTTCTGCCAGACTCCATCTCGTAGTCTCACATGTAACCCAGGCTCGGTATCATTCTTGGACGTCTCATACTCTTCAATCGCATCCTCGTCGGTCTTGATGGCAGGGAGTGACGTCTCGAGATCCGTCTGGCTGCTGGGAATATAGCCCAAGTCCTCTGCTGCAGGTGTGTCCCTCACATCGATCGAAGGACTCGAACTCGGACTCGAACTCGGACTCGGCGGCTGTTTTATCTCGGGCTCCGCCTCTGCATTGTTACTCTCGTTCAGCTGCTCAGAAGTCCGCCGCCGTTTCACAGGCCGCTGTGTCTCCCAGAAGTCCAATAGGGTCATGGTGTCTCGATTCCATAGCAATCAGACTTAAGCAACCAAAACCCCTCGATGTAGACACGAGTGGACGTGTCTCGCGAAACTTTGGAACACGAGATCACGTGCAGATACAACGGTTAAGTTGTTTGTCGTGTTTGCAGCCTGCCCAACAGCAACAGCCTGCAAGCTAACGAGAAAGAAACCTGGAAGAAACAGGAACCCCTTTGACAGCCCTTTGATAGATATAGAGATCCCCATCTATAAAAATGACCACTATACCAGTAAGCCCAAACCCTCTCTATCCCTCCATCCCTCACGGAAAAAGAAAGACAAGAAAACGGAGCTCCACAGCTTCCGCTCCGCAAGCCCACTCCAACAACCAACTTCCTACTGCCACACCCTCCAACCTCCCAAACCAATCCCAAGACTCAATCAATTGACCTCCGCCAGCCTCAAACTCCTACAAACACAGCTCCACCGGCACCGACACCGCCGAATAATACCAACTCCAATACCAACTCCAGCTTGAACCCCAACTTCAACTCCAACTCCACTCCCGCACCGCAACCCAAACCAACATCCGCAATGGGCGAAGCCAACGGCTCAAACACTCCCCTGGGAGATCTATCCGGCCTCTCTGCGACGCAAGTCCGGCCTGGTGGTGCGCCTGCGCGAGTTTATCTGAATGAGAAGATTGTCCCGCATTTGCTTGAAGGGATGAAGTCTGTTGCGAGAGAACAGTGAGTTGTGCATGCTCCTTCCAGGTAGATAATAGAGTGCTGATGTTAGTACCTTTAGACCTGCCAATCCTTTACGGGTGCTTGGTGAATTCTTGCTTCAGAAGAGTAATGAGGTCGAAGGTGAGGGTAAGAAGGACTCGGAGTAAAGCGAACTGGATGGTGGGATGCTTGTTTCTACTGGGCGTTTGATTTTAATGGCGCTGGCGTAGATGTTTTGGACCGGGGGCATCGGTTGTGGTTTCTCTGTCTGTCTGATTGATTGTTTTGTCTTTTACTCTTGGAGGCATTGCGTTAGCTTAAGCATACTTCAGTGTATGCATTCAGGTATGACTTAGCTTTGTCCCACTGCTCACCATTTGATACCCACTTCAATATCAACAACTGCCTTTCATGGCTTTGGAACTTACGCGCGAAACTGAATGTAACTGCCGTATTACAGAAAGGTAAAAACCGAGACTATACAAGAGGGCTTATATGTTACAACCTACGGGTTAACTGGCTGACAGTTCTACTCGACCAGTCTAGAGGGACAGATATATATCTATGCGTGGGTCTAGGGCAGTGATGTAGGCAAATTACTAGAAATGTCCAAAATTTTGATGCAAGAATCAGTTTAGGTTGTTGCCAGCAATCTTCACCAGACTGCATATTTTGCAGTGGTTGAACGACCAGCAACTTCCATACCTGTGTAGGAACATACTGTACATATGAGAGACATATCCTATGGAAGGTAAGCACACTTCAGTCCAGCCAAAAAAAGACGAAGATTCCAAAAAAAGATCAAACCTGCAGGTTAGCTTGCAGCACATCTCACCTTCAGCTTGACCAAATTTCAAGCTGATCAGATATCCATGGATGGTTTAACGCCTGCAGTTAAGGGGCTGGTACTACAAGCGCAAAGTCGACGGGCTTTGGCGAAAGAGGGCGAATGGTTGTTCATTCAGAGTTGTTTAGAGAGAGTCGAATACAATCGAGCCGGTTACTGGAGATGTTGTGGAGGTGAAGAGGTGCAGGTGTGAGTGACGAAAATGCTGAGCCATAGAAATCCGAATTACAGCGATAATTGTTTTGTTCCCTTTTTGCCGCTAGAAGAATTCCCGAAGTCGCGTCGCGAACAGACATAAAAGAGACACATCATCAAGCAAAACCGAAGTGTGACTAGCCGATGAAGTATTGGCGAGCCGGTCGCAGTAAGGCCGATGGTCCGTTTTGCTGAGACGAGATGCGAAAAAGCAATTGACAAAACAAGACGACGCCCCGTGGCCCGTCGCCCAAATCCCGCATTAAAAGCAATTTCAGAACAAAAACGAAAAATTTGGGGAGAGAAATGGGCAAAGAAACGCGAAACCAGCGAGACAATTCACGGACCGGTCTCTCTTCTGGTTAAGAAACAAGGAAAGACACTTTACCTGCCAGCGTAGCGGTCCTCGCCACCACTGCTGCGTGCCTGACCTTCGTAGGAACGGCTGCCACCACCACCGGCGTAAGGGTCGCGAGGCTCACGAGGAGGGCCAGCAGCATCAAAAGCGGGAGGGTTAGCGTCACGGTCGTAGTAGCCACCACCACCACCTCCACCACGGGGCTCATCAGCACCACCACCACCACCACCACCACCACCACGGCGATCATCGCGGCTGTAACGATCCTCACGGCCACCGCCGTAGCGGTCAGCACCTCCACGGTAACCATAGTCATCGCGAGACTCACGGCGACCACCATAGTCGCGGCCACCGCCACCACCACCACCACCACCACTACCACCACCCCCGTAGTCACGGCGGCCATAATCGCGGCCGTAGTCGCGGCCATAGTCGCGGCGGTCATTGTAAGAGTCGTAGCGACCGTAGCGGGAGTACTCGTCATCGCGACGGCGCCAGCCACCACCTCCATAGGGGCCACGGCGGTCATCGTAACGGTCACGGCGGGGACCACCTCCACGACCACCACCACCACCACCACCCTCTAACAAAGGAAGTGTGTAAGTTTCGACAAAGGACAAAGCAATAGAGTGGAGCAGGGATAAACTTACCACGCTTGGGGGGACCGAAGTACTTTCCGGGGGTAGGAGTACGGGGACGGGCGCGACGGGCCTTCTCGATGCTCAAGGTGCGACCCTCGATGACCTCGCCCTGCAGGCCCTCCTTGGCGGCATCGGCCTGCTCCGCGGTAACCATGTTGACGAAACCGAATCCGCGAGACTCCTTGGTGTGGGGGTCCAGCATGATGGAGCAGTTGTCGACATCACCGTACTTCTCGAAGAGACGCGAGATATCGGACTCAGTCAGACGGGGGTGAATGCCAGTGACGAAGAGGTTGGAGCCGGAGTTGATGGCGCCCTCATCCTCTTCCTCAATGGGCTTGCGGGAAATAGGAGCTCTGTAGGGGTTGATTAGAGAGGAAATATATGTATTGGTTCAGATGAAACGAACCTGTCGTCGGAGCGGCCGTTGGGGGAGCGGCTGCGAGCACGGTCGCGGTCGGCTCGAGGCTCATCGCGAGGAGAAGCGCTGCGGTCGCGATCGTACCGGGGCTCGTCTAATCCAGAATGAGCAATCACTTGTATATCATCAAATAAAAGGACTTACCGGCGTAACGGCCGTTGTCATTCTCGTAGTCAGCCATGATGAGTGAAAGACCGAAAGGTGTGAGAAGGAAGGAGGAAGAAAGTGAGGTCCAACGATAAGAGCCCGGGAAAATCGAACGATCAACACCCGAGAATTCAGGCAGCACCACCGCCTCACACCGGATTACGAATTATCGTTAAAAAGTTCCGTTAAGGACTTTCGTTAAGGAAAAATAGGAAATTGAGAGAATTGGAAAACGGGCTTAGTCCAAGCAGGGGGTTCACGCTAAGAACAAACAGCTGCAATGCGCCAAGACTCGATCGCCATTGGACTTATTAGCTATAGCTACAAATACAAAAAAAGGCTCGCTAAAATCAAATCCTGGACGCCCTGCGCCTCGCGCTCATTAAGTATCACATTATTTTGAGCCGCGCAAACGTCGCGTCCGACGGTTATTCTGTTGAGAAGCAGCTGGAGCGCCGTTGGTATTGGCAGTACCCCCGAGCTCTTCATCATCCACCAAGTCCTTCAATCCTTCAAGTTCGTCCTCGTCCAATTCACTGAGCTCCTCGCTCATACCACGCATAACATCCCGTCCTGTCCATCGTTCCTCGTGAACGGTGGTGCCAACAGGATCGAATGGCTGCATGTACCATTGGATGCCACCTTGAGCCAGGGGCAGCTGTTGGTCCTGCTCGGTCAAGATAGGCGTTGGGTGCCGATGATAGGCATAGACATCGTTCACGGGGTCTTCTGCGGGTGCCCCTTCTGCGCCAGAATCTTCGGGGGGCTGTTGGTCTGGAGCAGGTTGAGCCTCGGATGGAGCCTCTGTAGTTTCCTCGACACCTTCCATGGCATCAGGGTGGGCAGACAGCTCAGTGTCACCCTCCGGCTCGGGAGAATCACCACCACGAGACATAACACTGTGGTCAAGAATCACGTCCAGCTCTTTCAATTCTTTCTCAAATGGTTTGCGGTTCAACTCGCTCTCTTTCTTGATTGCATCCTCCAGGGAAGGCTGAATGACCTTGATGATGCGCTTGGCCAGTTTTCGCTTCTCGCGTTGCTCCAAGCTAAGCTCTGGGGCACGGCCGCTGATCTGTGCTTGTAGTTCAGCGGTGTCGCCAGCAGGCTCCACTCCGATTTCTGACGTGAACAGGCTAGCCAGGTCGGCAGAGAAGGTAGCAACAGATGGATAGAAACGCTCATTCAATCTCTGTCGTATTGACATCAAGCCAGGAGCAAAAACACCCTTTCCGTCAAGCCTGGTTTAGAGTCAGTAAAAGATATGCCAACTTTTCAAAAGAGTCTCTTACAGTTGAGCTTTCTCAAGGATGGGCCAGAGTAGTGGGAACGTAGGGAAATAGACAAGATCCACAATGTTCCGTAGCATCTCGGCATCCTTCAACTTCTCCTTCTCTCGTTTCTTCACTTCATCACATAGCATCCGTAATCGATCGAGATCCTTGTAAAGTCGTTCGCCAAATTCGATGCGACGTTCCAGGCGTTTGTACCCGGGAACACCCATAGCTACGTAGTCTCTTCGTGTCATCTCCATGGAGGAGAATGTTTCGAGCTGCAACTGAAGTCTCTTGAGCAATGCGGCTCCACGTCTCGCTTCACGCTTCAGCGTCCAATACTTGGATGCATCCTCAGCGTATTGCTTTCTTTGACGGACCGTGAATCGCTGAAGGGAGGCAACCACTGAGTTCAGAACAACCTGAGGAATCACTGGAGCACCCGAGGGTAGTTTCCAAATCATTCGAGGTACGCGCTTGCGCTTATTACCGCCGATAGTCAAGGTAATGCGAGGAGCTGAAGCGAGGTCATCTTCACCACCCTCAATGACGGGATGTGACGGACCGGTTGAAAGTGCCACAGCTTGACTATCACCCCACCGTCGACCGCTCATGGTATTGCGGTAGTATTCCATGGCATCAGCAGTTGCAATATCCGTCCCGTGCTCCAGTCGCCAATCATGCGGAACGTGCTTGTCACAGAAAGCTTTGAGAAGGTGAGAGTCCATGAGGCTATGTCCAGTCTTCATCTTGAGATACAGCTGAGCTCGGCGTGCACATGAGACGTGGAAGGCCACGAAGCAGTTTTTGTTACTGCACTGAATGGAGGCACCCATCCGCTGCTTGCAAATGTAGCAATTCAGCTTCCAGCGACTGCGAGGGACTTTTTCAACATCGGTAACTGGCTCCATAAGAGATGGGTTGCCAATAGAGACTTCTGGAATCCAGAAAGAGCAAAGCAGATGGGCCCATTTGGACGAGGTAGTTTGTTTAAATGCACCTTCAGTGTTTGGGCAGAAGATACAATTTGTGGCACCTCTCCCTAGTAGCTGGCACTTGCGGCAAAGCCACTGGCCTTCTGGGATGAAAGGCACACCATAACACTCTTGATGTACCGCAAGGTCGCAACCATCACAGAAAACAATGGCATTTGCATTTTCACAGTCGCCATCATCGCAGATAGCACACTTACTGTCCTGCTCTTCGCCTGGTCCAGCGGTTTCGCCATTGACAGCAGCAGCTGAACTGGAGCGAGGCCGTCCAGTCTGTGGTGGTTTGGGGTTCGGCTTCGGGATGCGCTTCTCAAGGGCGTGCCATTCCCTCTCAATCTTGGTCATGGTAATTTCAAACACAGCCGGTTTGATGGGCTCAAGCTGATCTTCGCGACGTTTGGCATTATATTCTTCCAACCATTTCTCATCCTGCTCGTCCATATCATATTCCACGCGTCCAGTCGTTGTGTTAACGTCATCGGTCATAGCAGGCTGAATGACATCCAAGTCATCTTCTTGTGTGCCTTCAGTCATACGAATAAAACGCCGGTCATGACGGAGAAACAGATCGCTCTCCTGGTAACCAACAGCTGCCATAGTACGATCGACATAATTTTGGTGGCCCACACCTTTCTTCTCGTAGAATGTGAAGGGGTCACGCAGCCTGAACGACGGCTTTGGCAGGGTCAACTTCTCCCGAGGGTTAGGACCAGGCGGTGGAATGACCTTCTGTCCTTGATGAGAGAACATGGCGTTCAAGATAGCTTCAGGGCGACGTGGTGGGCGACCAGGCCTACGTTTCATCGGGAATGGAGACGAGGCGTCGGCTGAATAAGATGCTGGCGTTCCTGGACTATCCAGCCCGTTCGCGCCACCCAGTGATCCCAAGCTCGGGGATTCTGCTGTAGCATCTGGAGCATCGACTTCATGGGAGCTGAAGACTGCAAGCTTGCCATCGATATCCAAGTCGGGGTGGAACTCCTCCCATCCGCGTTCTTCGCGTGGCTTATAGCCATCACCTTGTTGAAGAGCAAGTGCAGCAGCCGTGGAGGAGGTAAAGCGACCCCGACTTTGGGTCTTATCGCGCCTCGGACGCGTCATTGAGGGTGGTGTTGTTGGTACAAGGGGAGGTGGCGGTGGAGGGGCCTGCATTGGTTGTTCGATCTCACGCGGAGCTGGGCGACTCCGAGCACTTGCAGAGTGGCGGCGGGGGGCACTGGATGTCTTCGGTGTTTGTGATTCTTCTTCGGCGACAATAGTGCCGTCGGCGTCGATAAACCTTCCTCCGCCTCCAGGACCGCCGGGAATGTACCTTCGCTTCTTCATAGGAGGGCCCTCAGGCGAATCGAGGAGCCCGTTGTTTGACGACTTCAAAGAAGATCTTGGCCGACTACGTGATGGGCGACCGGAAACCGAGTGTCTAATAGACGGCGCCATAACACCACGAGCGTGAGGGACTGGGTGTGGATCGTCGAGGGTAATTGTCAATCGGACGGATCCAAGTTGCGTTGAGCGACCAACTCAAGCTGGGCGGCGAAATATAAATCGCAAGCTTCACATGCGACAACTTAAGAACAGCAAGTCGCAAATGACGCCAGGCCTGTCAAAGCTGAGAAGCGCGATGAGGAGGAGTGTTTGGTTATCTGGCCAAGGCGGAGACACCCGAGCTGTCATTTTGTGGCCTCAGGTGTCAACGGAACTCCTAAGCAACCTCCGCGTCAACTTGACATATCCAGCTCCCCAAGCTATTTGCGATCTTTTGATTTTGTTCCTACTCGTCGTTTCTACACATCCACGATGAGCTCTCCCGGCGAAAACAGGTACGCATTTGCCACCGAAGGCATTCCGCGTCTTCCAGGTTCTCTAACTGCTTTTGTCTTCCTACTGTAGATGGCGGGGTGGACCTAGTCGCCAGTCCTCGCAGCGCAGCGGCGGAAACCGCGACAAGACAGGAGGACAGGGTGGCGCACGCGATGGCAATGCTGCCTGGGGTGCATCAAACGCACCGCAAGAGCAACACGTCCCTGTACGGGGATTCAATGCCGCAGAAGCCAAGAACATCTTGAAGAGAGGTATAGTTGTCCATCTGACCTTGCTCAAGGATTTACGAAGCTAACTGGGATTTTCTCATGTATTAGGATCCCGGGGTATGTTATTATATGCCTACGTACTTGCACAAGCCTAACTCGTTGCCCTTCCTACAGAATCGAAGCCAAACATCTACAAGCCTACCGCCAAAGACGCGCCCAACCGAGCTGGCGGAGCCTGGGGCTCCAAGCGTACGTCTCCCGATTGCATTATTTTATTGAATAGAGAATAACCTTGTTACAGCGCACCTGATGGCAAACGGGAGGGACTTCTTCGTCGAGCTTCGAAAACAAATTACATCGCTGCAGCGCGGGCCCCCTATCGGCGGTTGAACATAACGATGACTGTTGCGTCTTCTTTTTCTCGCATTTTTGTGTCACACAGTCGGCCGGTTCGCGAGCTTGGTTCATTTTTATAGGTTACAACGGCGCATCATCGATACCCTACTGTGGAGGAGGATTCATGGGTGATGAGATGGAGGTTACATGGCATTGGCGTCTCTGAAATTCCGGGTCTTACATGTCGATAAAGCACAATCGCTCCTGCAAAAATATATTCAGTTACAGTCCAGGAATTCGAAGGGTAGGTATAGACATGGAAATGGTATTGGGCTTGCCCTATCTTACATAACGCAACGCTATTACACAAGAGGTTCACGGGTATCACTAATATACACAGACATCCTATAACAATAATCACACCCGGTACCAACCAGCAGGACCGAGGATTCCTCCATCATCAGCTTGCGGATCAAGAGACCACTTTCGCACAGGACGACCGCTTAAATCAGAGCGCCACCCAGCCTCGAACATCTCAATCCCAGCCCACCCAATCATAGCCGCATTATCAGTACACAATTTAACAGGCGGCGCGACAACCTTGATATCCTGGAATCCGCGCACATCCAAAAAGGACCGAAGAACCCCCATGAGGAACCGATTCGCCGCAACGCCACCGCTGACAACAAGCGTCTTGACCTGATCCCTGTCAGCGGTACCACGCGGCCGAAGCATCTCAAGAGCCATAACAGTCCGCGAAGCAAGATGCTCGAAAGACACGCGCATGGCTTCCCGGCCAAGATCAACCCGTTCTTCGGTGGACATCTCGCCATCTTTCTTCTGAATGATCTTCCCAACCATGCTCGACACCGAAGAAAAGCTGAACTGTAGCGTCCGCGTATTCGCAAATGGCGTGGTGATATACCACCCCCATTTGTTTTGGCGAGTAGTCAATTCTTGGCCGCGGGTTTCCGGGGCTCTGTAATCGCTGAAATCGGCTTTCCCTCCGGGGAAAACGAATTGCTCTAGCGTCTTGCCGTACATGGTGCTTTTTGCTTCTTGCAATAGCTCCGCGGGCAGGATGTCTCGTGCTGATTTGTCCAGCGCCTCTCCAATGGCTATATCCTCGCTTATTGCTATGATCTTATGCTCCGTGAGGCCGGTGGAGTGGACCAAGATCGTATGGCCCCCGGACACGAGGATGGATAGAAAAGGGAATTCGGGCGCCATGGTTGGTGTTGGTAGTTGTGTTTCGGTGCTGGTCTCTTTCTCATTCTCCATGCATGAAACAAGTCGGGGCGTTAATAAATGTGCCTGCATATGGTGCACACCGACCATGGGGATCTGCCATGCGACAGACAATGCCTTCCCAGTATCAAGACCGACGGATAGATTAGACCGCATACCGGGGCCTCTTGTAGCGGATATAAAGTCAGGTATGCGGCGACGCGACCCATCCGCTAGCTTAAGTCCATCACCAGTCTTCGACTCTGGTAGATATTTGAGCGCTTTTTGTACGAGATTTGCGAGATGTTCCTGATGTGATTCGAGGGCAATGATAGGATGGATGCCTCGATGCGCGCGGGTGTCAGCAGTGATATTTTCCAGGAAATGAATCTTGGCCGCGTCTCCTGCTGCTTTCTTTGTTTTCTCGACGACCGCTACCGACGTGTCATCACTGTTGTTGGCGCGCAGTTAGCTTCATGTCTTTTCTTTTCGGGTTAGGTGAGCGCCTCAGCTTACCATGATGTTTCGATCGCCAACGTGAGCAAGCCGCGGCAGCAGGTCTGACATCTCCTTGAGACGCTTACTGCTGATCTGTGCAGGGCTGCGACGGGAGTCGCTGGGAATAGCATTGCTGGGGTGCTTGACTTGATGAGCGGCGCCAGGGGCGAAAAAGATCGGACCCGCACGGACCGGAGAAGCCCTCGAATGAAGCCCTAAGGTGGTCACCAATGCGGTATTTTATTGATCTACGGATTACTGTTGATCAGGACTTTTTTTTGGCAAACTTATACACTTATCCTCAATCTGTCGGTATAGAGGTATCCGACGGACACCGATATATTCATAGTAACGAATGACTAAGTTAAAAAACAGCAATACTCATGTCAAAATCTTCGATCCAGTTCCCATCATAACGTCATAAAACATAATCCTCTCCCAAAACACTGATACATTAGTCTCCCCTCAGCAACAGGATGTGCAGCAATGGTGCACCCAAGTAGTCGGAGCTGTCGCAGAGAGTATTGAGAACACTCTGGACGAGCGAGACGCGCGGAAGGCACCGCTGCCTCCCCGGTGAACAGTCTCGAATACCAGGCCAGATGTACATTTTGATACAGGATTCTCTGTATCGACCGCCACTGTTGCACGTAAAGAAATTGTCAAGTATGCGAGGGGTTTTGATCAACGAGAGACCCAGAGCGCCGAAGCGCAGCGCCATTGCAGCAACAGACAGCGCCCAGATCATCCATAGCTATCCAGCTGATCACCATCAATCCAGTCATAGGCGGTCATTAGTGATACAAAAGCTCACGCTAATTTCACTGTCGGACCGTCCACCGTCGTTCTTCACGAGTCATCTTCGTGTGTTTGCCGTAGTACTCATCCGGATTCTCAATAGGCGTTACGCAGTGGACAGTTGGTGTGACTTTGAATTGGATGCGCTTGTCAACAGCTCCTGAGCGAGAGTCGCACTGCTTCTTGAGAATGCTCTTTGAGGAGCAAGAATTTGTGTATGAATAGCTTGGCACTTGTAGAGTTGAGAACCTCATGGTGGTCGGGCTCGCCGCGGAGATAGGCGAGGCAGGTGTACGAGGAAGACCACTTGGTGACTTGAGCGACAGTGTTGGCCGTGTAGTATTCTGGGCAGCAGAGATACTCAAGGAAAGCTTTGGCTTCATGGAGCGGGCACCGGTGGCAAGCATTATGATGGTATAGAATCCACAAAGGTTGAAGCTGAAGATAAAGTTGAAGAGGAAGATAGTATTTCAAGGAATATAAAGACCGATGACGTTATGTTTTCTTGTGTTCACAGGGAGACTTTGATCAACAAAGATGTCCCAGGTAGGAATGCAAGGAGAGGAAACAGATTATTGACGTGCAAGGAGCAGTGTAGATGAAGAAACTCGATTGGGCCAGCCAAGTCGAAGCGCGAGACGAAAATAGAAGAAGCGAAAATAGCAAAAATCTCAAACATGCAAATTGAATGCCCCTGGGGAGGATGCGGCGCCTATATACTCGAGAGGGGAACATAGGGGCCGTAAGCGCCCACTTCATGCACGACGCATGAATCACCACCTCATCACACTTTGGTTTCTATACTTGGAAAGCTTCCTTCTATCGGCCAATAATATTGTCCACGGGACGTATCGGGGTCTAGTGCACTGTGATGGGCGTTCGGGACTCTGTGACAGGCCAATGTGCTTGATGTGCCCTGCAACCAACTGCACAAGGAACACACCCTGTTCCTCTACTGACTCTAATTGGGACGATCGAATGAAGATTTTTAGTAAAATTGCAGAATTACCAGGTGATGCCCCGGCAGCGTGACATGCCCGCATCATCACAGTGACCAGCATCGCTAATCATTGGACCAGTCGCAAAGGTTTCTTGATTTATTAGGAATTGTACTGTACATATTGCCAAAGACAAGGCTATTTTAAATATATGCCAAGCTGTGATCCATGCCGCTGAGTCATTGCTTTGCGGGGGTCTTCACCTGCACACACCTCAGCTCGAGTATTGCGTCTGATAACCATGCCGTTGCGGCGCTCGCATGCGAAATCCCATCACGGCTGCGCCCAGTGCAAGAAGCGCCGGATCAAATGCGATGAGGCCCGCCCCTGTTGTGGTCCTTGCCAGAAAAAATACCTCTCGTGCACATTCAACAGTTCTCATCCTGAGCATCTTCCCCTTTGGGGCTCCACGACAGCCCCGCAGAGTAATGGAAGCGCAGCCATCCTGCCCCTGGGCGAACTCAAACTTTTGCATCATTGGCATACGGCGATAGCTCTATCGCTGGCACAGAACGAGGCCCTGATTGAAGTTTTTCAGACACATGTTCCTCACAAGGGACTGAACTACCCGTTTGTCATGCACAGTATACTTGCTATCTCGGCAATACATCTATCTCGGAAATCTCCTGATTCTCGCCAAAGATATACTGAAGTCGCAATACAACATCACAGCCTCGCATTGTCTCTCTGTGCGCCGCTTCTAAGTCACATGACATCGACGAACTGTCACGCCCTCTTCGCCTGCTCCCTTCTTATCAGCAGTTTTTCCTTTGCTTACCAAGGTCTGAATTTAGTATTTGGATCCACAAATGTGAACGAAGTGATTGAGGTCTTCAAGTTAGTCCGTGGGACTGCATCAATTGTAGAAAATGCTCGGCCGTGGATCGAGCAGGGTGATCTGAGGCTCTTGTTGAAGTTGACACGGTGTGGACAACAGCGCCAAAGATCAAAGCAAGTCCATGAAGTTCATGCTCAATTAAAAGCATTGTTTGAACAACAGGCAGATGACGGCCAGTCTCAATGTCAGGATGGCGTACGGGAGGTCGTACTAAGATCTATCAAGCATCTCCTTCATGTTTTTGACGCCTGTGTCGCTAGCGAGAACCAGAGCCCAATTCTAGCCTGGCCTGCTATAATAGATTCCGAATACCTGGATCTAGTACTGATAAAAGAACCGAGATCTTTAGTGACGCTCGCTCACTACGGGGCACTTCTACATGTCATGGATAAGGCTTGGTGGATGGAAGGCTGGGGAAAGATCTTGGTCAATCTTGCCGCAGAGTATTTGGACACGTCTGTGCAGTCTGAAATTGCCTGGCCTCTAGCTGTTATCGATGATGGAGGGTTTGGAGAGTAGCAAGCTTCGCGTTATTTACTTTTCTAGTATCACTTCCCAAATCTTTGCTAGCATTACATTGTCTCTATTCTTTAACCTTTATTTCTACGGATACCGAAACATTCGGGAGAATGGATTGCGAAGGCAGCCATATTGCAGAATACTGTTAGTTGAAAATGTGGCCCCCACATCCGCGCATCAATTCTCGTATAGAGTTATGACGGACAATATCTCGTGAATTAGCAATAGCATTCATTTGAATCTATACAATGGAGCTCTAGCTCTAGGATAAGATATTGAAAAGTAAAGCGATTGAATAAAGTAAACTAAAAATAGACTACCTAGCACACCTCTCTGCTCATGATTTTGGAGGTAAAGGCTTGAGAGGCCACTCATAGTCTCGTACAAAGATTGTCTCAAATGTCCACTCTCCAGAGCCAACAGTCTTCTGCAGCTCTCCCGACCCCTTTGGCAGAATAATCTCACAGGCCATGCCATGTGGGACAGTGACTTTCAACTCTAGGCTGCTTTGCTTCTCAGACAAATTCGACGTCTTCCACGAACAGGAAACAAGGCCCATGGGAGTCTCATGGGAAGCCGAGGCCCCCGAGAGTTCAGCGCCTATGCACGGCGCGATGCGGCACTTCTTCCAACCAGGTCCGGTCCTCTGTAAACCCGCGACTCTATCAAACAGAAACTTGGCGATCGCGCCAAATGCATAATGATTAAAAGAAGTCATTTCTCCAGGATTGACTCTCCCGTCTGGCAGCATGCTATCCCACCGTTCCCACATAGTAGTAGCCCCCATGGTCACTGGGTATAACCAGGAAGGACACGTCTTTTCAAGAAGCATTGCATAAGCGACTTGAATATGCCCTGTCAAGACAAGGGCTTCGCACAGGAATGGTGTTCCGGCAAACCCTGTGCCGATTCGAAAGTTGTTCTTCTTCACAAGATAGACCAGGCGACTCCCAGCTCGCTCCTGTTGTGTGGGTGTCAAGAGACCGAAACAGATCGCGATGGAGTAGGCTGCCTGGCTGTCGGATACAAGGCGGCCGTTAGTGGTCACATATTCCTCTTGGAATTCTTTCTTGGCCGCTCGAGACTCTTTTTCATAACTCAGCCTGTCTTCATCTTTGTGGAGAAGATCAGCGATTTGGGCCATAAGTTCTAAGCTGTGAATCAAAAATGCGTTTGCCACGAGTTGTGCGTCAGTCTTGCCCTTCCAGGGTGCGTCAGCTGGAGCATCCGGATCTAACCAGTCCTAGAGTATCGTATTAGCAACTGAGATAAATAAGTGTGACGGATGCTGCCTAGATATCTTACCCCAAGCTGGAAGATACTAGTATCCCATAGATGAGTGCAACCTTCCCTGTTTCTGGGTAGTATCTTCATCCAAGTTGTCATGCTCTCGTACTGTTGTTCAAGAATCTCAACACTGCCCGTCTCTTCGTAAAGGGCCCACGGTGCCAGAATTGTAACATCATGCCATATGGCGCAAGGCTTTCGGCGACACCAAACTAGATCTGGGAGTGTAGCATTGGGGGTGACCATGGCGGGGACACCATCCAGAGCCTGTTGGTCGTGCCAAACATCGATAAGCCAGTTCCTGAGAAAGTCGAAACAGTGGAATAACAAAACTGCTGTTGGAGCAAAGAGAGCGAGGTCCCCAGACCAGCCCAATCGCTCGTCTCGCTGAGGACAGTCGGTTGGCACAGCGAGGAAGTTCCCCTTCATTCCCCAACGGATATTTTGATATAGCTGATTGAGCAACTCGTCGGAACATGAGAACGAGCCGGCTTCTTTCATATCTGTATGACATACAACCGCCTCGGCTGAGTCCATCAAACTGAAGTCGCCTGCCCACCCGTCGATCTGGGCATATCGAAATCCGTGGAACGTGAATCTTGGCTCATAGCTCTCGCCGTTCTCATCACCTTTCAGAGTATATTCGTCGACAGAATCACATTGACGAAGTGGCCTGGTGCAAAGCTCTTGATCTTCCAAAACTTCAGCGTGAGATAAGGTGATCTTGTGGCCGCGGCAACCTTGGATGTTTCTCAGTCTGATGTATCCAACCAGGTTCTGACCAAAGTCGATGATTGATTTTCCCGACGGGGACAGGATATACTGAAGTGGCTTGATAGTTTCAGTGCGCCTTACTGGCTCTCCAATTCCAGTCACGATCTCGATTTGCGCCGGCAAAGGAGACATGCAAAGAACGGGCACCCAATCATGAGCACTTTTCGTAGCCCCTTCAGGCGCAATAGTCGACCAGTACGGGACCTCGAGAGTCGCGTCGTATTTTTCTCCGTTATAAATCTCTGCCCGTTGGATAGGGCCTTTTGTCACCAACCAAGTACTGTCTGTAGGTATGGTTTCAACAATGGCGTTGGGATAGTAGATTTCGAGCTGGCCTATCAAGGCTGGATGAGGTCCCCAGATGTTCCGGTGACCACCTTCAAAGCCAATACGTCCACAAAACCAGCCTTCAGCAACACGAACTCCAATACAATTCCTCCCTACGGACAGCAGTGATGTGACATCGTATGTCTGGTATTGTAGTCTGCCGTCATAGGCTGTCCATCCCGGGGCCATGAAGTGGTCTCCAACACGACGGCCATTGATCTCCGCCTCATAGACTCCCTGGGCAGTGATAGAAAGCCTGGCCTGCACGCAAGTTTGTACTTCAAATTCTTTGCGAAACAGCCATTCTGCATCCGGTCCAGACGTAGTAGGGCCCCAGGGAGCGGCGATTCGATCACAGCGCCATTGTGTTTCTTCCCCGCTATGGCCTGTGGTCTTGACAGCCACCGAGTCAACCTGTTGAGACTGTAGGGAATCCTTCATTCTGAAAGTGCTGGTCGGATGGTCTTGCTTTTGCACGATGCGGCTGGTAGTGGCACCGCGGTGGCTTGAAGGGAATGATGAGGAAGATTTGCCTAAATCTAAAGAGGACTATCCAATGGCTTCCTCGGTGTGATAATGTACCGAGTCGGTGCGATGAAAAGGCGAAGACCTGCCATTGGGGACATGAATTACCCCGAGGTCAGCAGGAGGGCACACTTCAGATGCCGCGCTCAAAGGCCGGCCGCAGTTCTATCAAAATACCGTCTTTTTAACCGACATGTCTCCGGATCAATGCATATTCCTAAAGACGCCACATCTTCTCGGATTACCTGCTGAAGTATTTCCAATCTCAAAATGAATGTGAACATGTTCCAGGCGAAGGACACTGTCCTCCAAACCGACAACGAAGAATGGGTTAGCGAGCCTCACGAGGTGGAAGAGCTACCTCTGCCTCCTGATTTCTTCTGGGGCGCGGCCACTGCCGCATATCAGATCGAAGGCGGTGCCTCCCAGGACGGCAAAGGCAAATCTATCTGGGACACGTTCAGTCACCTCGAACCGTCCCGTACCAATGGAGAAAATGGCGATGTGGCTTGTGATCATTACAATCGCATGTCCGAAGACGTGGACTTGATGGCCTCCTATGGGGTGGATGTGTATCGACTCTCCATTGCTTGGTCTCGTGTGATCCCCTTGGGTGGACGTAATGACCCGGTTAACGAAGACGGGATCTCATTCTACAACAGGCTCATTGATTGCCTGTTGGCCCGGAATATTGAGCCAATTATCACTCTATACCACTGGGATGCCCCGCAGGAGCTCTATAATCGATATGGCGCTTTCTTGAACACAGCTGAATTCAAGGCTGATTTTGAGCAATTTGCCCGGCTGTGCTTCTCTCGCTTTGGTGATCGTGTCAAGAAGTGGGTTACCTACAACGAGCCGTACATTATCTCAATCTTCGGTCACCACAGCGGCGTGCTTGCTCCTGGCCATAGTGCTGCTACTGGTCATGACACGCGGACAGAGCCATGGCGGGTGGGCCATACTATTGTTATTTCCCATGCAGCTGTCGTGAAGATCTATGCGACAGAGTTCCAACCTGTTCAGAATGGGTCTATAACGATCGTGCTGAATGGCCACTTCTACGAGCCATGGGACGCAAATAGCGAGGAGCATAAATCTGCTGCCCAACGCAGACTGGAATTCTACATCGGCTGGTTCGCAGACCCCGTCTTCCTGGGCAAAGACTACCCTTCCCAAATGCGTGCCCGACTTGGCCCTCGGCTACCAGAGTTCTCCACTGAGGAGATGAGACTTCTCCGAGAGACAGCGCCAATCAATGCCTACTATGGGATGAATCACTATTCCACTAAGTTTGCTCGTGCTCTTTCAGATCCACCTGCTGAGGATGACTGCACGGGGAATGTGGAGGAAGTCGCCACAAATAATGAAGGAAAGATGCTTGGACCTGTTTCTGGCATGTCGTGGCTTCGCGTTGCCCCAGATGGGTTTCGAAAGCTTCTGAACTGGGTCTGGGATCGTTACCACCTTCCAATCGTCATTACAGAAAATGGCTGTCCTTGTCCAGGCGAAAGCCAGATGACCCTCGAGGAATCAGTAAACGACACTTTCCGGATACGATATTTTGGCCTTTACCTGGATGCTATCTCGCGGGCCATTTATGAGGATGGTATCATAGTACAAGGCTACTGCGCATGGAGTTTCATGGATAACTTTGGTATGTTCAATTCTTCCGCCACTTGTTTTTTCTTATGACTGATATCCCCAGAATGGTCCGCTGGGTATGGCGCGCGCTATGGTATCACACATGTCGAGTACGATACACTTGTCAGGACTCCTAAAAAGTCTGCTTATTACCTAAAGCAGTCATTCAATGAGCGACGCAAAAAGCGTGATTAGTAGGCACTGGATTAATATCTCAAATATCACCTCAAATATCGTATCTCAAAGCGTCATCCTTAGTTATCATCCATCATCTCGAAAGTCAGTACCTAAGGAGCAAGGGTAAAAAAGATCAGTACCTTGCCGTAACGTAAATCTGCTAGCAAAATTGAGGGAATGGGTAAACTGCTTGTTGGCACTCTGTTCGATAGCATTATTTATCCCGATATGCACCATTCACCCACCCATTGGGGCTAGACCTTGTGGCGCTAGACCTTGTGGCGACACAAACCTCCGGGAACGCTAAGGGTCGTGAATTATCCCTTAAGAGGTATAGTTTACTGATGCCCTTGTCCCTATAGTGAGACCCTTTCACTCGATTTTTAGGGGGCAAAAAAGCCAATCCCCACAAACCGAGTTCCTTTTGGCTTAGTAGTGCCGCCGGCTATTGAGTCGTCTACGACACCAGTAGCAAAGGCAAAAGTGATCTGGAACTCGCCTCTTACTGGTTCATCGGCTATCTTGGAAAGCTATGCTAGTCTAGAGATTTATTATTGGGTAATTATCTTACTTTGCTAAGGGTCCGGGCGACTGGGGAACTTGCGGGGATTGGAGTTTGACAGTATCCACAAAGTTTTGATACTCCGGGGTACTCCGCAAAGGCTTTAAGGAACATAATATATATTAGTTGAGAGTGAAAATATAACAATTTAGTTCAGGATAATGAAAACCGAGATTGAGGCCAGTGGCTGGGATTCATTGTATAGATCATGTGGTGACCGGACTTGTCAAACACTAGCCTAGCCAAAGCCCTAGGTTTAAAAACCCTAGACTCCCACGTACTTCTTCTACTCGTCTGGGATTATAGTATTTCACAGGTTCCCGGCAACCATCATTCAACATGGGACCACAGAAGGATTTTACCGAAAAGAGGGCTTCGGTGCAACATGACGAGATCGTCGCAGATGAGGGATTCAAGAAGTCTGACCTAACTTTTGATGCCGCGACCAAGGGTCAAGGAGTCACTGGGTATGAAAAGCTGGGCATTTTGGAGACAATCAAAACGTTCAAGATCTGCACACTCGTGTGTTTTGCAATGGCCTTCAGTGCGGCAACCGATGGGTACCAGATTGGGTGAGTCAGGGTTCGTGAGCTTGACTTTGATATTGCTATGTCTGACATGACATTTCTTCTAGAATCAACGCCAGTATCATTGCCAATGCCGGATTTGTCGCCCGCTTTGCCACCACCGTCGATAAAAAGGGAAAGCATATCCTCGCATCGCCTATACTAAGTGGCTGGAGCTCGATCATGTCCTGCGGCCAGATCATTGGTATGACAACACTACCATTTCTCTCCAGTAGATATGGTAGAAAGGCTGCAATGTACACATACTGGGTAATTATAGTGGGGAGTGTGCTTGCCGAGAGTCTTGCGAGGTCATGGCAAGTCTGGCTAGTAGGGAAGCTCTTGGCTGGGATTGGAGTGGGATGTCTACAATCGACTGTACCAACATACATCTCAGAAGTTGCACCTGTTCGTATTCGTGGAGGCTTGTTGATGTGCTACAGTTTCTGGTGGTCCTTGGGTTCGTTCTTTGCCCAAATCGCTCTCCAACATCTATCGAAATCAGATCCAACCGACTACCTGACACCGATCTATACCCAGTGGGCTCAGGTTGGGATCATGTTTTTGATCTATATCTTTGTCCCAGAATCTCCTGCTTGGTGCGTGAATGCCGGTAAGGTCGACCAAGCCAAGAAGGAACTCCTCAAGCTCAATCGTGGAGTACCCAACTATGACTTGGAGCGGCAGTATCAAGTGTTGGCTATGGCCATCGAGCATGAGAACGCAGTTGCTGCCGAGCAGCGCCGAGAGAAGTGGTACGGGATTTTCCAGGGCACAAATGGTCTCCGCACTGTGATTTCCTGCTGGACCAACCTCACCCAGCAGTTGATCGGACTTAGTCTCTTCGGGACATTTGGTACCTATTTCTTCCAACAGGCTGGACTAGCCGACCCTTTCAAGATCAAGGTTATTACAACCTCGATCCAAATTGCAACGGTGATCGTCATAATCACGGTTGCCGACCGCTTGGGAAGGAGAGTACTCGCCTGCTCGGGGACTACACTCTGCTGGGTGTCATGTGTGGGTATTGGTATCGTTGGGGTCTGTCCTCGGGTGAAGGCATCGACATACATCTTTATAATGTTTGCCTGCTTATGGAGTAAGTACACCCTATTGATTTCGAAGAGCTGCTAGTAACATGATATGCTCAGATTGCGGATTGGCTACCAATGGTGCGACTGGTTGGGGATATATTGGAGAAATATCATCCCAGCGCCTCAGGCCTTATACTGCTGGTTTTGGAGCGGCAGTAACTTGTGTCGCTGGTGTTGTGATGAACGTCCTTGTTCCATACATGACAAATGCCAACAAATGGAACTGGAACTTGAAGACAGGGTGGTTTTATGCAGGCGTTGGCCTTCCGTTCGTTGTTGGCATGTGGTTCCTAATTCCTGAGACTGTTGGGTAAGGGCTTGAACATAGCACCGATGAAATATTCTTGCTTGGCTAACATTTTCTTTTAAATCTAGGCGATCCGCTGCTGAGTTAGATGAACTGTTTGAGCGGAAAATCAAGCCCTGGCGATTCCACAAGACTGAGACAGCCACCCAGCGGCTTGTGCAAGTCAACAAATCTGAAAAAGAACAAAGCCAGGTGTAGTAAATGTTGATTATTGGTGACGGAAATGGGTTTTCTATTGACGGAGAACAGTATCATTTGTTTCTGCATTATGGATAATAAGGAGTAGTAAAGGCTAGGCCCAAGGTCTATACTCTTCAGTGCTTTCGTCCCCAAGTAATGATCAGATCTGCTTCAATTTACTGTCTCATCTTTAAATCTAGTTTAAGGGCGTCTTAAGGGTTGTACTATGAACAATTTACAAAAAGTCCGAAGCCAAAGGCCACTGAAACAGACAGTATAATTGAAACTCCCAGAACGACTTCTGCGACAAAGTAGTCTTCTGCAAGACATTTGTGACATTTTCAGGGCCACATATTGAGTGGCGATATTTATTGAACCTGCAATAGTCTGCTTAAAATGGTTAACCCCACCCCCATGCTTAGCATGGGAGCTAAAGATGCATGATTTCACACTAGGTCTTGGGGTTGGATTTGAACGTTTTGCTGTGATGATCCTTAATCTATACTACTTATGTGCCCAGTCCGACTGCTGATTAAGTGCAAGATCATAGGCATGATTAGATTTCAAGCTAGTGGCTAAAAGCTCAAACGCGTGCAGCAACATCCGAGGATGTCGTGTGAGTTTCTCATTAACCAAGAGACAGATTTGTGGGTAGAAAGATATCAATGGCAGTCTGGTATACCGGGTGCTACTCATGGCGTGGTTGTTCATAGCAAGAATGGGTAAGAATACCTGAACCGTGGAGCGGAAGTACCGCCTTGTGAGTTTTGCATTCCCAATAGGCGCAATTCCTGTCGGGACATCTCGACACTTCACGTCGATCAACCTGGGTTTGAAGTCGCGGATTAATCGCTGTCGTCATTTCTCATCAAGGTTTGCACAATCGCCCGAGCTTCCTCGCGGTCTCCGTCCTTATAGATGCTCAATCCGTAGGGTTGGAGAAATTTGAATTCATTTCCGAAGTGCTTCTTGACCCAGGCCTTCTCAGCTGGTGTGAAAGATATGGTGCTTTCAAATCTTTGCCGCTCCTCCGCGGGCCAGAAGGCGTGAATCATATACGAAACACCTAGTTCAAACTCCAAATTTCCAACAGAGGGACCGACTGTGGTGTCGCTCAGCTGGACGTCCATGAGGCGGCAGCCGTCGTTTAGAGGCTTGAAGTATGCTACGGGTTGACCAGAATGGAGGACGTAATGGCATCAGGGCCATCTGAGACCGAAAATTGGTTGTAACGTTATAGTCTTCCAGAATAGGGCCCCTATAATGTTGCATAACGCTTTTGGGGTGTTTAGTACGTTCTCTAAGCGGATGATGCCGTTTGAATTCAGGCCGGTCTTTGTGGGGAGCTCGACACTTCCGGCCCCAATGGCTTCGATCCACCCACCGATCATAGCCGTGATGAAGGGTTTGAAGGGTGTGTAATCATCACCGAACCACTCACGATCTTTGGTGATGCTCTCTCAGTAGGATTGAATTAGTCCAACAACCAGAAAGTGGGATGGACCACGGCCTTATGGAGGGATGAACACTCACTGAACCTCAGAATTGTTTTAGAAATCCAGGTCGGACAAAGCAAATGGCCGCCGTTGTTTGCCACGGCGCTGATATGTGACCTTCAGAAGCTGAGGGTGATGTAGGAAATCAGCTGTGTAGCTGGAGAGGTGGAGAGAGAAGGAAAATGAGGGCAGCGGGAAATACTGTAAATTTATACTGAGGTCATCGCAAGCTGACATTCCGCGGGTGGATCTATGTGACTCGTCTCAAAATCACTTCGCCGCATCAAACGGAGCGTTTTGGAGGCCTGCAAAACAGGTAGCGTACAGAAGAAGTCTGGCTGCCCATAATCAAAATACGCGCTTATGATAGCAGCTCGCATGCTATACAGTAGGCCAATTCGACTACAGCAAGATGTAGAAAAATGTATTAATCAAACATTATCCTCATATAGACATACCATCTCTAAGCAAACGACCAACCGCCAGTCCTGTCAGCAAAGAAGTTATCCGGATCATACTTCTTCTTGATCTCCTGCAACTTGGCATAAGTCGAAAAAGTCGAAAGCGGATTCTGGTCATGGCTGGCATCATTAATAAACAATGGCAGACCCTCAGCATTAGTAGTCGAAGCAACCATATCCCGGAAGCTAGACTGGACAGCATCATAATCAGGCCCACTCATCAACGGCGGTGTGGTAATCAAATAGTTCAACCAAAACCAGGGGCCGTCGGGCATCTGCATGGCGTTTCCCCCCTGTGCCTTGCTGGCATCTGTCAAGCTCTTGGGGACGGGCTGGAAGTCCAGTGAGAGGAGGAGGTATTTGCCTTTGTTTGACTCGCCCCAGTCGCGCCATTTGTCCACGGCTGTTCTGTACTCGTCGGTGTCGGCGCGGTGAACTCCGACTCGGAAGATGTTGGCGCCTCGGGAGATCTCGGTGGAATATGGGATTGGCATATTGGCTACGTCTGGGTAGGTCTTGATGTTAAGCGTGTTGATCAAGTAGGGTATGCTGGTGAAGTTTGCGAATGCACTACCAGAGTCCTGGCCATCGTAGACGAGGAACATGATGATAGCTTCGTCTAGGTTTAGGTTCAGGTCTGGGGTGGGCAGTTTCTCGTATGTGCCGATGATGCTTGCTTTAGGGTCGTTGTTGTATTGGATGAAGTTGCTGATTGCCTCGAGGACGGTATCTTTCTCCTGGAAGGCGTAGATAATGTTTCCGGCGAAGAATTGGCCAGCTGGGCGACTCTGCACTGTATACTTTGTCACAACGCCGTATGCATTGCCGCCACCTCCTCGGGATGCAAAGAAGAGATCGGGGTTAGAGGTGTTAGATGCCGTTACAATTTCACCGTCCGGTAGAACAATTTCCAGTTCCCGGAATGAATCGCAGGCCATTCCATACTGGGGCGAGAGATAGCTCATGCCACCACCCAGTGCCAGGCCAGTGCCAACACCGGCAAGTCTAGCGCCGACTACCGTGCGGCCGTATCGCACGAAGTAGTCATATAAGTCGCCAAATGTACCACCTGGCCCATATGTAGCCAGCGTGGTGTCTGGGTCGTATGACTTTGCGTTGAGGCTGCTCAAGTCGATAAGGACGCCATCGTCGACGGATGAATAGAAGGTGTTTGGGTTGTGGCCGCCGGCCTTGATTGCGAAGCGACTGTCCGCTGCTCGGATAGCCTGAAGAGCCACGGAGACATCTTGAGAAGACTTGGGGTAAACAATGCAGGATGGTTTGTAAGCATCTTGCAGAGTATTGTAATACTCAGTGCTGTTGATATATTTCAGATTGAGCTCACTGTTGACGACCTTTGACGATCCCAAATGCGAGGTAATGTTGGAACAAGCTGATGGACCTGCAGGAGTTGCATGTGAACCAATTTGTCCAAAAATGCCAGCTATGGCTAGGGCGAACAATAGCATGACGGACATTTCAAACGGTGAGAAACTCGTAAAATGGGCAAGCAGACATGTCGATGGCTTCAAACGCGGTGGTTTGATCTAAATACTCAAGCACACCCATCCCTATACTTCCTTTTCTTCACATGACGAGAGGGTACAGAGATTGAGGATGGCCTCGGCCTATCTATACGATCGAAATACGATAGGGGGATACGATGCGGATACGATGAGTTCCTACGTCGATGAGCTTAAACGAGTTAAACAAACGACGATCCTAATATTTCGGGAAAGATGGTCACGGGCAGGCATTTGACTAGACTCCAGGGACCCAGTCAGTCTACTCAGCCCTGAGGTGCTCGGTACGCCACTCGGCAAGATGTTCAGTAGTTCCAACGCTAACTTGCTGTACTTCAGGGCATTGAAAGCAGGGCAGAGCGTGCGAAACTGCAAGCTTATGAAAACAACGCAGGAGAGCCTAGCATAAGTCTTTTTATGCCTTTTTCTTCTTTTTCTCCTTTTACTTGGCTATTCACGGGTCATGTCGAAGAAAGCGTCAATCGCAGGGATCTTATACTGGACTCACTGTCACTGGCGTTTTGGCGGTAATAGGAAACTCCCCTACTGTAATGGACAACATGTCATAAATTTCCCGATAGTACAATTCCGCAAGTAGACATGAAGCCACTCGAGACAGGAGCTGGAATTACGTATACCATGCATCAATGTGTCAGGATAGCGAGGTGTTGGAGTATCATTCTTTTCTCAAATATGCCTAGGTAGCCTCACCGGCATTTCACTAATCTCAGTATGATATAGGTCGCCCTCATATTTTGCCTTTAAGAATAGGTAGTAAAACATAGCAGATTAAGTCATCCAATTTGCAAGCGTATACTACACACTCCCCGCCTTTTTTCAGATGCCTCATTCTACATGTTTATGGCTCTTCGCCTCATCCACACCTGAGTTTTTCAAACAAGACCGAGCATGCTACTACAAAGATACGACATGGATAGGACAGCTCATACTGGAGTATATATTGCTTTAAGGTCGCCTGACTCCAGTCCCAATTGAATACTAACAATATACAGTGGGTGACCGCATCAATGTAGAGTTCTACAACCAAGATCTATATTCCCGGACCATTTTTCGTGTGATTCGATCCAATGATTGATAAAGTTGGCCCCACAATCTAATGATTCTTGGTCAAACAACATGAGGCGGTTGTTGGACTGTGGTAAACATCAGCTTAACCTGCAATGGAATTTAGGCTCTGATGAACTACTTATCTCCCCCGGCATAGGATAGAAAAAAGTTAATATTATAACTCTATAGCTTAATTTAGCTTGTGGGCTGTCAGCTCTGTAACAGACAGGGTTCTCGGCCAATTGTTTCTACTAGCGCGACCTAAAGTGATCGCTTTCTAGGGCATCCACACTCTCGGTTAGACTGGCTGCCTAAGGCCACCTGACAATCTAGGTTCCCGGTGAGGAGATCTCCAAAGTCGAAACATGGAGTAATATGTACACGTGAGGGGTGAGAGTTGCGACATCGGGTAACTTACAGTACTTCGCCCCAGAGCTTACTCCAACATAGATAGACATCCTCAAATACAAGCTCTAACCTATATGCTACCCTGCTGTCCATACAAAGCTCGCTCCAACAGCAATTGAGTTTGGTAATTGCAAGCTGTGATGGACGTGCACTGGGGAATATGGGGATTACTCGAATAGGTAAGTCTATGCGATCATACCATCTTGGCTATACAAGATAGTGAAGGGTCTTAAAATAGTGCACTTGATATTATAATGGCCAAATTTCATGTAAACTTAAAGACAGCAATAGACTGTACAGATATACTAGGCAGGTATAGGGAAGCTGCGGAGAAGACATAGCGGAGTTGGAGCCGAGTGAGCCCGGGTGGCTTGGGAAGACCTGCAGTCTCCAACTCTCCGCACAAGATACTCACCGGTCCGAAAGACCATGTGACGTGCGACATATCCCGGTTTCCCCCTGCGAACCCGTCACTTGGAAAGCTGACTGTTTGTTTTCGCCCCCCGAATATGGCTCCAGTTAACGTGGTGGCAAACGTCAGGGTACCAATATTCTCGAACAATCAGAATGTGTTCCATTATAACGCGTGGCAACCCCGTTCCTTATTGTTCCTTAATACGTTGTCCCGGTAGGGCCAGTAATGCGGAGATCTGTGCTCCAGAGGGATGTCGGTAACTGTGATTCGGTTCCAAGACCGATCTCCCCCCGGGTAAATAGCAGGCCCTGGTGAAAATTCGATCCGCGTGGGCTTCAGGTACAACTTCCAACACTCCCGGGTGATTAAAGTACTGTATCATATTAAATCAATCCGAGAAGAATTAAAACCTTTTTTTTAAAAAAAAGAAAGAAAGATTGGAGTCAGCTCTCGGCGGAGTCCTGTATTATTCATTCCTTTTGAGTCAACCCTCCCCTTCTCCACTCTCTCTCCCTTCCCCCAGTTTTGTGTGTTTGTGAACTTTTGGGACTCTCTTAGGATTGTGACACAAAATGGCTAGTGTCAAGGAAGCCGTGAAGGAACAATTCCTGGGCAGCACAGAGGCGCCTCACCTGTCCCACCAAGCGCGCTCGAACTTCATTCGTCATGCGCAGAAGGACGAGAATGGCGAGCTGTTCATGGATGAGGACAACTTCATTAATGCCGTCGCCCCCAAGCAGGAGGATTATGTGAGTATGGACCAGATCAAACCTAGAGCAATTGTTGATTGATTGTGTCCCAAAATAGCACAAGATCAAGCGCGAACAATACGGTATCCTCTTCAACGTGGCAGACCGACGGAGAACCGGCAAGCTGAACTTCAACGACTGGGCCACATTTGAAAACATACTCGCGAAGCCCGATGCCGAGTACGAGATCGCCTTCCGACTCTTCGACATCGATGGCACCGGTGCCGTCAAGTTCGAGACTGTGCAGGGCCTGTACAACCTGAACAAGAGTGCCGAGAGCATCCCCTTTGACTGGAACTCAGAATGGGCTTCGCTGTACGGTGGCCGCTCCAAGACCCGCCATGACATGACCTACCCCCAATTCGCCCAGATGCTGCGCGGTCTGCAGGGTGAGCGCATCCGTCAAGCCTTCCACACGTTCGACAAGGACGGTGATGGCTTCATCAAGCCCGAGGACTTCCAGCGCATCATTCTCGAGACCTCAAAACACAAGCTGTCCGATCATGTGCTGGAGAACCTCCCTACCCTGTGCAACATCTCGACTAGCAACCGCATCTCCTACGCCAATGTGCGTGCCTTCCAGAACGTCATGCGCGAGATGGACATCATCGACATGGTCGTCCGCGAGGCCACCAGGAAGAGCACCGATGGCAAGATCACCCGCTCTGATTTCCTGAACGAGGCTTCTCGCGTCACCCGCTTCTCCCTGTTCACCCCTATGGAGGCCGATATCCTGTTCCACTTCGCGGGTCTCGATGCGCCGTCCGGCCGTCTGTCGCAAAAGGACTTCGCCAAGGTTATTGATGCTTCATGGCGTTTCCCCGTGGCTGTGGCTGGTCAGGCCATCACCGCCGGACACGAAGCCGTTGAGAAGACCAAGTCTGTCCTGCACGGCGTTTTGGAGTCGGTGCACCACTTCGCTTTGGGAAGTATTGCTGGTGCTTTTGGTGCCTTCATGGTTTACCCTATTGATCTGGTCAAGACCCGTATGCAGAATCAGCGCTCTTCTCGCCCTGGTGAGAGACTGTACAACAACTCCATCGATTGCGCCAGGAAGGTTATCCGCAACGAGGGTTTCACAGGCCTGTACTCTGGTGTCATTCCTCAGTTGATTGGTGTGGCTCCTGAGAAGGCTATTAAGCTGACCGTCAACGACCTTGTTCGTGGACACTTCACCGACAAGGACACCCACCGCATCAAATACGCACATGAGATTCTGGCTGGTGGTACTGCCGGTGCTTGCCAAGTGGTAAGTACACATACCCGTGTTGAAAGCGACCAAGGCTAATTCACTCTAGGTCTTCACCAACCCTCTTGAGATTGTCAAGATTCGTCTGCAGGTCCAGGGTGAAATCGCAAAGAATGTCGAGGGTGCTCCTCGCCGCTCAGCCCTCTGGATCGTCAAGAACCTGGGTCTGATGGGTCTGTACAAGGGCGCCACCGCCTGTCTCCTCCGTGATGGTAAGCCGATACCCCCAATCCACACCCTCAAATCCATTTCTAACCTCCTTCACCATACAGTTCCCTTCTCGGCCATCTACTTCCCCACATACGCTCACCTGAAGTCCGACTTCTTCGGCGAAACCCATACAAACAAGCTTGGAGTCGTCCAGCTCCTGACAGCAGGTGCCATCGCCGGTATGCCCGCCGCCTACCTGACAACACCCTGCGACGTGATCAAGACCCGTCTGCAGGTTGAAGCCCGCAAGGGCGACACCAAGTACACTGGCCTCCGCCACTGCGCCGCGACCGTCTGGAAGGAAGAAGGCCTGCAAGCTTTCTTCAAGGGCGGTCCCGCCCGTATCCTGCGTTCCTCCCCGCAGTTCGGTTTCACACTAGCCGCCTACGAAGTCCTGCAGAAGATGCTTCCCATGCCCGGCACCCGCGAAGACGTTACCCCGACCGGCCATGTCGAGCCTGGCGTTGGTGGCCGGGAGGCTAAGGCGCCTCTGCCTTACCTCCGGTCACGGAACGCGCTGAAGCTCATTCTGGACTTGGACCAGAACATTGGTCGTGTGCAGGCTCCTCGGCCTGACCAGTGGCCTAAAATCATGCAGGGATCGAAGCAGTAAGGACGAGTGGCTGCTAGAGCCTTATGCCACAAACCTTGGATTTGAGTTGTTTTCTTCTTTGATAGCGATACTTACTTTCTTTCGGCCTTTCTTTTTCTCTTTTCCTTGGTTTGGCATGAGATCTTTCTCACATTTGCCTCGGATCTTGCCCTCCTCATTGCCCTTCTCCTATTCTTACTTTTGGGGCGTGGGGTGAATCTGGGGGAGGCCAAGTCTTGCATCATTTCTCGTCTTTTTTGGTTATTTCGAGATCTGTGACCATCTTGTGTGTGCTGTGCGTTGTGTGTTGTGTATGTGCATTGTATCAACAGCGGATAGATTTGGAAAGATGGGTGTGTGGGTTGCAATAGAGGACCCAGACTGTGGTGACGGGTTTTATACATCATACAGAATCATATATATCATCTGGGATGGTTCCGGTGTTCGTTTTCAACTTTACTTTTGGTGGACTCAGTGAGTCCAGACAAGGTTTACGCTTCTATTTTGTGATATTATTCCTGTCAAGGTCATGTGCAGTATAGACAGTCCCTAAATGTGGAGCAATTTCAATTTTAGCTCTAGGCTCATCTGATATAGATTTGAGGCTGTGAGGTTCGTCTGTATATCCCAGTGGGAGACTATATACATGAAGTGGATTTGCAAATGGGCAGGCAAATGGGTATCGGAATTTGACGTGAGGACAAATCCCCTGTACAGGTGGTGATACATTCATATCCAAAGGATATATCCCGCTAATACACGCGAGTCTTGGTTAAAGAACCCAAGGGAAGATGCGGACGTGGCCCCGTCGGAGTCGAAAGACCAGTCGGATATTGGTTGACACTGAGTGCCGTGGTCATCAATAGGTCCCAAGCTCAGAAGAAGCTGCTCTTGAAGAACACTAGTGATGAAACCCCTCAGTAGAATCTGAGCTTCCGTGTCGACCCCGTATTGGTAGTCTCAGAGACCTTCTCTTGTGTAGGCTGTGCGGGTGCGGGTTTCGTGGGCGCTCTCTCGGTCTTGTCGGTCTTGGATTCCTCAGATTTGGACTCGCTAGCTTTCTGATGCCATAACGAATCTTCTGCCTCGATCTCGCGCAACACTAGCAGTGGAAAGGACAAGTCAGACACTATAGCTCAAACCATGTAAAATGCTGTACAGCAGCCAACATACCATCATCCCACTCTCTCTCCTTCGCCTCATCGCCCGTCCCAAGCAACTTCTCCACATCGACCTTCTCCCCATTCTTCGTGCGCGCAATCACCTCTCGCAGAAGTTCAATTTTCGCATCGGTCGACCGAGTATACGCCGCATAGCCGTTCTTCAACGTGATCATGCGAATGGCCTGCGAGCCGATCAGAGTAAAGATAATAATGTAGAAAGTAGCAGGATTCCACTCCTTGGATTTCTCCTTTGAGGGATCTCTGCGCGGGCGAGTCCGAAGAAACCTAGGAATCATCGCCGTCCATACTGACGTGTCCGCGATTTTCGGGAGGTGATCGGAGGTCGAATATGGCCGTACAGCGGGAGCGCAGGATTGCCTGGTAGCAAATAGCGTAGATGGAGAGGAAAGGATTTGTCGCCCAGCCCGGAAGGACCTAAACCCGAAAGCTGCAACCATGTTTGGCGTCAGTAACCCAAGTTGTCTTCTCCCCATTGAAGACGGGAAAAGATCCAGAGGTAGAGACGGCCTGAGGCGACAAGGCGCCAATACTCACCCAATATGGACTAGCGCTGTTGTTGCTGCGACAACGCCCCCGTTTGGCCCGATAGCGATTGCACATCAAAAGACTCCGGGACGTGATGACCTCAGTCCTGCAGCAGCTTCGAGACACGCAACATGGCGGTCACCGTCCTACCGGCCAGCTCACTGACGGAGTCTGTTAAGCAGGCTCTCTGCTCTACGACGACTTGCTCCGATGCTACTGTTTTGTCCCTCACAACACTCCTCCGCGGGTCGTCCAAAGCGACCGAAAACCCCACGAGACGAACGAAATCTACCCGCGAACCGGCACCTGCTACGAATCGGGCTAGAACTGCCCGTGCGACTAAGTCTAAGGCTGGGAATGAAGCTGTGTTGCAATCGCTTGTTGATCATGATGCGGCCGGCTTGTCGTGTCAGGAGAAGCTGGTTCTTGCTACGGAAGTGTTCAATGCGACATTGAAGTCTTTGACGGAAGCTTCGAAGGGCTCTGTGGCGAAGAGACAGAACGTATCGGCTGATAATGCCAATGGCGTTGACGCGGGCATTGCATCGTCAGCGGAGTGCGCGAGACTTGCTTTGTCCACATTGCGCGCTCTCAAACCCGATGTTGGGAATAATGAATTCCCGAATATGCAACTTGAGCAGGGGCTGTGCGTTCTTGCTGGAAAGCTTATATCTCTGGGATTGAACGACATGGCATACAAAGAGCTCCGGTTCCTTAAGCGGAGAATTCAACAACACCTGGATAGCAGCAAGGCTGGGAAGAAAGCCACCGAAGCGAAGGACTCGACGGACGAAGAAGGAAAAGAACGGATGTCTGATTTGTTGACTTTCGCCCATATCGCCAATGCGAAATCACTGTACGGCTTGATCGTTCCCTTTCACTCGAATGTGATGCGACTATTTGCTTCCGATCGAAGGGCCTCGACTATTCAGAAACTCTGCCCTGCTTTGCAATTATCCGACTCTAGCAGCCCTGCCCAAGTTATTTTGGCTGCTTTGAAGTCAGGGCAGCTATCAAACGACAAAGCTGCGCTTCAGCTTCAGCTATTATCTAACACTGTTCTATCCCTCTGCTCAGGGCCATCGCTATCAAAAGACGAGACTTCCAATAGTCTAAAGCCAACCGCTTCATTAACATTGCAACTACTTTCTCTCGAGATTCGATGTTTGAGCTGGAAGTTGTCAGGTCATACTTGTGATGAGAGCAAAGAAATTTTCGATCCTCTGCTTCGCTACTTCGGCAGCTTCTCCCATCGCAGCAAGGGAATCGAGAAGACCGAGTTTGCCGCCATCTATAAGACAGTTACACGCCTACAGACGTCCGTTGCCGAAACCAAAAAGAAATCAACAGAAACGCAAAACGCAACCCAAGCTGCTAAACTCATGACTCTCCTGGGACAGCTTGCTTTCGACGCAGGCTGCTTTGACGAGTCCATGAAGTTGTTCACACAAGCCATCAACCCACTCTCCAAAGCACAAAGTCTTTCACTAGCTACGGTTAGATGTAAGATCGCATCCGTCCATTTCCAGGCATTGAAGACATCGAAAAAGTTCCTGGCTGAAGCTTTAGAGTCTACATCTGAGGCAACTGAATCACTAGGGTTGCAGTTAAGAGGCAGTGCGAATGACTTGGATGAGCTTCTCGTTGAAGCAGCAAGATTAAAAAAGCTAGCTCTTGCCTGGTTTGGAGAAGCCATTGCCAAAACCCTTGGCAGTGAAAATGAAAAAAATGAAGCTGCCAGCCAAATCAGGGAGTACCTCCAGGCGTTCCTCAGGTTCCTCAGGCGCTATGTCGGACGCCAACCAACCGAAGAGAGCGATGAAAAGGAGATTGAAATGTTCAACAACCGCATTAACATTTCAAAGAGCATTGTTCTTGCCGGTGTTGACTCAGCCGTCGCAGTTGGGAAGCTGTCTATCATGTCCCAAAGTCCGCCCTGGGAAGACATGCTCCCCATCCTCGCTGACTGCCATCGCCTACTCTCAACTATCGACGCTCCTGATGAGAAGGATACAGAGACGACAGAAAACCTGGGCATGGCATTTGTAAAGCTCTCCAACCTGTTCTGGTCTCGATACATCAAAGAAAAAGAAGCTGGACAAGGCTACCGAGAGCTTCTTCCTCTTCTCAAACAATCTACCCAGCTGCTTTCAGGCTGCTCACCTTCACAGCGCAACACAGCTTTTGCAGCCCTGAAATTCGAGAGAATGGCTCATCTGTACCTCGAAGGCAATATGTACAATGATTCAGAGAAGATGTTCCGGCAATCGATTGAGGAATACATTCTCTCTGGCACATTGGAACAGATTGTTAAGAACAGCGAGGGAAATAGTCCAAGTTCAGTTAACCAGGACCCCAAAAGCCCTGGCTTTATGCTTGGCCGCGTGCTTTCTGCTCTACTGAAGATGAAGCTGCGCAGAAAGAACGCACAATCATCTGCTGTCTATGACGATACTGAGCTTGAATTTGAATCAAGAGGCATCCTTCTTGAATGGCAAATGGACTTGCTCGTCGATATGCACAACTACTCCTTCGGCGAAGAAGAGTTCCGGTTGATGCTTGGCTCAGCTGTTTCCTCGCTTCTCGACCTCTACGACTCTCAACTCCACCCAATCCGCCATATTCGTGTAATCTTCTCATCCTTACGTCTTCTACTGGAGCACCCTACTGCGCTAGAGTCATCTTTGATTGAAAACTTGTTAGACGAAGGAACTGAGGCTTTGGAACAAGGTCTGCAAATCGGGAAAGACACCGATCTCGCTTCTTTTGCCATCCACATCAGCAATTCGCTGCGCGTTATTATCGGTTTCCATCATGGAAAGATCGACCCAAGTGAACTCGATGCCACGCTTGGGTCGTGGACTTCTTTGGCTCAGAAATGCGCTGATTGGAAGACATTAAGTCTTTGTGTCAATGATACAGACTACTGGATTTTGCAGTTGAAGGCTTTAGTCGATTACACGGAAATCCATGGCCTCTGGAAGGCTCAACTCTCCACTCTGGAGCTCATATTGCGTGCCACAGAGCTCCAACAATCAGGAGATCTCTCCGATGCAATCGTCATTCTCTCCCGCTTAGTACTGCAAAACTGCCGTCTGGGATATTGCCAAAGGGCAGGCGACCTGCTTTCGCGTGGCGAGCAGTATCTTACACAAACTAAAGTTTCTGCTCTTGCAACCCTCTCTTACAAAGTTGCTCGGGTTGAATATCTTCTGGAAACCGGACAAAGTGACAAAGCTGCATCTGTCTTTTCTGCTGCTCGGTCATTATATGAAAGAAGCCAGAAGACGGAACTCGGCAACTTGAGTGTCCTGTCCAAAATCTCTTGGGAGAGATTGGTAGCGGATGCCGCATTTGTTCAATCCCGGTTGTTCTCCGCCCAGGGCTCAGCGACTCAAGCTCTTTACTTTGCGAAGTTGTCTGTGAGACTTAACTGCCGTATCTGGGCCAAGGTCGAAAGAATCGCTCAACGAAAGCAAGACAAAACCTTGCCCGCTGCGGGACCCTCTGATGTTGATGCCGTTGCTGATGGGGTTGCAAAGCTTGATCTATCCCAGAACGGATCTAGCCCAGATGTGTCTGCCAGCTATATTCAAGGTGCACCATTCTGGCCGCACCTGGGCTCTCACCACACCTGTTTGTTGAACCTCGCGACATTATCTGCCCACCACGGCTTGTTCCAGGATGCTATCTATTATGGAGAGCAAGCCCTGAAAATTGATAGAACCCTCGATGCCAATGCTCGACTTCTCGCAGCACAGACACAGCTTGGTTGCCATTTAATTCTCGGTGGCCACCTGAGCGAAGGACAGGAACATCTTGCTGCGGCATCTGAGTCCTCAAAGCAGACATCGAAAAGTATTGAAACTGTGTCTTTCCAAATGGCACTTGCATCTCTTTACCAGACGCAGGGCTCGTTCGACAAGGCACTTCGTGTCCTTCTTGAGGCGGACAAAGTTATCACAACCATCACTTCCGCAGATAAGCCTGCCAGCGTGGAGGCATCAGCTGTTGCAGACCTCGAAGACAAGTTGGACAAGTTGCGGGTTAGGGCGAGCAGCCGGCGAACACCAACACCTACTACCGCAACTACCACCCGGCGCACCCGCGCAACCAGCTCTGCGGCATCCAAAACCGGTGCACCCAAGGCTGCTGCGCCCAAAACAACCAAGAAAGCTCCAGCCCCAAAGCCTACCCTCTCTGAAGCTCAGTCCAAAACTTTATTACGGTTCAAGGGTGACATTCTAAGGCAACAAGCCTATTGTCTGCGTGAGTTGCGCGACTTTGAACGATCCGCACAAACGCTCGCTGGTGCCCGACAATATGCCGTTTCTCCTGAAAGCAAGATCGCCCTGGGAATCGGCGAAAGCGAGCATCTTCTGGCTGACGCAATCCGCCGTTTTGCCAGCCATGCTGTGTACTGCGTCTTGCCTGAATCTACAATTTCTCTCCCTTCGCTGAAATCACCAAGCAAGACGGCTGATGAGCCCAGTGTCCCTGCAGCGAAACCTTCCACACGAAAGACTAGGGCCCCAGCTAAAGGTCCTCGCACTAAGGCCCAGAAGGCCAGTGATGATTTTTCGGTTATGCTTTCGAAGGCTACTGATTGCCTTGCCAGTATCTTCTCTGATGCTACTGTTCTTGGCTCAACGCTTGATAGCCATGCTGCATCTCGCTTGATGAGCCGGATTTCTATGCTCTCGCATGCCACTTCTCCTGGTGCACCAGCTACATTGGCTCAGTCGCCAGCTAACATGAATGGTAAACTTTGCAAAATACATTGATACTCAATTATCTAACCTTTCGAACAGAAATCGGACGTGTTGGCGCATTTGCCCGGGAACGAATGGCGATTGACATCGACCGACAGCTGGCTGACTTTGCCGACCCTCTCCTCTGGCCAGCCTCTTTCCCCTCGGCCGTCGAGCTGGACAATGACTTGTGCTCCAACTTCACCAAGGACTATGTGGATATTCTTCCTGAAAACTGGAACGTCCTCTCCTTGTCTTTGAGTGCAGACCGAACCGAATTTGTGGTTTCGCGACTCCAGAAGGATCGCTCTCCATTCCTTCTACGGCTTCCCCTTCACCGAGGAAACTCGGAGGACGACGAAGAAGAGCAGTTTACCTTTGAAGACGGTAAAGTGGAAATGCGGGAACTCATCAAGCTCGCAAACGAGAGTGCGCATGCTGCTAAGGCTCAAACCGACAAGGCATCGAAGAAGGAATGGTGGAAGACTCGCGAGGCGCTTGACAGTCGTATGGAAAGTGTCCTCCAGAACATTGAGAACATTTGGTTCGGAGGCTTCAGGGGTGTGTTCTCGCCTCTCTCGCGGGACACCACTGCACTGGCTCGATTCGCCAGTACCTTCCAAGGAATCCTCGACAAGCATCTTCCTTCTCGGCAGAAGGGTGGCAAAGCCGCAGGGCCTCGACTTACTTTGCATCAAAACGTGGTGGACTTGTTCATTGGGCTTCGCGACCTTGAGCAACAAGAAGAGCCCGAGGACACGCTGATGGATCTTCTTTACTTTGTGGTGGATATCCTACAGTTCCAGGGCGAGCGCAATGCCTACGACGAGATCGACTTCGACATGATGGTAGTCGATACTCTCGACGCCTTGCGATGCTATCACGAAGCTGCCCGCGAGGAGCTTGCATCGCGGCCCCCAAGACATACAGTTCTCGTTCTCGATAAAGCCCTGCACCTGTTCCCCTGGGAGTCCCTTCCCTGTCTTCAGGGATATCCAGTTTGCCGAGTTCCTTCTCTGGAATGCCTCCGCGACCGAGTTCTCCAATTCCGCAGTTCATCGTCTGGGGCCATTCTGAACCGCAAGTCGGGCGCGTATGTCCTCAATCCGACCGGAGATCTGCGCTCGACACAAACAACCTTCGAGCAAGACCTGTCGCGGTTCAAGTCCTGGAATGCGATCGTGCAACGCGAACCGACTGAAGATGAGTTCCGAGACTCGTTGGAGAAAAAGGACCTGTTCTTGTACTTCGGTCACGGAAGCGGTGCTCAGTACATCCGCGGCCGCACTGTCAAACGGTTGACACAATGCGCTGTTACTTTCCTTATGGGCTGTAGCAGTGGCAGCTTGACCGAAGCCGGGGAGTATGAACCCTACGGTACACCCATGAATTACCTTCATGCAGGCAGTCCGGCGCTCGTTGCTACGCTGTGGGATGTCACTGATCGGGACATTGACCGGTTTACCACCACCACCCTTGACGCATGGGGTCTAGTAGAGAAGAAAGATAAGAAGAACGGCGAGGAGAATGTCGGGCTTGACACGGCCATTGCGCGGTCTCGGAGCGCGTGTGTCCTGAAGTATTTGAACGGCGCAGCGCCGGTGGTGTATGGAGTTCCGGTGTTCTTGGAATGATGTGATGTTTGATTTAACTTGTATATATACCTCTGAGCGATTCCCCACTGTGGGCAGCAATCATATCCGATTGATATTCACATATTCACATATTCACACTACGCCAGTCCGGGATAAATTGTCCCTTTTCATAGTTCCGATGTGGACCTTTCCCCTCGTGAGGCACCATTTCCCCCCACCATAAAAACGTCAACTTCCCCAACTTCCTCTTCCCGTCTCCCTTTTACTCCCTTTTACTCCCTTTTACTCCCTTGACTCTCCCAGCATGTCTGTTACTACAAACGCAACCATCGCCTCCTTCGGCGGCAAGCTGCTCAAGCTGAGCCACGCCGCCACAACCACAAACTGCGAGATGAAATTCAACCTCTATCTGCCCCCGCAGGCTCAGACTCAGAAGGTCCCCGTCCTCATCTATCTCTCTGGTCTGACCTGCACTGCGGACAACTGTTCCGAGAAGGGCTTCTTCCAGCACGGTGCTAGCAAGAAGGGTATTGCCGTGCTGTACCCTGATACCAGCCCTCGTATGTAATCTTTTTCTTGGTCATTGCATCAATTGCGTCAATTGCATCCATCCGTTCCATTCCGACGTCAATATTTCTACATACCATATTCAACACGGTAGATTTGAAGATACTAACAACCACCAGGCGGCCTCAACATCCAAGGCGAGGATGACGCATACGACTTTGGCTCCGGCGCTGGCTTCTACGTAGACGCTACAAAGGCCCCCTACAACGCCGGCTACAACATGTACAGCTACGTCACCGAGGAGCTGCCTCAGACCGTCTTTGCTGCATTCCCCCAGCTTGATTCGAGCCGTGTCAGTATTACCGGACACAGCATGGGCGGTCATGGTGCTCTTACTTTGGTATGTCATCTCTATCTCTATATCTTTTTCTTATATATTTTTTTTTTCCATGACATCTTTCTAACCAGAATATGAATATAAAGTTCCTCCGCAACCCAGGCAAATACAAATCCGTCTCTGCCTTTGCACCAATCACAAACCCAATTAACTGCCCCTGGGGCCAGAAGGCTTTCAACGGCTACTTCGGCGATGACCAGCAGGATAAGTGGAAAGAGCACGATGCCACCGAACTAATTAAGAAGTGGACTGGTGGTCCATTGGATATCCTGATTGATGTTGTATGTGTTCCACTCTCACCTTTCAGGCCACTCTATTCTCTATTCGAACCAATGTCGTCTAATTTAACATATCAATTTCCCAGGGCACTGGCGACAACTTTTACAAACAAGGCCAGCTCCTACCCGAAAACTTCGAGGCTGCTGCTCGTGACGCCGGGCTTAAGGGTCTGAATGTGCGCTACCAGCCGGATTATGATCACTCGTACTATACCATGTCTACGTTTGCGGATGATCATGTTGAGCATGCTGCTAAGTATCTCTTTGCATAGTGTGTTTTTTCTCTTTCTCATTTCCCTTTTTCAATGGACAAATACAATGTTATCTTTTTTTCGCTTTGCTGTGCTTTGGAATAAAGTAAACTGGTTCTGATTCGTGGGTTTGCTCAGTGAGCGGCCGAGTGTCAGTGTTAGGTCCGTTATTTAAGATGAGGATGGGATGGGTTGGGTTGGTTCATTCAATAGGAGGGATGCAAGGGTAATGAAAACTGGATTGGATTGGATGATATTCATTATCCTCTGGGTGATTTTTAAGTCAATTTAATTTATACCACTCTATAATTAAGCGCAAGCTTCAGTTTCAACCTTGCGATCTTGTCTGTCTCACTTATTTACTATCTTATTACCCTAAACACGTGAAATCATATCAAGGCTACTCAATCAGTTCATTTCATAATCTAGCTAGTCCGGCCCAGTCCACGCACATGGATACCCTTCCAACAGAACCATTAACTCAACACGAGACAGAGAAAGAAGAAAAGTATATCCTTTTGACCAATCCTCCTGTGAGGTGTTTGCATGACAAGACATCGTAAAGGAAATTTTGGAATCGGAATCGGAAACGCCAAGGATGGGAATTGACATGAATATGGATATGGATATGGATGGACATGAAAAGGCAGCGGAGAACGAAACTCCACAATGCGAATGCGCCATGAACAGAAACTCAGCATAGAACAGTGAATGCTGAACGAAACGGAAAGCAGAGACAATCCGGGTTCGAAAGTGGAGGAGTGGGGTCGCTATATACTCGGAACTTTTGAAGACAGGTAATGTTTTTGGTTTTTGGTATTGATTTTGCTCCCGTGAGTCTTTGATCTAGCCTTATTGATAATTCTTGGGGATTCATGCGCCCATGTAAGATCGGCTATCCTGGGATGATAGATGGTATAGAAGATGGCGGATGGTGAAGCCATAACACAGGGAGTGGGTGGGTGGGGGATGGGATTGGGATGCGGTATGAGGACAGACGTCACCTCGTCGCGTCAAAACATAAATATGACATGGGGGAATCTAGAAAGCAGATAGAGAGAGAAGGAGAAAACGAAACTTCAAGCGCTCAATCGTTGGATGAATGACTGTGGGATAAGTTAGTAGGAAGTCTATAGAGGATGGTGGCATAAAAACATACTGGGAAGAATTGCCGGAACCCTTTCACATCCGACTGGCTCAATGCATTCAAAAACTCCTCGATGAGGGGAGCACCCATGCCCATTCCGGGCAGTTCCTGACCCCGCAAGTATTCTGCATACTCCATGCCTGTTTTGCTATAGATGGTGCGCTGGAGACCACCTGCCTCAGCAAGAACCTGCTTGGCCTGTGCATCCTTCGAGTTGAAGGACGGAGTGGTCGGGAGCGCCCAGCAGAGAGGAGAGAAACGAGTGATCATGAATCCACCAAAGCCGGGGAGTGCGACTGCAGTCGGTGCTGCTCCGTTGGCAGGGGCAGGGGCGATGTCTGGTCCGCCCCAGGAGCTTGCCATACGGACCAACACGGAGAATGCCATCTTGGCGGTGGTGAAGTCGTCGATGTCTTTGGCGAAGTGCTCCAGTGTGGTGATGACGGTTTCGAAGATAGATTGGTTTCCTGGTAGAGAATTAGTACTGTTGGATGCAGGTGGGACGACTAGAAGACTTACTCTCGCTGATAATCACGGCACCCAGATCGTTGTTCAGCACAGCTAGCAAGAAGTTCAGGTACTCTCGCTTCAACTCAGCAAGCTGGATCTCGTCATCAGTACCGGTGGTGGGATCAGCAATACCAGAGAACACCCGCTGCAGGAAAGGAGTCAAGAGAGTGTCGAGGATACTATATATTTCACCCTTGAACCCAAAGATGACCTGGTCCAAAAGGCGGAGGAAGAGCGCCATTTCGTCGCGCGAGGACGTCTGTGTCAAGAGTCCATCGATCCAGCGGGGCAGCTGAGGGAGAATTTGTGCGCCCAGAACACCGATGAGGCGGGAGAATGCAAAGCGAGCAGCGGTTCGAATGTTGAACGAGGACTTGAGTGACTCGAGGGCAACAAGGGTAGCCTCGGCAACCTGGGCGAAGGCCGCTGAGACCTCTGGCGCGGGGAGAGCAGATGGCGAGCTGGTACCCGGCTGCCAGTCGGAGAAGCCTCGAGCGAGTGTTCCCAGAGCCATGATATCGTGGTGAATCTGCAGCAAGGCGCGCTCGTCGTTGGCCTTGGCGGCTTCCAGGTTGCGCTCCATGTCTCCGAAGACAGGGTTCAGCACAGACTGGGCATAGAGAACCTGCTTGTCAGCAGCGACACTGGGGGTTGAGCAGATGATTCCAACAGACTCGAAGAGATACAGTTGACTGTTGAAGACGGCATCCGCGGAGCCCTCGTGATCCTCGGAGGACATCTCATCACCGTCATCACCCTCCGAGGGCAACTCGGCCTGGATAACCAACAAGTCACCCAGTGCCTCCACAACGGTCTGTGCCACGTTGCCAATCTGGCTACGCAACTGTCTCGCCAGACGTTGAAAGAGGTACCACGAACGAGTCTTGACTTTGCGAACAGGGTGGTGCACAAGCTGAAGGAAGCTCTCCAAAACACCGGGGATAAGGTGGGTGTGATGGGTGAAGAACGAGCTGTAACGAACACAGATTTCCATGTACTGAAGTTGGGTGGCGGGGTGAGTGAAGGATCGGATGTCAGACTCAACCATGCGGAGCATCATCTCGATGAGTCGGCTCGCAGCAATACCAGTTGGAGCACCCTTCAGGTAGAGACTGCCGCCCTTGACGGCCAAATCACCGAACAAGAACATCTCGTGCAGCGCCAGATCAAGGTCACGCCAGTCAAGTTGGCCTCCAGAGGACCGCAAGTTCTCGAAGGTAGTTCCAACGACTTCTGAGATGGCATCGATATAAAGCTGCTCATCAGCAGAGGCGATGATCTGCTGCAAGACACCCAGTCTCTTTCGCAGGTCTTGGAACTCTGCCTCATCGGTCTGCTCATCCTCGTCACCCCAGTTGGAGGTCTCATCGTACCGCATTTTCGCAACAATAGCCTTGAGAATTGGAAGCAGGATAGTCTTGTTCCGCGCTTCGAAGGATGGGTTCATCTTGGCGAGTTTGCGAATGTAGGTGAGCGTGTCGTTCACGCAGGGAATGACAGTCGAGCACACTTCGTCGTACTCGTCCGAGAAGAATCGCAGGATATGAGGCAGGAAGACCTGCAAAAGGTTGTCTGCCTTCTCCTTAACAGGTCCGCTGTCGTGCTCCAAAACCCGCACAATATCCACGACCGTGTTGTTGACAAGCTTGGCAACCGTCTCGGCCAAATCGGTATCGTATTTGAATGTGAAGCGATTCTCGCGTAGGGGAGGGCTATTAGACAGCTGCGTAATGATCGAGTCGAGGTTCAAGAAGACGATCATCTCGATTTTGTCGGAAGGCTTCATCTTCTTGCCAATGATCTCTGTGAAAACATCGACAGCCGCATCGCGCACCCGCTGCTCGCCCTCCCGGAGTTCCTGCTTCTCGGCCCGTCCAAGCTGCTGGAACAGCAGGTCCAGCATGGTCTGGTTCACCACCAGACCAATATCAATCCAGCTGACCCAAGTACCAACAGCCTTCAAGCACATCTCCACAATCAAATCATCGCCGTCCCGCCAGACCGCCATGATCTCCTGCCACGAGTTGGCAATTTTCTGCATGTCCCTCTCCCGGATCAAGTCCTTCAGCGTATTCGCCTTGTCCTGCTCTCCGCGGGACCTCGAAACCAGCACATCACCAATCTCCTCGTGGATCGAGTTTAGCACACGCAGATAGAAAACAATTCCCAGCTGGTTATCGCGGCCCGAGCTCGCCGCGGACTTGCAAGTCAGAGCGAGGAGATCGTCGATACAGGTCTCCCAGCCATTAGCGTAAAGCGAGGAGAAAAGGTAAGTGACCGTCTGTGCGATTTTGTTTTGGATATAGGGAGGGTCGGGAGTGGCAGAGCCTTCGGGCCCGTACACCTGGCGGAGGTAGCCCAGCAGACCATCTCGAACGACGAGCAGCGAGGCCGGATCGATCAAGCCGACCTGGGCGGCACTATTGACAATTTCCAAGCTGACATGCCGTACGACTTCGGGCTGCTGTGGGGACTTGGTGAAGAGGGCGAGGCAAACCTGCCATCCGGAGGGGTCGGAGCGAAGTTGGTTGAGGTAGTCGAAGGCTTGCGATTTTAGGGCTTGGTCGGAGGAGGCATTCCAGGCGATCTCAATGGCATTTGCTACCTGTGCGGTGTCAATCATCTCGTGCTGAGGGGAGGGGCTGTAGGGCGGGGGAGGGGCGGTATAGGTTTAGGCGTAGGGGAAATTTTGTGCAGTTTAATTGAGCAGAGGCTGAGAAACTCACCTGTTCTTCCATCTTCCCAGTCTCCCTGTAGCGTGGAAGGGGAGCGGAGAGAGGAGGGGTGTGTGTGTTGTTAAAATTGTTTTTCGGTGGAGGACGATATCATCCTTGGTATCGTAATCGAGTTTCCGTGCCTGCTTTCCGCCTTCGCTTGTCGGATTGAAGATCAAATGTCAAAGGGATTAATTAAGATGAAATAGAAACTCTGTAGAGAGGCTCGAGATTGTTTCTATGTGAATGTGCCTAGGGCAAGGGGCTGCACAAAACCCCGTGCCTCATCTTTCGTCATAGCTCACTCCACAGTACATTTTATATCTCATGTTATGTCCAGTCCAGACTAATTACTTTTTAGAGTTACCTTTCTCTGCCTCCTGCTTCAATACCTGCTGCTCCATCTTCTCAAAGCCTTCAACGGCCTGACCATATTTCTCAAAGACCCCCTTCTGGTAACCATCCGCAATCCTCTCAACGAACTGGTCCTCGTTCCACCGCTGGCCGACCAGGCTTTCAAAGGTCTGACCGGGCTGTCTCTCGATACCCCAGACAGCCTTATATGCAGCACCCAGTGCACAGGCATTATCGCTAACATCGAGCTGATACACACCCTCAACGCCACCAAGGATCTCACCAGCAATTTTAGCGATGGCCTTGTTCTTAGATCCTCCACCGACAAGGTAAACCCGTCGTGGCTGAGCAGGAAGCCCATTACCAGGGCTCTGTGTCAGTTCCCGAGAACGCAGACGCAGTGAAATCATCTGGCTCTCAACAATAGCCCGGGCTTCATCCTGTGTAGTCCATCCATCGGTCGTCTCTTGCAGACTTCCTGTGCTTGGATCATATGTAAAGCGCCACTGGCCCTTGCGGATGTTGGGTACGATTTCATCTCGTGGGAAGAACAGGCCCATCTTCATTGGGCCTGTTGAATCTCGCTGGCCCAACGGGGGACTTTGCAGCGCAACCTGGTCGAAGTTGGCCCAAGGCTGGGCAGGGGTGTCCTTTAGGCTCTCATTGAGTGCGTCTCGGACATATTCACGGGCCAGGCCGCCGTTCTTGTAGCACAGCATGAACATGTACAATCCGGGGGTTGTTGGGTGGTTGAAGAAGTGTGTGGCGGGATCAGGTGCGTAGCTGGGGGTGGACATGAGGAAAGTGGTAGAGGTGCCGAGAGAAACCATGGCATCTGATGGCCGCAGGGGCAGTGACAGAATAGTCGCTGGGTTGTCTCCAGTTGCTGGGATGACTGTACAGTCAGGACTGAAGCCGAAGCGCTCCACAAAGTATGCATGGACGTGGCCCAGGTGTAGTCCTCCATCTTCCGGTACTTCCCCGAGCTTGCGCTTGAGTTCCTCGACTTCAAAGACACCCGAGCAGAGCTGAACCAGGCGGTCGTCGTAAACCCCCTTCTTGATGTTCCACAGGTTCATCCCGCATACGTCGGAGATGTCGAATGGGGCTACATGGCCCAGGAAAAGCGACGCCAGGAAGGACGAAACCAGGGAGATTCTCGATGTCTTCTGGTAAACCTCGGGGTGCTTCCTCGTGAAGCGGAGGATCTGAGGACCTGTGAATCTCTAAGGAAAGTGTTAGCATGCTTGTCTTTTAAATAGACACCAGGGATCTTACGTGGTGTGCTTTGCTTCCTGTGACTTGCGCCAAATGCTCAGGATCACCGAGAGCCGCATCAAACTCGTCACATTCTTTTTGCGTGCTCGAATCTTGCCAATTGGGGCTGTATGGGTGTGAGAAAGCACCCTCCAGCTGTGCCTCGAGGGATTTCTTGGGATCTAGATTGGCAAGGAGCTTCTCCGCATCCTGGCCCCAGTATACACTTCCGTGTTGCTGTCCTGCGCCACTGATTCCTTTCACTCGGCGGAAATCGAGTCCCTGCTTGCGCAGACTCTCCAAAACGCCGTCTAGCGCCTGCAGCCACAGAGCGACCGGAGCAAACACCTCGTGCTCTGCTTCATTGTTCAGAACGCCTTTCTTGATTGGGAAGCCGTGTGAGTCGGCATCGAAGTCGAATTTGGCGACGTAGATAACCTTGAGGTCGGAATTGACGACCAGACCTTTCAACTGCTGCGTTGAGAGGTCGAAGCCAATGTAGAGCGGGCTGTCAGACGCCATGGTGGGGAGTAAAGTTAGGACAGAACACAATTACTTTGCAACAGCAATGGCTGGCAGGGAGGGGATAGCAATCTAGGAATTTCAGAAAACGAGCTGTAAGATCCCGGTTTAAATATTTAGGCAAAAGATGCTGGGAGGGGTCAATTTATGAGAGAAGAAAGTGAAGGCGGCGAGATCCTGGGGAGAACCCGCAATGATGTCAAACGGTCAAACTATAGCCGGTTGAGACTTTCCAATTCCTCCGGATGATATCTACTTGGAAAGATATACCGAGCGCCAAGTAGGGCTGTAATGATTTCCCATGCATACATGTAGCAAGTTCACCCCGAGACAGCGGGTAAATAGGGTTCTGCTAAATTGTCGGTTGAATTGAGGTCTCCACTATATCTAAGATCGCAAGGCTTATTCGGAGCACTGTAGTCCAAGTCAAGTATATTTTATATAGGTCTATACACAGTACAGATCCATCCTTATCACGGGAGTCATCAACGCTATTGGTGCTTAGAGTGACTCTGAGGCTCCGGGTCGGCACTAGAATCTTGTGCAACAAACTCATCAGAGAAAGTGAGCTCCTGCTGTTCCACAGGAATGAAGCGGACCTTGATCCGCTTCACACCGCGAACTCCAGTTCCAACAGTGTGACGGACATTCTGTTCGATCGTTTGAGACCGGCTGATAGGCCAGGCGCCGGGAACAGCTAGCTCAATATCCATCAGGTAGTTTTGGCCAGACTTCATGCCTTGCACGTCGCGGACCTTGATATCACTTCCGCCCTCGAGCTCGGACAATGCTTTTATGGTAGCGTCCTCCACCGAGATTCGCACATCCTCATCGACAGCGGTATCCGCCAACTCCAAAAGAGAGGTACATGTGTTACCCCAACCAGCTTTGATAACCATCAAAGAGATCAGAAGTCCACCAACCGGATCCAGCCAGGTGGCGTCTTGGAAGACATAGCTTCCTCCAATTGTAAACAGGGCGACAATACTCGTGAGGGAATCGATCCGGTGGTGAATGGCGTTGGATGCAAGGACCGAGGACTTGCGCTCTTCGGCAACCTTCATAGCTATAGAGATGTTAGTCATTGTCAATTGGTGGATCAACACAACCCTCCACCTCCAAGATCCCGGTACTTACTAGCACGGTAAAGCCACTCCTTAACAACAATCGACCCAGCAGCGATCCACGCGGCTTGGATGCTGGGACCAATGGGCCCGTGACTATGCGAGTGACCATGTCCCAGAATCCCAGAGTGAGCTACTGTTTCAGCCACGTCTGGGTAGAATTGCGCCAGCAGGATCTGTCCCGCATTGAGACCCATAAACACTCCACCGCAGAGCAGAAGCCCGCTCACTCCCAGAGCACCAATGCTCTCGACCTTTCCGTAGCCATTGGGGAATCGTTCACTTGGGGGCTTCAGGGACCACGCGACAGTTCCTAGAGTCAAAAAGTCGGACACGAGATCGGTGAGCGCGTGGTATGCATCGGCAATCAGGGATTGAGAGTGGAAGACGTAGCCGCCAATGAACTTTCCAATGGCCATGCACAAGTTGGCGACCAGGCCAATTCGGGTAATTCGAACGCCAGCATCGCGTTTGTTCGTCGAGGTCAAGTAGGTGTTGTCATGATGGTGGTGGTGGTGATGGTGGCCGTGACCGCCATGTCCCCGAGTTTGTGTCATGGCAAGGGGTGTACGAAGAGCTCGAGGTCTGGAATGAAAAAGAAAGGAGGAAGCGTCTTTTAAAAAGGGAGCGGAGGTAAGTATGCGACGCTGCGCGGAACCAAGACTGGAAATGCGGATAAAGTGGAGGGATGGACGAAGCCTGCACCGCAGGGGCTGCGTCAGCGGCATCGCTCTAGTAGACACGCGAGCACGGCCGACAATGGTATCTGGACAGGGTGTTCACTTGTACAAAGAAACATCAAGTGAGGACAAATGGGAGAATGGCCCCGATCATGTAATCCGCCTTGCCAGCCCTGGAGATTCTTGACTTCTTCTCCAATCTGAGTGCTCGCATTAGCGATCTTCTTCTTCCGCACTCGGTCCCAAGTTGCGGAATATGCTAAACATCCTAAAATATGCTAAAATATGCCTAATAAATCTCTAATGCTTTTGTAAGCCTTGACGAATCTCAACTTTCCAAGTATAAGCCCGACCCGCAGCCAAGAACTACGCAATCCCGTTGGAGAACCTCCGCTCTTCTTCCTCTGCCAAGACCATTGCGACGGAAGATGCGTCTTCAATGACGACGCCTGCGATTCGAATCCCTTTTACGGGCCCTTTACCCCCAGCAATTATAGTGCCCCAGTCTGCACGTACATTGACAGGCGCCATTGATGCAGTCGGTCGTTTCTTCACGGCGCCACCATCCCCCAATCTCCGTGGAGTCGATGTGGGGAGACATTCTCAAACAGTCCTACTGACCGGTGCAGGCATCTCTGTCGCGTCTGGTCTGTCAGATTACCGAGGTGACCAGGGCACTTACCGGCGAAACAAATCCTATCGACCGATTTACTTCCACGAGTTCATCTCGCGCCATGAGTCGCGCAAGCGATATTGGGCTCGCAGTTTCGTCGGATGGCCCGGCTTGGTGAAAGCTAAACCAAACTCGACTCACTGGGCTATCAAAGATCTCAGTGACAAGGGATACATCAGTTCTGTCGTGACGCAGAATGTCGACTCGTTCCATTCCCTTGCGCACCCGGAACTGGATACCCTCGAGCTACACGGATACCTACGATCGGTTGTCTGCACGAGCTGTCGGAATCAGCTTCCCCGTGCTGATTTCCAAGCGTCATTGGAGAGGCTGAACCCAGCGTGGGCGGAGTTCCTGGCGCACATGATTGAGATGGGCGCACTCGACACCGATAACCCGGAGGAGCAACGGCGGAAAGGCTTGAAGCTCAATCCGGATGGTGACGTTGATCTTGCAAAGGCGCCATATTCTACATTCCGGTATCCCTCATGTCCAACCTGTTTGGAGAGCCCTCCAACGCAGAAAGACGGTACCAAGGGACATGTAGAGGTGGAGAGCGACGGCGCATGGTTACCGACCTCAACTGTTGGCATTCTAAAGCCTTCAGTGATCATGTTTGGTGAAAATATCGACCCATTGGTGAAGACGGCGGCTGAAGAGGCGATCGACGATGCTGGGCGGCTACTCATCCTCGGCAGCAGCCTGGCAACCTATTCAGCGTGGCGCTTGGTGGAACGAGCCTACAGACGAGGCATGCCGATTGGCATTGTCAATGTCGGTGGAGTGAGGAATGAAGCCATGCTCTTTGAGGACATCGAGGATGAGCCCACTGCCCATGTGCGATGTAGCCATCCGTCGCAGGATATCCTACCGACCGTTGCATCACAACTCCCTGTAAATCAACTATAGATTAAGCCGAAAGAATCATTAGATTCGAACAGAAATACGATTATCACTAAAATAAATATCAAAAAGTGAATGTTCTGCCAAATAGTAAAACAGCGTTAGATGCTCACTCAGCTAAGTCGATGACTCCCGGGCCGTTCTGAGACGCGGGGCTCCTCCCTCACGTCTCAGCATGGATCTGCTTAGGGATCCTGCACATCCTTTTAAGGTCGCCTCCAGTCTCGTCTCTCCAGGTTCTTTTCTTTCCCACTCTAAACCCAAACCAGGGCCATCGGCTCCTATTCCAAAAGTCATGGATAAGTCCCAACAGCCCAGTTCCTTCCAGCAGCTGGAAAAGGTATGCCCTGGTCTATACGTATCCCATCGCACCCTACTAATCTATGATCTCCCCGTTTAGCTCGGTGAAGGAACCTATGCTACCGTACGCCTCAATCATCCCCTCGGCTTCTGTGGTCGCCACTCTTCGTTCACTGCTGATACAGAATAGGTCTTCAAAGGTCGCAATCGCCAGACTGGAGAGATGGTGGCGCTCAAGGAAATCCATCTCGATTCGGAGGAAGGGACGCCGTCCACCGCTATTCGTGAGATTTCCCTGATGAAGGAACTGAAGCACGAGAGTATCGTCTCGCTATACGATGTCATCCACACCGAGAACAAACTCATGCTCGTTTTCGAGTTCATGGACCGAGACCTAAAGAGATATATGGACACCCGCGGTGATCGCGGACAACTGGACCCTGCCACCGTCAAGTCTTTCATGCACCAGCTCCTCAAGGGCATCGCCTTCTGCCACGACAACCGCGTACTTCACCGCGATCTCAAGCCGCAGAACCTCCTGATCAATAAAAAAGGACAGCTCAAGCTGGGTGATTTTGGTCTAGCCCGCGCTTTCGGTATCCCAGTCAACACCTTTTCGAACGAGGTCGTCACTCTGTGGTATCGGGCGCCGGATGTCCTCCTGGGTAGTCGCACCTACAACACCAGCATCGATATCTGGTCAGCCGGATGTATCATGGCCGAGATGTACACCGGTCGACCGCTTTTCCCAGGCACAACCAACGAGGATCAATTGACAAAGATCTTCCGTCTGATGGGTACGCCATCCGAGCGCACATGGCCTGGCATCTCGCAACTTCCGGAGTACAAGCCCAACTTCCACATCTACGCGACGCAGGACCTGTCCTTGATCGTCCCTCAAATGGACCACATTGGCATGGACCTGCTGAACCGCATGCTCCAACTTCGTCCGGAGATGCGTATCAGCGCCAACGAGGCCCTGCAGCACCCGTGGTTCCACGATCTGCCCCAAATCCAGGCTAAACTGCAGCAGCAGCAACAGCAGCAGCAGATGGCTGGGTATGGAGGTATGATCCCACCCCAGCCTGCGTATTAATGGTCTAGACTGCGCATGACGAGATGACGAGCTCGATTAGAACAATTGAAATGGGAGAATCCGGCGTTATACCCGATGATCGTGGTTTTTGCTTTTCTTTTTTGCTGCCTTTCATATTGCGGGGGGGCATGTTTCGTTGAAGACGAGTCTGCTTGGAGATGCTACATTGCGATCCGAAGCAAATATTTTATCAACTTTCTGCTCTTTTCAGGAATCGAATGCCATTCAACCCGGACACTATTTAAGGAACAGCGCTTGGGCCTTGGCCCGTCTGGTTTGCGATCAGTTGGGAGATTCTCGGCTTATACTTGTATTGGGAAGTAAATAAGCCTTATAATCTGTTTAAAGATATATCCAGACATCCAGAGAAATAAGTTTACTATTCCTTACCTCGGATAATATTCCGAGTCTCTTCTCATTCGATTCTGCAGGTTATAGACCGTCACACGAAAGTGGTTTTACAAGCAGTTTCCTTTGACTTATTTGCTTCGCTTATGCCATTTGTGTCAGGTCCCCTGTCCCTTTGAGGCCTGTTCTTTCAACGCTGCCTAACGTTACATGTCTGAATAGTACCTAGTTACGTATACAGTGACACATGCCACTCCTCCCATGTCTCTGCAGTCTCCCGGTCTTTCATCCAAACAGCCATCTAACGGCAAATCCTGGATTGTCCGTGCATCCCAGGCCCACGTCTTCTCACTAGCACGCCTCGTCCACAACCTGACTCCATGCGGTGTGTTTGAGACGGTGAACCCATTTAAAAGACGTCCCTGATAGCCAAATCAAACATACCAATCGGACCTCCCTCAATTAGCATTCATTCCGAATCCCTGTGCGGACGATAAACAAGCTATGCCCTCGACTCGGGCCGTAAGCTCAACTGTAGGTAGATCTACGACATACCCTCTCGGTCACGAGGATCTGATCTTCTCTCCTTCCTCTCATCCTTCGGTCCGTATCCTAATAAGATCATCCCCTGGGGTGAAGACCCCTCCTCTCGGCTACGTGCTCTATATACCATGATACACCATGGGGCTTTCAGAACAGCAAATGTGGGCGATCTCAGCCACAGAACGTGTCTGCTCGACTGTTTCCCTGATCGGCACGTTTGTGATAGTCACCACATTCATCTGGTCGACATCTTTCCGTAAGCCCATTAATCGCCTGGTGTTTTATGCGTCATGGGGTAATATCATGGCCAATGTAGCCGCCATCATAGCGCAGGATGGGATTCATATAGGGGTTGATAGTGCGCTATGTCAGTTCCAGGGCTTCTTAATTCAGTGGTCAGTATTTGTTTGTCTTTCTCTTTCCCTGTCTTCCTTCCCGATCATCGCTGATTTGATCCTTGTGTAGGTTTATGCCCGCCGACGCCCTGTGGACCTTTGCGATGGCATGCAACGTCTACCTAACGTTCTTCCACAAATATAACTCCGAGCAACTCCGTCAGCTCGAATGGAAATATGTCCTGTTTTGCTATGGGATACCTTTCATCCCGGCTTTTGCATACTTCTTCGTCAAAACCCAAGCTCGAGGTCGGATCTATGGCTCTGCAATCGTATGAGATATCTAACTACTCTATTTGAAACTTGAGTATAGACTAACCCACCTCACAGCTATGGTGCTGGATCGCAATCCCATGGGACTTCCTCCGCATAGCCCTCTTCTACGGACCAGTCTGGTTCGTCATCTCACTAACATTCGCCATCTACCTCCGGGCAGGATCAGTAATCTATCAGAAACGACGCCAGCTTCGAAACCTCGGCGGCATCGATCCCTTCGATACTGACTTGGTACCGTCTATATCGCCCTTTGCTACACTGGCTGGTATTCAGGTTACCAGGGAGATTGCCTGCTACATACCTGAGCAGCGGTCTCCATCGAGTGGTGGTCCACGCGGACTTCCGTCCGCTTCGTTCAAGCCATACTCTGTTACCATTCAGGCTGGCAGTTCTGGAGATGCGCCACTTGGTTTGGAGCATAGCTCGAGACCTACTACTTGTCCACTTCAGAAAGATGGTCATGCTAGGACTGGGCGGGCAGATTTGGATTCTGTTTCGCAGCCGAGGTCCATTGCTACTGAGGCTAGTTCGGCTGCTTGGGCGTATACCAAGTATGCCATGTTGTTCTTTATTGCCTTGCTCGTGACTTGGGTATGTTATACTTTTATTACAGGTCTTTTTACTTATGGACTCAGTGTTTACTTAGTTTCTTTTATGCTAATCACTCAACTCCAGGTCCCATCTACTATAAACAGAGCCTACTCCCTGGCTCACCCAGACAGTGTCTCCTTCGGTCTCAATTTTGTCGGTGCTTTTGTCCTCCCACTTCAAGGCTTTTGGAATAGTCTTATATACGTCTCGATTTCATGGCCTGCGTTCAAATTGCTTTGGCAGGATATCCGTACCCAAGCAGGTTTATGCCATATATCTTGCTTAGAGGCAAAGATAGGAAATGGTCATCTACGAAAAGGCTCAGGGAGTTCGAAGGTTCCTGACATATTGGGGGAAGATCATATGCACAATTGATGTGGAAGTTGGTTGGGCTTGTATTCAACTACTTAGGGCTGGCCGGCATCAGTCGATTATCTCGATTCTTTGCGACATACCATATTTTTATGACTTGATGTACTCTATATCCATTTTTCCGCCTTACTTACGAGTTTAGTTGAATTTCAGCCAAATTTTATTGAGGAATTGTTTAAAAATGGCCAACCACTCCATAAACCACGTGACAGTCGCGTCGCGTTGAATCCAAGTCAATCGAACAATCACCGAATTCCTGATCATCAACAACCCTCTACGCATCCTCTCAACCTGCCCAAAGGAGGCAACCTTACACTACAATTTCCTACTCCTCGGCATAATTCAACTTTCACAATCACCCACTATGACCGAATCCGAACCAAACACCCAACAACTACCCGCAGCATCACCCTCCCCTCCCCCGCCAGCCCCGATTCCCCAAACACCCGGCCCACGCGCTTCACGTCTACACCAAGTCTTCGACCAAGCCCTGGCGCGCACACTCCGCGCAAACTCTTATGCGAATTTCGCAAGTTGCTTCCCTACCCCGGCGCGCCATGTCCCTGCCAGTTTAGAGAGTGTCTGGCGACAATTAAACGCGAAGCTGGAGGAGAGCGCGAAGGCTGAGTTTGAGGAGATTATTGCTGAGCGGGAGGTCGTGCCACATCTTAATGAATTGGATCGGTTGGTTGGCGAGGCTAGGGTAAGGAGGGAGCAGGAAGAGGAGAATGGGCATTCTGAGAGAACAGTGTACGTTGACGAAATCTCTTTGGCTCGGATGATACGGGTTGATTTTATTTGATTTGGTTTGTTTCTGACTTTTTCTTATTTTACAGCCCACATACCCTCGGCGCGGAAGATCTGTACAAGGCACACCTCACGCCGTATCTGCAGGAAGCGCAATCGACCCTGAATGACAGGCTTGAGGTTACGCATGTGGAGAACGCGCAGCTGGCACAGACTGTTCAGTCGCAGAGACAGGAAATCGAACAATTGTTGGCGCACCTGGGTTCTGTTGTTTCTGATATTGAGGGTGCTGCTTCGGCTGCCACGCAGTTCAGCAAGGAACATCATCTTCGCCGGGATGCGGTTCAGATGGATGAAGAGGTGAATGCTCATGAGGGTCTGTGAGGGCTTATGTGTGTGTCCGATGTGATTTCAGTCATTTCATGAGATCAGCGCGCTCAGTTCCCTTCCGTCGACCATTCCGTCTTCCACCATATCCTGTGCCACGGCGACCACTTGTTGGAGGACGGTTGTTTTAAGCTGTTCCAGCTTGGTGTTTTGGCCTTCCAGTGCTGCGGCAATTGCTTCCTTGCATGATCCGTCCCGTTCTTCCTCGGCGGCTCCGTCACGGCGGGCTAATGCGGCTGCACCGCGGTAGTATGTTTGCGCGTTGCGCAGGAGCATGGCACCATTATGTTTCGCCATGGCATGGTTCCAAGGCGCGCGGCCCAGTCGCCAGCGGTGCATCTCCACGTCTCCCCGTCCAATGTGGATCTTGGGCAGATTGTCAGCATCCGGGTGTTTGGATGCAGCCGTCAACGACTCCAATGCTGTAGAAAGCGATTTCCAACGGACAGCCACCGCGTTCTCGAATTCCTCATCATCCTCGGACGGGGGTATGTCGTTAAGCGCCGCATTGAGTGATGTAAGCGCATCCGCTTTATCGCATAGTCCTTCAGGGTCAGCGGAGACATCCAGATCCGGCCCAAACACCTGCCCAACCTCCTGCTGGTATGTTTGAATATCTGTGTGCCCGCCACGGTATAACAGCTCGTTCAACGCACAAACGAACTTGGCCCGAGCCAAGCCTGCCTCGTACTGTCTGTCCGAGCCCTCGGCATAAGCAGGGAGCCGCGACTCCACCAGCTCAGACGAATACTCCTGCACCCAGCCAACACCACCAGCACCCGGGTTGAATGTCAACAAGTTGCACAACGTGGTCAAAGTCTCCAACTGCGCCACGGCAGTATCAACCAGGGTATTCTTCGTAACGGGCTGAACAATTGCCACCCACTGCTCCTGTTCTTGCTCCGGATCTTCGCCCGCAGCCTCAGCCTGCAGTTGCGGTTGTGTCGGCGTCTGTTCCACAGGCTCCGGCGCCTGGGGCGGCATAACCCCAGACTCCATCGCCTCAATCTCCTCCTGCATCTCGGTATACTTCATCTCCTGCACCATCAAACACCGCTGGAACAACTCAATAGCCTCTTGCAAATACGTGCCAGCCTGCATCAGCTGCTCATCGCCGGGGTGCTTAGAGTTAGACATCGACTCCGCCAGACTCGTCAGCACCTGGCCTGAATTGAACAACACGTCAGCATTGTCCTGTTCCAGAACTAGCGCCTCCCGGTGCGACTGCAGTGCCACCTGCAGAATCTCCCCCTGCGGCGCTGGGAGTTGTGTTGCTAGCTTGGGATGTTGGGTGATTTCGTATTGCACTCGGGCTCTAGATGGAGTATCAGCCATGCGGATTCGGATCATTGTATAGAGATAGTTTGGACAGAAATGCAGGTAACACATTCCAGTTCACATACTTGTTATAGGCTAGATCGAATGTCCCGGGATGTTTCTGGAGACCTTCGTCGTAATTTGTGATAGCTCGCATGAAAAACCGCATGGATTTGGCTGCGTCGCCGGCCCGCCATTTCTCGCCGGCTTCTTCTAGGTCGACGCCCGCTGGAATTTGGTTAGCGCTGTTCGGATTTACCATGGGTATCGTCCGTGGATTGTTTCGTTGGGGCTGTTGTTGGACTCACCAGCAAGATAATCGTCGGCTGTCACTGGCGCCTATATCGATGTATGAGATCATGATTGAACTGTGTTTTGAGCGGATGTCATAACATAACATACCTGCTTCGAGGTAGACTTCTTCTTCGACTTTGCCTCCTTGAGGAAAGATTTGTGCTTAGGCATGGCTGCGGTCGTTTTCTGTCTCCAGCTGGGGATTTGACTGGTGCTTAAAGATTGACAGTGTGAGGTGAGCTTTGCACAATCGAGTGTAATTTAGATCCGGCAGAATCTACGCGGAGTGAGGCAGGGTGGTCCGTATATTACATAGCTTTTACACCGCCCACCTGATTAGAGCAAATCACTAAAGTCGACGAGCCTCATGAGCAACTTATGCAATTGAACATCCTTCTGGCTCTGTTTGTTTCTTTCACCAAAAGCAGGATGTTCTTTTCTGGCAGTGTCACTAACTGTCCAAATATTAAAGCTACCCTTGGTAGTCACGTATCTCGACATGTACCATTCTGGTACGAAATCGTCAGTAACGGTCAACTCCACTTCGGGTCTCTATATACTTGGGTTGCTTGAATAGCTTGGACAGATGCTTGCATGTAGCATACAAGGCAGATCGTACACTTCCACTCTCTTATTGGGATGACTTATAACGTAAGACGGGCCATGATCTTTGGAGAGCCCGGCACTCGTATGATTTCAATACAGTACTTTTGGTGTAATGGTGTGAAAGGGGTGCAGCAACTCGGCATTTGTTTACATGTACATATCAGATGCTACGCGCAAGTGTTCCTTGCTGGAATGCATTTGCACAGGGAATACATCATAAGTTATCAGAGTATTCCAATAAGTAATATTACCATAAATTGACGGAGAATGTCTTAGAATGTATTAATCCAAGCTACAGTGCCGAGATGAGCTCGCGTGGATCGCACGTGGCAATGTGGCAAGAAGCTCATGATATCACATTGAGGGGAGTTGAATGTCCGAGACTTGAGTTTCATACCGTCGATCCTTTAAGCCACCAACTCCCATCCATCCGCCGACCCCCTTTACTGACAATTCCCCACCAAGTTTTTAACACGACCCACCCCGTTTGGCCTTGTCTCCTGAGTTGTGTTGCTCGCATAGACCAAGTGAAGAGATCCTTTGCGCCTGAACTTCTCCCAACTTTCAGCTTCTTTCGCCCCGGACTTTTGCGACCCCTGCAGTTTCGTATGGGCCCCCCTTGCTGAAGAATTGTCTCCGCTTAGAATACGCTAACCGGTCTTTTCTGCACAGGCATCACATTTAGTCTCCCATACCCCGACCTGTGTCTATCTCCCGGCGCATCCCCTTTACATCTACTGTATTCAAAATGGCTCGTCAGCAGTCTCTTGATTCAGAGCGCCCCATCATGTCCCAGTCGGTAGGTGCCCTCTTCCACCCTCTACCACCCTCTGCCCCTTTACCCCTCCCCGGCGCAGGGCATTCGACATTTCTCGCAAGTCTAACCCTCCCGCAGAACCGAAACTCAAAGCGCTTCTCCACCATCAGCGGAAACCCCTCGCTGGCTGCTTCCGATCGCACAACTGGCAGCCTTCCCAGCGGTGACCCCAGAATCGCCGACATCACCCAACTCCACGATGGCTTCGAGCGCCTCGAGAACAAGCCCCTCACCCAGCAGCGCTTCGTGCCCACCGAGGAGAAATCAGACAACTTGAACAAGCTCGCTCTCGGCGCTAAGGTCGAGCGTGCTCTCGGCCGGAGAATGACTGGCCAGGACGCTGTCATGCGCAAGCCTCTCTCCGAGAAGGACGCTGCGGCAGCTGATTCTCCCTGATTTCAATCCTATCTGCCAACCCGGAGGTACACTTGCAATGTTGTTTTGCGACTACTCTGTGTGATTTGTCTCCGATCATTCTTTTTCTCTCTTTTTTTCCCCTGGTTTTGGGGGTCTACATCCTCCATCCGAGCCTCTGTCGACACGGCTCTCATGATTGTTGTCGTTTTTACAGTCGAGCACCCTTTAACGTCTTATCATACCCCCTTTCTTTTTTTAGGACCAGTTCGCGGCGTTTTGACTTGAGATTCGCATTGTTTCTTTCATTGATTGTCAATTGTGGATGTGGTCTGTCTTGTTAGATGACTTTCACTTGTCTTGAGTTGTTACAAAAATCACATGTTTACTTTTCTACAGCGTTTTTCTGATCTATGCTTGATAATGGTCAGTGTTCCTAGGGTCTACTGTTTAGATTTGCCATGAATATAACCAATAGCCTTCCCCTAATGTACTATCTTACAGTCTCTTGGTCTGATACTATCTCCACAGGTCCATAACACACAAGCAGTGAACTCTGTGGAACCCATCCATCTGCCCTATATCTCTTTAATCATATAATAAAGCAAACAAGTTAACTCTTCGATTGCTAACGTTAAGCTCTATATACTAAGCCTGATCTGGACACAATTCTGCCGGGCGGTGTCTTGCCAAGCCCACGCGAAACCCGCACGGAGTCAAGAAGGAAGTCGCTTTTTCTTCGAAGGCGAATTTCCACAGCTTCATTCCATCTCTTTTACTTCCATTCTCCCTCCGACTTCTCCATCTCCGTCCTATCTCCGAGATCTTTCTCTTGATTCTTTTCATTTCCATCTCCAATCGGCCTCAGATCCCCCATCTATCCGCCACACACAAGAGTCTTCCCGGATTCTCATCGCAGTTATACTTCGCTTTCCGCATTCTTAAGATCCCTCCGTTTTTCCTTGCCTCGGCTCTTTCTGCCTTTCTTTCGAATCTCTTAAATTGCGTGCATTGGTGCTAGATCAATATCGCATTGTGAGTTTGATCCCCATGTCCACTTCGGCCCAGGATGTGAAAAGACTAATGCGCATCCAGTGAAGCGAGGGAAATCAAAACTGCTTCATATTTAGATCTTTTACGCTTTCTTATCGCTTTCGCCCTTTCTAGAAAGCTTTCGGCTCTTACAGTGGCCATCATCTCCGTCGCGCTCGATTACTTTTTATCTCATTTCCCAAAGACAAAACCCCTCAATCCGACGCTATGGCCGACATGACCCAGGTTCCCATCAATGGCAACTACCCTGCCCATGGCTACCCCGACTCCTTCAACCACGCCTCTGTTACCATGAACACTGCGGCAAGCTTCCAGCCTGCCCAGTCCTCCACTCCTACCACTGTCACTCCCACCGACCAGCAGAAGAATGAGATCTCCAAGGATGAGGTGGGCTGGTACTTCGTCGAGCAGTACTATACCACCATGAGCCGCAACCCCGACAAGCTGCACCTCTTCTACTCCCGGCGATCTCAGTTGGTCTTCGGCACTGAGGCCGAGTCCGTTCCCGTCACTGTCGGCACCAAGGTGGGTTGAATCTATCCATCGATGCGAATGTCTCTAACATATACCTCTCACTAGGCTATCAACGATAAGATTAAGCAGCTGGACTTCCAGGAGTGCAAGGTGCGCGTCCTGAACGTCGACTCTCAGGCCTCTTTCGACAACATCCTGGTCTCCGTTATTGGCGAGATCTCCAACAAGTCCGAGCCCTCCCGCAAGTTCGTGCAGACCTTTGTTCTCGCTGAGCAGCCCAATGGTTACTATGTTCTCAACGACATCTTCCGTTACATGGTTGATGAAGAGGAGGAGATCGCTGCTGAGCCCCCCACCCCGGCTGCGCCTGCTACCGAGACCCCCAAGGCCGTCGAGGCTCCCGTTGAGGAGACCCAGGTGACCGACGAAGTGGCTGCCACCAAGGTTGATGAGAAGCTTGAGGAGGCTGAGGCCAACGGAGAGGTTGAGCAGCTCGGAGAGCCTGCCCCTCAGACCAACGGTATCCCGGCTGTTGAGGAGACCCCCGCTCCCGCTCCCGCTCCGGCCGTCGAAGCTGAGGTCGTAAACGATGAGAAGCCTGCCACTCCTGAGCCTTCTCCCATTCCCGAGGAGAAAGAGGTTCCCGAGAAGGACACTGCCCCCACCCCTGCTGTTCCCAAGACTTGGGCCAGCATCGCACTCGCTGGCAAGGGCCCCGCCAAGGCTGCTGCTGCGGCTGCCGCCGCGGCGGCCCCGGCTGCTCCGGCTGCTCCCAAGGCTGCCGCTCCCGCTGCTCAGGCTCCCGCTGCTCAGCCCGCTGCTGCTTCCCCCGCCCCCGAGGCTGCCCGTCCCCAGGAGACTGGCTCCACTGATGCGGGATGGCAAACCGCTGGCCATGACCACAAGAAGTCCCAGCCCCGTGCTGGCGAGGAGCAGACCACCCTTGCTTATATCAAGAATGTCAACGAGAAGGTCGACGCCAGCCTGCTTAAGCAGACTCTGGCCCGTTTCGGCAAGCTGAAGTACTTCGACGTCAGCCGCCCCAAGGTTCGTACAGTCTTTCAATTGCATCTTGTTGATATATACTAATTCATGTAGAACTGCGCTTTCGTTGAGTTCGAGCAGGCCTCTGGCTACGCTGCTGCTGTTGCCGCCAACCCCCACCAGATTGGCAGCGAGCAGATCCTCGTTGAGGAGCGCCGCCCCCGTGGCAACGCCTTCGGCGGTAACAGCTTCCCCGCTGGCCGTGGCTCCGGCCGTGGTCGTGGTGACCGTGCCGGCAGCCAGGGCCGTGGTGGCTTCCAGCGCGACGGCCGTGGAGGTTTCGCTCCCCGTGGCCGCGGTGGCAGCGGCAACGTTGCCGCCAAGGGCCGTAGCCAGGCTCAGGCTGCTTAAATAACTACACGATCCCGACGATCCTCTCTGTTCTCCTTCATACGTCGATATAGTCATACCAATGACTTCTCTTCGGCGGACGATCTTCCAGTATCTGTATTACTCCCATTTTGATCCCTTATTTTTTTTTCTTTTGCCCTGTCTCTTCTAATGACATGTTATGTGACTATTGCCTCCCCCCTTTTCTTCCCGTCACAGTGCATATTAGCGGTTGGTCCGGGTAGGCTGGAAAAGTTACGTTTCTTTCCCTGCCTCCTCTGGGCACTTTTTGTTTTAACTTGGCCTTTTTTACTTTTTTTTCTTTATCCCTGGATCGGTCTTCTCTTCGACTTGACGATCAACATATTTCCTCCTCCCATGCCATGATCTCTTTCCCGTTATATCGCATTTCTGTTTCACTAGCATAGCAAACTTCAGGTTTCAACGGTGGTGCGCTTTTCCGGTCTTTCTTGTATCTCCTTTTTTTGGCTATGTTTCTATTTTTTTGTAAATGAGGAATTCTGGAACATTGTATGGAGTATCAAATACGACAGGGATTGACTAGACAGAGGACCTTGATATGGGGAAGATTCTAGAGCGGGGTGCCTCAGGCCACAAAAGTACAGACAGCTTCAAGTAAAAGCAACGAATGTATCATAGAATAATGAAATGAACTGAAAATAGTACACAATTCCCCAGAATCCTCTAGAATATCTATATAGACATATCGACCTGCAGGGGCATCAGGTTGCCTGACCGACCGGTGGAAGTTGCTGGATCATCGTAGAATCCCACCCAGAGAATTTTTGGGAAACACAAAACGACGGTCCCGCCTCTTCTACTTTCTTCAACTCTGCTTTGGTTTCTCCCCCCAGAGCTCCTTTTTAATTCAGTTCCTTTTTCTTGTAAGCCTGACTCTCTCTCTACATCTCTCATATTCGCCTTCTCTCCAATTCCTCGCTCTTCATCTCTTTCATCTCTCCATTTCCATCTCTCTATCTTCTCTTTTCTGATCGATTCACTTTTCCAGTCACACCGCCATCATGTCTGAGACCTTCGAGTTCCAGGCTGAGATCTCTCAGCTGCTCTCGCTGATCATTAACACCGTCTACTCCAACAAGGAAATCTTCCTTCGTGAGTTGATTTCCAACGCCTCCGATGCTCTCGACAAGATCCGCTATGAGGCTCTCTCCGACCCCTCCAAGCTCGATTCGTGCAAGGATCTGCGCATCGACCTTATCCCCGACTTGGAGAACAAGACCCTCACCATCCGTGATACTGGTATTGGTATGACCAAGGCTGTAAGTATTTTGCCACTTCGATGACTTCCGATCTCAATGACTAATATTCGTCTCTTAGGACCTGATCAACAACCTTGGTACAATTGCCCGCTCCGGTACCAAGCAGTTCATGGAGGCCCTCTCCGCTGGTGCTGACATCTCCATGATCGGCCAGTTTGGTGTTGGTTTCTACTCTGCCTACCTCGTCGCTGACCGTGTCACCGTCGTGTCCAAGCACAACGATGACGAGCAGTACATCTGGGAGTCTGCCGCCGGTGGTACCTTCACCCTGAAGCAGGACACCGAGGGCGAGCAGCTCGGCCGCGGTTCCAAGATCGTCCTCCACCTGAAGGATGAGCAGCTGGACTACCTCAACGAGGCCCGCATCAAGGAGGTCGTCCGCAAGCACTCCGAGTTCATCTCCTACCCCATCTACCTTCACGTCCTGAAGGAGACCGAGACCGAGGTCCCCGACGAGGAGGCTGAGGAGACCAAGGAGGAGGACGAGGAGAAGAAGCCCAAGGTCGAGGAGGTCGACGAGGATGAGGAGAAGAAGGAGAAGAAGACCAAGACCGTCAAGGAGTCCAAGATCGAGGAGGAGGAGCTTAACAAGACCAAGCCCATCTGGACTCGCAACCCCACCGACATCACCACCGAGGAGTACGCCGCCTTCTACAAGTCGCTCTCCAACGACTGGGAGGACCACCTCGGTGTCAAGCACTTCTCCGTCGAGGGTCAGCTCGAGTTCCGCGCCATCCTCTTCGTCCCCAAGCGCGCTCCCTTCGACCTCTTCGAGACCAAGAAGACCAAGAACAACATCAAGCTCTACGTTCGTCGTGTCTTCATCACCGACGATGCCACCGACCTCATCCCCGAGTGGCTCAGCTTCGTCAAGGGTGTCGTCGACTCCGAGGACCTGCCCCTCAACCTGTCTCGTGAGACCCTCCAGCAGAACAAGATCATGAAGGTCATCAAGAAGAACATCGTCAAGAAGACCCTTGAGCTCTTCACCGAGATTGCTGAGGACCGTGAGCAGTTCGACAAGTTCTACCAGGCCTTCAGCAAGAACATCAAGCTCGGTATCCACGAGGACGCCCAGAACCGTCCCACTCTGGCCAAGCTCCTCCGCTACCAGTCCACCAAGTCCGGTGATGAGGCCACCTCCCTCGCCGACTACATCACTCGCATGCCCGAGCACCAGAAGAACATGTACTACATCACTGGCGAGTCCATCAAGGCTGTTGCCAACTCTCCCTTCTTGGACACCCTCAAGCAGAAGAACTTTGAGGTTCTGTTCCTGGTTGACCCCATTGATGAGTACGCCTTCACCCAGCTGAAGGAGTACGACGGCAAGAAGCTCGTCGACATCACCAAGGACTTCGAGCTTGAGGAGACCGACGAGGAGAAGGCCGAGCGTGAGGCCGAGGAGAAGGAGTTTGAGGACCTCGCCAAGGCCCTCAAGAACGTCCTCGGCGACAAGGTCGAGAAGGTTGTCGTCTCCCACAAGCTTGTCGGCTCCCCCTGCGCCATCCGTACCGGCCAGTTCGGTTGGTCCGCCAACATGGAGCGTATCATGAAGGCCCAGGCCCTCCGTGACACCTCCATGTCCTCCTACATGTCCTCCAAGAAGACCTTCGAGATCTCCCCCAAGTCCCCCATCATCAAGGAGCTCAAGAAGAAGGTCGAGGCCGACGGCGAGAACGACCGCACCGTCAAGTCCATCACCCAGCTGCTCTTCGAGACCTCCCTGTTGGTCTCTGGCTTCACTATCGAGGAGCCCGCCAGCTTCTCCGAGCGTATCCACAAGCTCGTCTCCCTGGGCCTGAACATCGAAGAGGATGCCGCTCCCGCCGAGGCCGCCACCGAGGCTGCTGCTCCCGCTGAAGCTACCGGCGAGAGCACCATGGAGGAGGTTGACTAGATTTCTGAACTTTACTTTCGATCGTGGTCTTCTTTGCTCTTGCTAATTTTTAAAGTCTTACGGGAAACGGGAAACGGGATATGACCCTATGTGATGTTTTTTTTTTCTTTATTATTTATGTGTTCTACAATGAGAATTTACTATTTCTCAATTTCCCTTTTTGATCATCTTAGATCTGAGATGTCGTAGTTCAGCCTTTGTCTCTTGTCCTGTCATTACATCCATGGATATGATAGTTTGCCATGGAATGCAGTGCATGTATTTCTTACAGACTTGATTCCTTCGCCATGTTTGCGTCAAAAGCATTGAACCTCAGCGCCTGACTTGTAGAGGCTCAAACATACAAAACAAATCACCCGCACTCCGCTCTGTTGGTCTGCTTCGGTAAACGAGACCGAAGTCCTTCCTGGTATATCACAGCTAGCATCATGAACCAATTCTCGATGTCGGTATCTGAAATAAATTCCCATGGGAGAACCGTCGGTGCTCCTATTTCCAGTTGCTTGTGAATCACCCTGTAGCTAGCTGTTCCATCAATCTGCACATCCGAATAATCGGAATCCTCATCCTAGGACATGAGGGAGCAGGCCCTGTAGCAAGTAGATCAGCAAGTCTTCCACAACAGACTGGCAGTATTGCTCGTACCAATGTCGGGGATTTTTGATGTGATACTCTGTCATTTCGCATAGACATAATTAAGAAAGATACTGCCAGACCGTTGCGGTGCATAGTATACCACGAAGGCACCGCCTCTTGATACATAGAACAAGTGATACTTCCCGGTTGAATGATAGCTGCATCATTTCATACTATTAAAAAAGAAATCTATCCCGTACTGAATCCTCAAAAAAAATCGAATTCTATAGAAAGAATGTTCCAAAAACCAGAAAAAAAAAAAGAATGGACGGACGGTGGATCGAACACCGGACCTTCCGCATGCAAAGCGGATGTTATACCACTAAACTATGCGCCCAATTGTGATGTGGATTACACCTGACTTGGTAGTGTGACGTGGGGCCAACTTTTCCGAGCTTGTATGGTAACCCGTTGAGATATAGATTCCTGTTCCTATCTAGGGATAATCGTATAGAAAAAAGGTGCAATTTCGAACAGGATTCTAACGTTGAAAAGACAAAGTAAAATAGGACCCCCAGAAAGTGAAGGAAACTGACCAGTCTTATAATGATTAAGACCACGGGTATCAGCAGGCAAGAAAATCAAATATCAAGCGTCTTCCGAAGGCTGGGCTAGATTTTAAGCCTGTCCGGGGTGAATAGACCCTACTTATTGCGAACGACAGATAATGTTACCATGGAGATATCAGTTATCTTTTCAACCGTGCATTGTATCTAGCATTGACCATTTCAAGACGTTCTATTGCAGTAAATTATATTTGCATGACGAGGTATACTTAATCGGTAGCTTAAGTGCTCAGTCCGGCAACAGATCAAAGTCTCGTGCTTAAATATCTTCATCCCACTAACACGCAACCGATATACAATCTAGCTATAACAGGCACTCAAGAGTCATGAAAGCCAAAGAGCAACACCACAATCACAAGTTTCATCAATCGACAGGCTATACCTAATTCCTTCACCTGCAACTGTTCCAGCTCATTGTCTGATACATCATTGTCTGGTATCTCCTCTGGGGACCTGGGCCGAAAGGCGGCCCTAAGTCATTCTCTGACGAACTTGAGGATCCAAATAAACCATATACTTCGATTGTTGGTTGCCGTGAGCCGAATCCACAAAGAACGCAGTCTTTGACGACTTCGTAGGCGAAAGTGTCGGACAGTTTCACAAAGAATGGAGGGTCCAACAGTGTTCCTCGGATTTCCCAGAGGACCACAAGAGATCACGCTTCCATACACCTGAGCACAAAGTGCAAAGAGCACATGGACGTAATGTTTTATTGTGGTTGAGAACAAGAAGTCTAGAATCCATGTTCAACGAAAGAGAGCACGACAAAGGTCAATGTGATATCCAATGAAACAGAATAGAAGAGCTCTGCTTGGCAATCAAATACCACATATCGGTGCCCTGTTCAAGCTCTTGTAGGCTATCTGGAACATGTGCTGTCCGGCCTAACATCGTTAGTGCTCTCACTAAATCAGTTTCAGGGTAAGACGTAAGTACTATCCCGTTGCGCAAAGCCAGGTCCACACCCATGGAGTAAGACATGTTCTGAGGATTCCTTTTCAATCACTCTGGGTGCATCTGAGATACGGTTTAAAAAAGGATCAAGAAAACGACCATGAAAACCACGAGAAAAGGAGACCACTTTCGGAGACGTACAAACGAAAAGCAAAGGCTTCTTTGCCGAAGAATCAGAACCATTAGCAAGTTCTGATGTCCATCAGATGGAGGAAGGGTGGACTATAAACCCCCATCTAGAACCTGGGAAAGGAAAAGAGATGGGGGATAGTGGAAGAAGAATGAGAACGGGGAGGAGGGAAATGAGAAGCTTTTATATAGCACGTGGGTGCACCATTGACGAAGGCACGACCCATTGATGGCATGAATGAGGAAAGTACTATCTGACCCATCCACGCAAAAGTAACATTCACTGTCTGTCTAATGGTATACAAGAAACTAAATATAGCAAAGCAAAGTACCTCCATAGTTCAACTCCAACGCTATCAGATCAAATAACACAAATAGATCGTAGATCATAGAAATGAGAACAATTTAAGGGAATAGATAGGGTTTACCCTTGTTTCCATCCCGTATTGCTTGCCATGAGGCGAGCAGAAAATTTGGGTCTTATTAGAAGAATACAGTCTGTTCACGCAGATCACAGATCACTTAGATCCACTTGCACCAGCCTCCTTGGCTGTTGATCCTCCAACTGCAGCCGCATCTTCGGAGTTCCCGGATAGTTTGGCCTCGGCCACTGCCAATTTGGCACTGGTTGCGTCCAATGTCATTTTCAGTGCCTTGATGTAATCGATAGCCATCTCCACAGCAGTGGCCTTGCTGATGGTCTGATTGGCCTTTTCCTTTTCTTTCTCCTTGTCGGTAGGCTTATTGCCAGATTCTGCGGTCTCCTTGGCATTCCGCGCGTCGATAAAGTCCTTCGGGATGAGGAGCTCGATCTCCTTGAGGGCACTGTTGATCCGATTCCGGCGACCCTGCTCGGCAAGCTTGTGATTCGTGCGCTTGGAACTAAGGTTCTCTGCCAAAGCCTCAGGGTAGGAAACACCCGAGGGGAGGGTACCATCAAGAATGTGCTGGTAATTTGACTTCGATGCTAGGTAAAGAGCATCGTGGGACATGCCTGAACATAGTTAGCATAAGGTTCGTCAATATCACGTGGCATAAGCTTACCCTCGCTGCCTTTCACGAGAGGCTGGATACTGGGGCTGATCTTGGGGCGCAGCTGCGGGCTAGCGTGTGTGGAGCTCAGACTGGGTCGTTTCCGAGACGAGGCTCTGGAAGGCTCTTTCCGAGGGACCGGCCCACTGGGAGATGGCATTGCAGTCGTACACGGGCTGGGAGCAAGCGAAGCAGACGAAGGCTCCAAGGCTGACGTTCCATTCGTGGATAGCGATGGAGTTCTTATAGCAGTCTCAATTCGATTGATCTTGGGACGCAGTTGCGTAGATGTGGCCGCCTCCGGCAGGGAAATATCCTCCATCAGCTCATCAGGAACCTCAGACTCCGCAAGCTGCGCTTGACCGAAAGGACTCGAAGCGCTCTGGGCGTGCGAATTCCGCTGGAGGCGCATCAAAAGCGAGGGAGTCGCAGCAAGGCCAGGTGAAGGAACATGGGGAGCAATGGCTGGGGACGCCCGGGGATGAGGAAGAGCAGGGGGTGGCATCAACGGTTCTGATAATGGCTCAGGAGAGACCGAATCTTGACCGGAGCCTTCATTGCTGCTAATCTGGAGAGAGCGGATATCCTGGTTCCGCGGCTTCGTGGAATTTAACTCTTGAGTAAGGCTGTTGTAGAACTCCTCTGAATTTGTCGCCAGTGTGCTGCGTTTCCGCTGTGCCAGGATATTGGGCGACTGCTTGACCTTCCGTGCATTGTTAAGCCGGGTAGTGGTCGTTGATGGGCGTCGGCGGTTATTGGGCTTCCGAATGATGCTGGGAGAGGGCGGAGCCGAGGTTCCGGGAAGGTGATTCACTTCTGCAGTCGTGGGAACGAAGCCCACGTCCGACACCTGTCTTGCGTGGAATTGGTAGCTGTTGGATTCGGCATTTTGGGCCTCTAGAGCAGGAGAGGTGAGTGGTGTGAAGTATTCGCCGGGTATAGTGTATTCGGGAAGTCGAAATTGGTTTTCCAGGGGTGTCATGGCTGGTGATACGAGAGGGGTGTAAAGAGCCTAATTTGTTAGTTGGGAATCCATCGGGTGGATCGGGTGGACGTCTTGACTTACCTGCTCTTCATTGATACGCCCATATCTATCATAGATCTCGGGTGTTCCATCCACCCGCTGCGAGTAGCGGGCGGCATTGCCATGCATTTCGATACTGTTCGGAGTGGGAGGGATCATCGTCTGGCCCTGCATGTAATGTTGGTGCGCGGGTGGTTGCGATACGGGCGAGGGTTCTTGCGCGCAGTAACCCGCTGTCATACCGGGGGTCGAGTAGGCCATCTGATTGACAGAATTTGCGTGCGACTGAGTGGGATCATGACTGAAATCCATGGCTAGGCCATCTATCTTGCCTGGGTACTGTACGGCATGCGATTGGGAGTAGCCCATCTCAGACTCTGGGGAGGTGGTCGTCGGTAGGGAATGTTGCTGGGAATGTTGCAGATTGGCTGGTCCGTGCCCTTCGATATCGGGAAACGGCATATTGAACTCGAGGAAGTTGGAGAACTCATCCTCAGGCGTTGCCATTAGAGGGTTCTCATGGAGTTGCTCTGGCCACGACATGGCTGGCTGTTCCATGTGGGTAGGACAGGTGAAGAGGTAGGCAACTTCAATGGATGAGGGGCCAATCGGAGAACAGATATGTAAAGAAGGTAACGTTTGTAGAAGATGGCCCTGTAGAAGATGGCCCTCAAGAAGACGCCTAGAATAAGAGAGAGGCACAAGACCGAGGGGGATCTCAAATCCCGGAAGTTGGAACCAGAAAGTGCCTGGTGGAGATCAAACCTTTTTCCCGTGAAATCGGGCGGACACGGTACTATGCAACTTTGGTTCCAATCACCGGCTTGCCACTATGTGCTTAGCCTTTCTTCCTTGTTTATGGCGCTAGTTGCGCCTGGTTCTGTAGCCGGTGCAGATTAAAAGGTACTGTTCTTCTACGCTTTGATTTAACCGTTACTTTCCTTTCTGGGATCAACCCCCCCAAATCCCACAATGGAGATAGACTCGGAGACCGGAGAAATATCGGGGCATGCGTCTGAGATCCTATACATGTATAGTGGAATAAGACATAAGTTACATGGGACTCTGGACTATAGAAGCCTAGACAATATCCCTGGATCATAAGATATGCATGCGTAAGCGCAAAGTCTTACGGGCTGATCCCAATCAGCCGATTCAGGCACACGTTGGCGCCTGAGGCAGAGCGGGGTCTCGTTATCACCCCGTGATGCTTACCTACACATGACATGATCATTCGCATGGACCTATTCGTTCATCCCTTGAAACTACTTGGGCCTTGATCTCTAGAGAAATGCCTTCATGATGAGACCTGTTCCAAAACCTTTCTCTCGCAGGCGCTCCGTTGACACATCTCCATCCCTCGACCCCCGCACGGCGACCCCCGCGACCTTCTTCCTGTCCCGCAGCCCGCATGTCTCGGATCTGGAATCCAGCATCTCGACAGAGGGCCAAGATAGCCAGGATGCCAAAGACAATATGTACGGGGTGCAAAGCCTAGACGAGACATTATGTCAGACCGAGTTCGCCGGCTCTCCCCACGATCTCCCCGCAGACAGCCTGAAGCATGCCACCGATGATTTAGAATCGCACCTGACACGACGTCGGTCAACCTTGAGACCGTTGGATCCAGAAACCCTAGACTCTCCTGAACAGACATCGCCTCTGTCTCATGCAGTATCTCGGCCTTTGACTCCGCTCGACCTGGGCAACCCCGATGATCCGTCGTCGCTGCCTAGCAGCCCGAAATCGATTTCCAACCAATCTCTACGACCTCTTGATGATATTTCAATTACTGATGAAATCAACAGTCAGGCTATCGGGTCTGGAGATGAGGAGGAATTTGGATCGTCACGTCCGCTCCCAGGTGGGGCGTCCCAGCTTATCATGCCAAGTATCAAAATGCCCAGTCGACGGCCGTTCACCGAGCGAGGAAAGGCCATGGGTCGATTCAAGCTTCTTCTGGCTGGTTCCCCTGGTAAGTTTCACATTTTAATATCATTTGTGAATGCCACTAATGGTCTTGAATAGGCTCAGGAAAAACTTCTTTGATCAAGTCGATTGTTCAGACTTGTGACGATATCGTACATGTCGACACCATTCCATCGGTAACCTCGCTAGAACGACGTAGACCACCTCGGCCCCGGTCTCGGGGTACGCTGGTTACCACCTCCGAGATTTATGCGAGCACGAAACCTTATCCTTCGTGGTGGTCGGATTTGGAAGATTCGCGCGTGCTTCGACGCCGGAAAAGCATCGGGGAAATCGTGTTGGAGAGAAACATTTGCTTTGTCGATACACCGGCTACGTCATTGAGCCGCGCGGGACAGACCGACGCTGTTGTCCAATATTTGCGACAACAGTTGCTTCGTGCTACCTCTGCTCTCAATGATTCCGGTGTGGATTTCCAAAACTTACTTGCCGGCAATGGCGGATCCCAGGTGGATGCCATCCTCTATTTGATTTCTAATGGTAGGTCTCCTGAATCTCCAGTCCTATGCTGTCCATGCTGATATTGTCTCCAGATACTTTATCGACAGATGTGGAGTGCATTCGCAAGCTCTGCGAACTGAGCAATGTGATTCCAGTGGTTTCCAAATCGGACACACTTTCCGCCGAACAAATCACCGCACTGAAAGTACAGTTCCACGAACAAGCCTGTGAGGCAGGGATTAAGCCCTTTCTGTTCGGAGATCCGCCGGGCGGACTAGACGGGCTAGATTCCCAACCACCATATGCAGTGTCGTCGGAGAAAACCGTCGACACAGAAACAATGGACGCCAGCACCCTAATGAACCCGGACTACGTCCAACCCCTCGTACCCTCAGAACTAGACGCTCTAGTGCAGAAAATGTTCGATCGAGATAACCTAGCATGGATGCGCCATTCCGCTGCAAAGAAACTCATCCAACGTGCCGACTTTTTTTCGGTACCGCCCGCAATGCCGATGCCCAAAGCGCAGCCGGGTCCCAACCCCAGTGGGGCCGGCCATCCCTCGGGACCATCCATGACTTCATCTTCTTCCTCCCCACCCAGCTATGCCATGGCCCGTCTGGCAGACCACACTCGAAACGAAGAGCGGATCGCACAGGTTCGGCTGGCGCAATGGGCAACGGACCTACAGCGCAGTCTACAGAACGAACGTGATCGCTATTCCTCGCTAGCGCGGGGTGAACGCGCTGTCTGGCTAACCGAGCGGTTGAGCGAGTGCGTCGTGGACGGCTCGCTCGTACCTTTATCTCAAACACCTGGCTTTTGTGGCTTGCATATCCCGGTAGGTGAAAAACACTCAAACGGGCTTCATGTCATGCGAGCACATTCTGGTTCGCCGGTATACCATGTTGCTACTCTCAGCCCGCATGACCCACTGGGCGTAGTGGACTGGATTGATGGCCTCGGTCGGCGGAGCTGGGTGCTCGTCCAGATTGCTGGTAGTGTTGGGGTTGTTGGTGGTTTGGCGCTCTGGCTTGCGCGCACATGGGGCCTCCCGGCGCGCAATCTGACTGACTTGCGTCTGGATTACTGGTGCGGTACGATGGAGCGGTGATTCAATCGTTCCAGGTATGATAATGAGGAATGAGCGGTGCAGATTATTCGGAGTATGGTTTCGTTTTTTCTTACGGTATTGTTTTGCTAGGAGGTTTGTTTTCTCTTTTGGTCTTCTCTCTTTTATTTTCTATTCCCCTGTCGTCGTCTTTTATCGTCTTCGGCGTCCTGCGACTACATTCTTGGGGGTTTGGGTCGCATACCATAGTCGGACGCTGGTTGTTTTGCATGGAAACAATAAACATGATCTTTGATATATCCTTTTTTACTTCGTACATTTGGTTCTCTGTCTGTATATGTCTGTCTGTATACTATTCCTCTTACGTGCAGGTTCCACCAAAGACTGAGGTGGTTCTTGGAAACTTGCTTTCTTACATTTGATACGTGAAGAACTGACTGAAATTGTCTTAGCCCATGGTTGTTTCTTTTGACTGCATCTTTGCGTCGATGTTATTGCCCCAGGACAGGCTGGAACGAGTATTTCATGTCAATGACACAAGCTTAGTACATGACAGGCGTTATTTCCGAATCACACTATCGTATTTTTGGCATAATATTGGCTATAGGGACAATGTGATTGAGATTGTAGCAAGGCTGATATATATAAGTTATGCTACGCACAAACAAAAAGTTGTTCTCTTATAACCATAGCATTAAGTTAGCAGGATAATTACAATGATAGTACGTAATAAGTGCATACTCCAGTTCCAAACAATAGCACAAATCAACAAGGGCGCCTTAATATCCAGCACTGGCTCATGTAGTCAAGACTGATGGCTTACTTCATCAAACCGGCAAGATGGCCGAGTTGGTCTAAGGCGCACGGTTCAGGTCAACCTGATCCCGATGGTTTCATAACTATCTCCGTGTCTCGAAAGGGGCGTGGGTTCGAATCCCACTCTTGTCATATCTTTTTTTTGGGCTCCTACAACTCATATAGATTGAATTACTATTCCTCCCTCTCGAGTACGGTGGCCAAAAAGCCCTCGGTTGATCGACAGCAAGTTTGTACAAGTTAGGGCTAGATGAACCTGATGTATGAATAGCACCAGCCACCCTAAGAACAACTACTTTTAGAATGTTAATGTGCTGTAGATCTACAACTCGATACCGTAAAGGAAGGAAGACAATGGGGACCGAAAGGAGGGATCACAGAGGGCAAAGAGAAGATTAGCGCGAGGACAAAATACGAGGACAAGGAAAGGGCCTGTCTTCCACCATACTATGCTACAATGTACAGGCAGCCTTGCTGTAAAACCCCTATAAAAGCCCAAGACCGAGGTCAAGTCCCTTAAATTGACTACGAAACACGTGAGTATACAACAATAGCTAATATACTACAATTCATGCACAGCTTCTATGTACAATCCCTAGAACAAGCTGGAAAGAAGAACAATGCCAAGATAAACATACGGCAGGGCATAAACATAATGGATAGAAATGAATGCAGACCGCTACAGCTTAGCCCGGGGAGCGGATTCTTCCTCCAGAGCCTGGGCGTACAGCTGGTCCAGGAGTGTGCGGTAGAGCTTGACAGCGGGAGGACGCTTGAGCTTGAGACTAAGGGGTACAGGGCGTTAGTACAGTGAACATCAGGTGAGCTAGGTAATGTGAATGGAACGGAACATACGTTGGGGTGAGCAGGTTGTTCTCAACGGTGAACGGCTCCAGCTTGAGAGAGACATTGCGGACACGCTCATATCCAGCGAACTTGTGCTTCTTGGCCATACGCTCGAGATCACGGAGGACGGCGCGACGGACCTTGTCATCGTCTAGAGTCTCCTTGATTGCTTCAAGGTCGGTCGGGGCAATGTTCTTGCCTAGGACCTTGCTGACATATGGCGCAAACATGTCAGGGGAGACACCCAAGATACCGACCAGGAAGGTCTGCATGCTGTCGCCGTGGACGTAGGCCTGACCAATATAGCCGAGCTCTGAGAGGATGACACCCTCCAGACGCTCGGGGGAGATATACTCGCCCTGGGCGAGCTTGAGGACGTTCTTGCGGCGGTCGATGATGATGAAGCGGCCCCTCTCGTCGATTGTGCAGACATCACCGGTGCGGAACCAACCATCCTCAGTCACGGCCTTGGAGGTTTCTTCCTCGTTCTTGTAGTATTCACGGAAGTTGTTGTGGCCGCGGAGCAGGAGCTCACCGCGAGGGAAGGGCTTGTCGTCCACGGAGTATTCCATGTCGGGCAGGGAGACCAGACATGCCTCCATGCTAGGTGCAAGACGACCACAGTTCCCGGATGACAAGTCCTCCGGGGACTGGGCGGTGGCCATGGCGTAGGATTCGGTCAGTCCGTAGCCCTGGATAACATCGGTACCGGTGGCGATGCGCAGGAAGTTGTGCAGGGTTGGGTCCAGAGGTGCGGAGCCAGAAACCATGTATCTGGTTCGCTCCAGACCAAGAGCGGCAGCCACCTTCTTGGCCCAGATGCGGTCGTACAAGGCGTGCTTATTAGTCGCCTTGGAAGGATCGGGGTTCTTCAGATTGGCAGTCTTGGCTGCCACGATGTGTCGCGACAGAGCACCCTTGAAACCGGGCTGCTCCACTGTCGCGGCACGGATAGCAGTACCGAACCGGCTGTATAGACGAGGAACAGACATGAAGCCGGTGGGCTTGAGCAATTTCAGGTCGTCAACTAGCTCCAGGATGTTTCCATGGAAGTAACCAATTCGAGCACCACCCCAGAGAGCAGTGTGCTCTGCGAGACGGGCATAGATATGGGCCAATGGGAGGTAAGAGCACATTGTGTCACCTCGAGACTGGCCAATAAAGGCCAGACCACAGGATGTGGCAGACACTGCGCTACGGTGCGTCAGAACCACACCCTTGGGGGGGCCGGTTGTGCCAGAGGTGTAGTTGATAGTAACGATGTCATCTGCAGAGGGAGGGTTGTATCCGCGCTTTGAGGCCGCGCCAATCTCCTCAACCTGATCCATGGAGTAAATTGCGAGGTCCATACCAGCGGCCATAGACTCAAGAAGCGCACGCTTGGAGTGTCCATTCTCCTCTCCACCATCCAGCGGGTCCAGACTGACGATAATCTTCAAGTTGGGGAGGGAAGACTTGAGCTTGAGCAGGGTCGGAATATGAGGCAGAGAGGTAACAACACAGTTCAACTCGGCGTGATTGATAATATATTCGGTAGCGTCTGGGGCCAAGACATCGTAGATTGAGACGGAGTAGAGGGATTGAGAAATGCAAGCCAGATCTATATGTCTCGGGTTAGTCTATTGTACCGGGCTCCCGAGCTATTGGGTAAACTCACCAGTGATCTGCCACTCGGGACGGTTCTGAGACCAGAGACCGACACCGTACTGCCCGGGACGATGGCAGTTGTGCTTGTGGTGCAACTCCACCAGACCAGCACCAAATGCGGCACGTCTCTTTTGCACAGTCTCATATGTGAGCCATGAGTATTCATCATAGGTCTTGGTTGTGCGGTTAAACGGGCGCCATCCGAGGCAGTGGTTCTTGGGCTGGCGGATGGCGGTCGACTCGAACATGTCATGGGCAGTGGTGACCTGTAAGTGGTCAGTAATGGATACCTCGGCCTTATCGGCTGTTCTTCATACCTGGGGATCCAGTGTGATCAACAATTCCTTTTGCGCATTCCATGCTCGGTATACCCGACTACGGCCAGGCTGTTCGGTGCCGGGGATAGGAACGGAGTAAGCTGTACCCTTGGGGGGTTCCTGCTTGAGCTCCTCGGCCTTCGCGAGGTGAGGTGGTTGTGAGAAGAACATGGTGCCGACCTGGACAGATCTTGTCAAGATAATTGCTCACAGACTAAGCAAAAAAGTAAACAGGGAGACAAACCAGAATCTAAGAGAGAGAGAAAAAAAAGAACAAGGCCTCCGAGAGATCCGCAGAATAAGGGGGGAAAGAGTGTGGGGAAAAGAAACTGGAGTCTCAACAGACCGGAGCGGCCGACCTTTTTGGATAAAACTCCATTGAAGCCATCATGAGCCGAGCTGGGGCAAAAAGGGACCTCGGCTCCTTGCGGGTACTTGTCAACGGGTGGCAAACCCCATAGTGAATCAGGTACCGCGCTAGTGAACTGAAAACGGGCGTCTGCTGACACATGCACAACGTCATCTGCCTAGCCCTCACATGTGTTTCACGTGGACCGAGATCGAGGATTGATATACATTGAACATATGTATGTGTGAATATCTAACTAGATAACTATGTAATATAATAAATATGTGCTGTACAATGCCAACGCCCCCAAATATGCAAATATACACCTCTAATTACCCACTGATCCACCGCCAGGCCTTTCCGTACCACGTCGTCGGCTCAACAGTCTCCCACGTCTCATTGTCAGCAGTGGTACGACCTGTGTCCAGATCGGCCTCGATGGGCTTGACAAAGGCAGAGCGGAATATGAGCTTGTGTCCGAGATACAACACCACGAACAGGATCAAACTAAGGTAGTTGATGAAGAACTCCTGAACCTGGAACTTAGGGATGAAGGACATGAATCCCTGAGTGAGGATGATCAGGCAGTTGAAGAACAGGCCATACCACGAGAACCAGGGCTGCCAGATGGCCTTGTAGGGCAGAACATCACGGGAGATGTTGCGCGCTGCGAGTGCCCGCTGGAAGGCAATGTGGCAGGCATTCAGAGAACACCAGGTGATGAAACCAGCAACACCAGAGATCTGAAGCAACCAGTTGAAAACGGTAGCACCGGAGTCGGAGACATTGAGAAATCCGAGCAGACCAAAGGCTGCCGTGAAGAGCACACTCCAGTAAGGAACACCACCTTTGGAGGTCTTCTTGAACCAACGAGGGGCGAAGCCCTCCTGTGCCAGGCCAACTAGAATACGACTGCCACTGTAGACGTTGGAGTTGGCTGCAGACAGCACCACGGTCAGAAGCACGGCGTTGATGATACCTGGGAGAGCCTTAACACCAGCACGGTTGGCGGCAATGACGAACGGCGAGGCGTTGGCATTCTGGGCACTAGCACCACTGCCTTCACTAGCCGTCAACAGGCTCGGGTCGTTGGAGGGCACGATGATCCCGATAAAGAAGATTGTCAGGATGAAGAAGAAGACAATTCGGAAGAAGGTTTTGCGAATGGCGGATGGGACGGTCTTGCGTGGGTTCTCGGTCTCACCAGCGGCAATTCCAACCAGTTCAGTTCCCTGGTAGGAGAATCCAGCCTGAATCAGTACAGACCAGAAACCAACAAACTTGGCGAGGGAGTCATTGTTCTCAATCGTGTAGGCGACAAACGGACCGGGGTTCACCCAGTACCGGAAACCGATATATCCCTTTTCACCAACACCGGCGTCCACACAGATGGCAAAAATCATAAAGCCAATCACGGTGATAACCTTGATACTCGCAAACCAGAACTCCATCTCACCATAGAAACCAACGGGCATCATGTTGAAAATGATAATCACCACCCAAAAGACAGCGATGAAAATGGCGATTTGTATGTTACTATCCCAATATTGAATGATCAAGCCAGTTGCAGTCAACTCCAACGCGAAAGTCGACGCCCAAGAAAACCAATAGATCCAGCCCATGGCAAAACCCAGACTCGGGTCAATCAGACGCGCAGCATACGAGGTGAACGCGCCAGGGATCGGAATATATGTCGCAATCTCTCCGAGGGCAGTCATAACGGAGTAGACGATAGTTCCGACGAACATGTACGCGATGAGAGCGCCCACGGGGCCTGCGTGGGCAATGGCGGTACCGCTACCGATGAAAAGACCAGTTCCTATCGTGCCACCTTCACAAATTGTCAGTATGGAAGAATTCTCTGCGCTGATGCAACATGGCACACCCACCAATGGCAATCATCTGCAAGTGTCTGCTCTTCAGCTTCCGCTTCAGCTCTGGCAGCGGGTTCGCCTCGCGCTGGGCGCCATGCTTCTCATAGTCGACATCGTAGGTGTCGACAGGGTTCTGCGCTACTTGCACAGGGACTTCGGAGTCCATCTTTCCCTTTTCTGTCCAGGGAGCACTGTCTTGGGCCATTGCTGGAAGACGCAGACGGGGTGACGGGTAGAGGAGAGGGAAGGATCTGATGAGAGCTACGAAGAGCGTGCAGCGTTCTCCACTTTGCGAGATCTATAGGCCAACAGTTGCCGATGGGCAGGCTCTTTTTCCGGTGTGGAGAAGCTCGCGACGGTGTCAAGCCCTACACCTCTGCCAGATCTGGGGAGTTTATGTAACAGAAAACGAATTTTGGGGGGTAAGCAATTGAAGCGATTGCTTTCTTTTATTCTAGATAGTCGAGCTCGAGCCTTTTCTTTTTTCTTTTTTCTTTCCCGTATGCCGGGTTCATTCGCCCATGTGGGCCATCCGCCGGGAAGAGTTTTCGCTCGGTGGCGACAAATTCTGGACACAACCTTAAGATTATCAGTCATGCTTTCTACTAATGTTATCAGTCTATATGCATGGCCAAGAGGATCAACCGCACGATGTTACGCTGGCGGAAGGGAAGTCAATCTTCTATAAATAAGGTTTTCGAGCTTGTATCCTTATATCAAGCCCAATGGACTTCTCTATGGAGTATTTTTTATATAATAAGTTATAGTCTAAATACGAAAGGCCTACCAATGAACCACCAAGTGATTACAAGTGAACACCTGCCTAGGTGGGCTTCTTAGGAAATTACAGTGGGTTCGGCTTGCGCCGGTTGCGGTGGACCCCGATAAGACTTATCGCTAACGATGACATATTGGACTAACGTATAGGCTACCTACGTACTCCGTATATGGGTAGTAAAAAAAGGATGGCATGATCTCATCAGTATTCAAGATGCTAAAAGAAATTGCACAACAAGAGAAAAAAAAAAATAAAAAAAATAAAAGCAAAGGGTATCGCGTCCTAAAACTATCAACTAGGATTTCGACCTTCCGAACTCGGAAAGCCGAAACAAACACATCAAACCCCGAGGTGCGCATTTGTATGGGCGGCCTTGGCACTCTCTCCACTTCGACGGTGATTCATAACATCTATGATCGCAAAGTATGTAGTCACAGCAAAAAGCACCCTATAAGACCCGTCAGCAAACACACAGCCGTCCGCCTTGAAACAAGGCGGTACTTACCATTCAAACGCCCCAAATATTGTTGCTGCCTGGAGCGAGCTGCAAGTACTGGAATGGCACCACCGCGGCGGAGGCAGCTGAGATCCCATCGCAACGAACCCAGCAAACCAGAAGATCATGGTGACGACCTCAATTCCGGGGATCACATAGTGATGCGCCAGACGAGGGAAGTGGATCGGCGCGAATGTAAGGTACGGCACTGCTATAAAGGCAGTCCAACAGCCTAGGAAGAGGAGGAAGTTGACTGTGTCGGAGTATGGCCATGAATAAGAATAGAACGTGGAGACCACTAAACAATTGTTAGAGCTCGAGCTGACTGTTTTGTTTTGGTTCATATACCATATCCTGTTAGTCCAATCACGATCACGCCAAAGAGAGCTTGGGTGATCCGGACGGGAAATATCCATGGGATAGCCATGGCGAGTATGAAGGCTGGTGTGAGAATTAGAGCTCGAGAAGCTGGTCAAGATTCGCGTCAGAGGATTCCATTCATGTTTAAAGCGGAAACAAGGTAAGATATACAGTAGAAACCTTGCAGGGATTGGGCAGCCACCGGCGTCGCGCCAGCGTCATTGTGGTTTGCAGAGCTTGGCAACAGCCCAGTGGCTTGACACCAATGAATAGGGCTGACGTGGATGCATACCTTGATCTGATGGCACTTCTTGCTTTCACTCTTGTAACTGGTGATATGCTATTGTTTACGTAGGGGACTGGTTGGTTTTATGTTAAATCTTTATGCGCCACTTGCTGCTGTAAGTCCCATTATTAGGTCGCACCTTTGTATCGCTATTAATATACCTCTTTGTCTATCTCGGCTGCCTGCGTTTTGTACAAGCCCTGTCCTGACGCTAGTCTCGTATATCCTTGGCTATGATTCACGTGAAGACATGACGACAACCTGCCGATCGCCGTGAAACCTTTCTACGGAAGATTTGGCCGGAGATGGGCCACTCAGGTATGCCATACAATGCGGTAGTGTCTCCAAACGCACGGGCGTTTCGATCCGACTCTCTGTCTAGGTAAGGGTTCATCCCCCCCAAACTCAAAATGCGCCAAATTACGCCATGTCTACGAATCACCATTCGAGCAAGTGAGAAGAATTGTATAAAATCGTCGCTCATGCGCCTGTACAAGATGTATGCAACTCCACGTCCCTCCATGTATCCGTCATATCAATACAGATCAATAATCGCGGAAGACAGCCACCATGTCATCCAAACGCGAGACTTCCGCCAGCAGTAAGGCTTCTTTGGCCTTCCAGTTGCGGAGATGCTCTAGTTCAGCCTCAGACAGAAACTCCTCCTCGTGGCCCTTGACATCAGTTCGCTCCGTCTTCTCGAGGAAATCCCTCTCGCGCTCGCGTTCGAACTTGATGCGCTGCAGGCACCGTGACATGGCCTTGTATGTGTCTTCCAAAATGCTGCTGCAGACTCGGTCTGGGTCATAGTACCACAGGTAGATGGTCTTGGAGGGCTGTCGCTGCGCGTCACGCGGCACTTCTTGCAAGTCCACGAAACCGCCGGTTTGCATACTGGCAAGGGTCTGACGCAAATCCTTGAATGGTAGCAGACTGATTTCTTGGAGTCGCTTTTCATCTAATCTACCCTTCGCATGGAGAACACGGATCACTCGCAGGGCTACATCGCCGTACCGCGACTCGATCATTCGCTCCAGTTCTAGGTGGCGCAGCTTGCGAGCCAGGCCACGAAATGCGATTCTCCAGGTGTCGAGTCCACCGATATTGTGTTTTGTGGTGAGGTTGAAGGGGGCTTGTGAGAGGTAACTAAGGTGCTGATCAATCTGATAGGCACGATTCTGCTCTGTCGACTCGTCTTCGTAGTCATCGCCATTAACGCCATTTGTCTCATCCTCTAATGGTCGTTTCCGTCGGTTCGACGCAGATGTGGGATTCATTGGACCAATACATCCTGCGAGGTCGAGTTGCGGATCAACGTCGTTGACAATGGCACTTAGCTGAATCGGAGCAGAATATTGTTCTCCTTCCTCTCCTTCCCGAGGAATCTCGTAGGTCTCTCGGCAGCGGGGCGTTTGGTATTCAATGCGACGAAGAAGGCAGTCGTAGATTTCGAGTGAGGCGGGAGGTGCACATTGTCTAGCAAGTTCGAGGAATTGCGCGTTCCGAAGAGCCACATCAAGTTTCTCGTAGTTCACTCGAACGATGAGATTAGACTATGGGATGTTAGTTGCTGTATACCCCGGAGCAAAATGCAAAAACTTACATCCATCGGAGAGGAGTCAATGCCATCTTCATCTTCTGACCAATCATTTCCCTCGTCGTCTTCTTCGTCCTCTGCATGATCCCGGTTGACGCCGTTGGTACCATTCTGCGCGTTATTCGAGCCCGAAGCACTGCCAAACTTCCTTTTCACACCTTGAGGAAGACCATTGAACATGAGACCCCGGGAAAGATCTCCTTCCGTTCGTTCCTTGACCATGCTCTTTGCCTTCTCCTCAATCTCGGCCTGTTGCTGCTTGCCCTTCATTTGTTTGACGTCTGGCCGGGAAGAAATAATCCGATGGGCATCAAGCCAGTTATCATTGGGGCTCTGGAAATGTGCTTCTCGCACCCGGTGAATGTATCCGTGGGATGCAAGGCTCTTGAGTGTGGGGTGAAGTCGCGCCGGCTTTTGGCTCACAACGTGATTGCCGTTGGGTTCACCGGCCTTTTCCTCATGGTCCCCATTTGTCTCTGGCTGTTCTTCATCATGGTCGACCCCATTGGTGAGGGGTTGGCTTGGTTGAAGTTGGGGAAGAGTCTCGAGGTGGGTGATCGAGGTGTGGCCGAGGAACATAATAGCTTCCAATACCTGGGCAGCATATTCTCCCAATCGACTCTCCACATGCTGGAGGATCTTTCCCGACCGCACGAGGGAGTATGCGGCTTGCGGGTTGGCTTCATAGTAGGTGTTACCGTCATCGAGGGAGGTGAAGTGGTAAACGAGGTGGTGTTGAATCATAGCCGAGATTCCATGGTGCAATTGACGATCAGTCAGTCGAGAATAGAACTTTAACCGGGGGAGTGTAAGTCGTTCATAGCGCTGGAGGACGGTGAAAATGCGCTACAAATAGACCAGTTAGTTCTCTACCCCGCTGTCGCGATTAATTATACAGCCTGAGGGTCTGTACAAAGCACTCACCGCGAAGAGTTCTCCAAAATTGTCCTCTATCAAAAGCATACAAAGCTCGGAAGAGCACTGTGCAATCAAAGTCAGTCATAGCTCCGGATAAGGTGGGACAGACTCATATGTCGCATACCTGGGTCATCATGACGGGCTAAAGAAAAAAAATCGCCAGCCTCGAATCCTCGAGAGCAGGGTCACCGCGCAAGGTTCATGGAGTAGCTCCGAGATCTGCAGGTCCCAAAACCGACGAACGTAATGAGATGCAGGTCTCTCGGTCTCCACGTTCTTTTGCCTTTTTTTTGCTTATCGGCTCGATTGCGGTTCACGTGATATGCAGATCAGGTGATCCGTGTATGGGATTTCAACGACAGGTGGGAGAACAATGTTCGAGCAATGGAGGCCACAAATTGATCTGGACTCTTCGGACACTGTTCAGATCGTAATCATCGTAGCGTTATACTCTTTTATCCCTTTTATATACTGCCGAACAAAAGTAACTCCGGTTCCGTCCGACTCGTCACTCCAGCCAATCAGAGCCTGAGTAATCAACAGTCCGGGATCTTGAAGCTTTTCGTGACCTCCAAACTGCCTCTTCCCTCCTGCTCTCTCCGCATCCCGCCTCCCTCCCCGCCTCAATTGCCCCCCTTTACAAACCCAATTCGGGTTTCTATCTCTTCTTCTTCCCTTTGCATATCTTTTCGGCACAAGCGACGATGCTGTCGCGGTCTTCCCTCAGCCGAAATGCGCCGCGTGCGCTCGCCGCTGGCCGTCGGTCCATGGCCTCGGCTGCCAACCCTGCTTTCCAGTACGATGTCACCGAGGCCTCCGGTGTGAAGGTTGCCAACCGTGAGGTTGAGGGCCCTACCGGTACCCTGGCCCTGGTCGCGAAGGCTGGCTCCCGTTACCAGCCCTTCCCTGGTTTCTCCGATGCTCTCGAGCGTTTCGCCTTCAAGGTCCGTCCCATACCATCAATTGGACCATCTCAGCTGCCATCCGGGATACTAATCATGCAATTAATCGACAGACTACCCTCAAGCGCTCCGCACTGCGGATCACCCGGGAGACTGAACTGCTGGGCGGTGAAATCTCATCGACACACTCGCGCGAAAACCTCGTCCTCCGCACCAAGTTCCTTGCCAAGGATCTCCCCTACTTCACAGAGTTGCTGGCTGAGGTTGCCGGTCAGACTAAGTTCGCTGGTGAGTTTGGTCCCTTTTGATGATTGGTGGTAGATTGCGCAAATATAGGAACATCTTTTTCTGACTTGAAGCTCTCGATGATATCAGACCACGAGTTGAACGAGGTTGTCAGCAAGCTCCTCAAGTACAAGCAGCAGATCGTCCACTCCAACCCGGAGACTGTTGCGATTGATGCCGCCCACGGCGTTGCCTTCCACCGCGGTCTGGGTGCCTCCATCACCCCCTCCCAGACTTCTCCTTTCGAGAAGTACGTCTCCGGCGATGCCCTGGCCGAGTTCGCCCAGAACGCCTATGCCAAGTCCAACGTTGCTCTCGTCGCCAGCGGCCCCAACTCCGCTGAGCTCTCCAAGTGGGTTGGTCAGTTCTTCAAGGACCTCCCCACCGGCAACGCCTCCAGCCAATACAAGGTTCTGCCTACCGTGGCCACCCAGTACTTCGGTGGTGAGCAGCGCATTGCCTCCAAGACCGGCAACGCTGTCGTGATCGCCTTCCCCGGCTCCAGCGCCTTCAGTACCGCCGGCTACAAGCCCGAGGCTTCCGTTCTTGCTGCCCTCCTTGGCGGCGAGTCCACCATCAAGTGGACCCCAGGCTTCTCTCTTCTGTCCCAGGCCACCAAGGGCTTCTCTCAGCTCCGCGTCAACACTGAGAACAACGCCTACTCCGATGCCGGTCTGTTCACCGTTACCCTGTCCGGCCAGGCCGACCAGGTTGGTGCCGCCAGCAAGAATGTCGTCGATGCCCTCAAGAAGGCCGCCGCCGGTGAGGTTGCCAGCGAGGACATCAAGAAGGCCGTTGCCCTCGCCAAGTTCCGCGCTCTGGAGTCCGTCCAGACCCTCGAGACCGGTCTTGAGGCCACCGGCTCCGGCCTCGTCCACGGCAACAAGCCCTACCAGATCAACGAGATTGCCCAGGCTCTCGAGAAAGTCTCCGAGCAGCAGGTCAAGGAGGTATGTTATTCGTCTATTCCCGCTTGGTTGAAATCGTTACTAACAACTATCTACAGGTCGCCAAAACCTTCCTGTCTGGCAAGGCCACCCTCGTCAGCGTCGGTGATGTCTTCCAGCTTCCTTACGCCGAGGACCTCGGTCTGACCGTTTAAAATCCTTGTATACAATATACCGTAGAGAGGGGAAAATCTGTTCCCTTCATTCTGGATTGATGTGACCACTTGTGCCTAGATTCATTGCCGATATCTCCTTTGTTCTTTGATGGTGTAGTTGACTGTAATACAATTGTACCTTATCCTTTGATTCGTTTCTCTGCCTAGACATGAACTCTCGTTTATTTCATTATGGCTTGTGTTTGAAATATGCCTAATGTCGAGTATCAGTCTTTCATGTCTGAGAAGTATATCGATATTCACCTCCCTGGCATACCTAAGTCGATACCCAATGCATAAATATATAGGTGATCTGCGATTCAGCGTGTCTAACTATAGCCGGAGTGACAATGTGCAGTCTGAAAAATGCTAGGATCAGCTGAGTCTGATATAACAAAGTCCTGGTAAGTGCTTCCTCAATACATATACGAGCTCTATCTAACAATTAACAAAGGAACAGGCAATTGAAAAGACCTCGTCAGTGGTGCCAACAAAATGCAATTCCTATGAGGTAGGCCAGAAGGAACAAAAAACAAAAAGATATGACAAGAGTGGGATTCGAACCCACGCCCCTTTCGAGACACGGAGATAGTTATGAAACCATCGGGATCAGGTTGACCTGAACCGTGCGCCTTAGACCAACTCGGCCATCTTGCCTTGGGATGTGAAAATTCGGAGATTAATTGCGTTCATTAGTGGCTGGCACATATCATGCATGAAAACTAAAATGAAGTTGAATGGCCAACCTCCCCCAGCAATAATATTAGCTGTTGCTACTGGTTTTACTATTCGTCAGCTTCTAAATCTTGTACACTTCTTGTACACGGCGTCGACGGATAAAGAGTATATAAATGTATGAGGAGACATTCCATAGCGGGGGATGTATTCACATGAGGATCTGCTAGATACGCTACATTATAGTAAGTGATATCATATTTCGGCACTTTTCTAAGTTTAACAGTACTTAAAGATCCACCGGCAAACACCCATACACCGTCCTCCACGTATTATTAGTCTGATTGTACTCGTTCCACGAGAATCCGAAGAATAATTGATCATATCTCTGGCTGCACTTCTCTAAATCCTCTTCCGTCATCCCAGGCGGATAACCATCTCGTGGCCGGAAGACACCAAGTGGTTTGATGCGAGCCTCTTGTGGGACGAGCACTTCTGTTGTCCTGGCTTCAAGTTCCGGAGGCGTGGAGTATGGACCTGCAACCGGAAAGGTGAATGGAGTACTCGGTTTGGTAGTGTCTCCACTGTCGAGTTGATGTTCGGGCGTATCATTTGCTTTTGCGGTCACAGGGCTGCTCGTGCTCTGGGCTTGGTCAATTGACGTCCCGTTCTTCTCTTCTATCATTACGATTGCTTCGATCAGCACGATCCCTTGATCGCGGTTATGAAGTCCCAATACCCGATGCGCTCGACGAAGCATTGCTAGAGCTGTACGTCGAATTGAAGGGTCGCGACACCTGACGCATGTAAAAAACAGTGGAAGACCCACGCTGATCTCGAAGGTAAAGGGCGGCTGGCTGCCATCAAATCGCGCTGATCCTTTCAAGGCTATGCTGGATTGCTCGATCATGTTTTGAAAATTTGGGGTATAAATGTCGGTTGTGATTCGCGATGGTGACACGCAGACTCCGAGGATGACGAATAACATTTCGTAGTAAGCGAGAAGAAGAGCACAGGTGCCGAGTTGGTCATTTGTGCGTAGAGATGCCATCAATCTTGTAAAAGCAGTATGCCAGCTTTGTAGCTTGTCTGAGAGGGTTCTTTGTCGGGTCATCAATGTCTGAGATATACGACAGGCATGTGATTGCTCCAGGTCTTGTTCGCAGACTCGTTCGAACATATGGATTTCTGCAGATAGGAGAACAATGGCTTCCCGGGCCGACCTGAGAGAGACAAAGTTGACCTCCTGCGTAGATTCACTTTCTGATTCTCGTAACAATACGCTCGTTTGATCCGCTAGGTTGTGGAGGGTGACTGCTCCTAGTCGGACGAATATAGGAACAATTGTCTCTTCCAATAATGAAGCTTCAGTTGATGTTAAAGTCCCGCAATCCATTCGGTTTCGTATTGCTTGAATGAGGTGTACGCCTTGGTTAAAGAGATGTAATGACTCCTCCAGATCTCCTAGGAGGGCCTCAACGCAGATAAACAAGACACATGTAATGAGTCCAGTAAATACCCCGACGCCACCACGCTCAATCCCTTGACGAACGGCAGATACTGAGCGTGAATACCAACTCAAAGCATCTCGTTGGTTCTGATTGAGTCTGCGGGGGTGGTCACGGCGCAGAGGGGCAAGATCCGGGCCTGGATCAGGAGTTTCGAATAGTGAACTTATCGAGATCATGGCATCCCACACCGCGGGTTCACTTCGGCAAACCTGTGGAACAATAGTGCGCCAGAAATCAACATCCAATTCGCCACCAATCGACGTTGCGGTGTGTTGGAAGTAGTAGGCGAAAGCGCGGCGTTCTCGCCATACTGTGTTTGGTGATAATGAAAGAGGATTCTCGGAAATGAATAATGAAGTCGTGCGAGAACTTGCACTTCCGTAGTCACACTTGCGGCCTGTACTGGTGCATCGGAGGCAACTAGGCTTTTCTTCTCCGCATTTGACTCTCCGGATTCTATGGTGGGATGAGCATCACATGATCTGTCTTAAAAAGAGAAGAGCATACTGACTTGCAGGTTTTGCAACCCAATTTAGATCTTGAGGTTGAGGCCCTGGTTGAGGCCCTGGTTGAGCTACCCCTCGGGCGGCCTGACGAGCGAACGGGCATATCGAACCGACTCAAAAAGAAGAAAAAAAAGGTACGGCTTTAGATTCTT